CTTCAATTAAAACGCAGCACAAGCAGAGGAGAAAACAATTCGTAAGAGATCTGAAGAATGGAAAAAATGAGACTTACTTTCGCTTCTTCCTCCATTGCTTCTGCTTGCCTCCAGTGGCACGTCTCTTGTGGATCGAGTCACGAGAGATACCTAACAAACACAATCAGGTTCAGTATTAGATACCAGCATCAAGAAATTCAATGACCATACACACAATACAAGAGACGAGAAGCAGTGTATTCAGAGAGAGAAAACGTTCGTACCCATTGTCGCCTGCTAGGGTTTTCTCAGCGAGATGAAGTTTAGGCTTTATAGCTGCGGGGATTTGAGATTTGGAGACTGAGAGCTAATTAAAAGGTCTGCATAAAACCCTAGAACCTGACCCCCTTTATCAGGCCTTCACTTTCAGGCCCATCTATTTACTTGGGCCCGTTTTATTTCAACACTTCATTTTCTGATATGATAATTGTTTGTTTTGCCAACGTTTTGTCACATCTTTATCGACGTTTGTACAACACTAACAAACTGTGAGTGGACTTCTCAAATCTCAAGCTTTTTGACAAACATATTTGAGAGCCAAAGTATGTTGCAAGTCTAAACGACTACATAAACATGACACCCGACCAACAAGAGACAAGAGTATAACACATAACAAATGGAAGGAGATCTGTATACGATTCCTGTTCTGTCTTCCAAACATCTCTTACATCTTTTGTACTCATCACTTACCTATCCATATATGGCCAAAATATCGTTTCTGTACTAAATTTAGGGAAAAAAAAACTCACAACTCTTCTTCATTTTCCTTTGTCATTTCACTCCCAACTTTCTTCCTTACCAAAGCCTTGAAAAGAGTAAACGCTGATATCAATGCGATCTCCCAGTGCTCAGAGCTGTTGAGTCTCACATTCACCTTCCCCATCTTCCTGTTGTTCATGTTTATGTTGACGTCTACGTTTGTGTCCCGGGCTGGTCTAAGCTGAGTCTGTAAACCCCAGTTCAAGACTAGCTCTCTGTTGAAAGAGAGAGCTGTCATTGTCAAACCAATCTGCTCGTTTCTAACCGGATAATCTCTCCCTCTGATCCACGCTTCAAAGCCCCCACCGTGTGCTATCTGCCCTGAGCCCTTCATCTGACCTGCATTCACCGTTAACTTCACCCTCTTCCCAACTAATAACGTATCCTCAAGCTTCCCGCCCAAGTAATACTTCCCACCAAATGATGTCAAACCGACTCCAAGATTGGTTGTGTTGTGCTTAAACGTTTTAAGCTTTGTGCCGCCTTGAAACGAGTATACCAAATCTTCTCCTGATGATTGGAGGTCAACAGCTACAGAGAATGTCTGTCCTCTAGACTCTGTAGTATAAGCTGCATTAGTCTCGGATTGGATGGTGAAGCGTTCTTTGTCTCTGCTCACCTGTCCTGAAGCCGAAGCGAATAAATTCCTTTTTATCTTTGCAGCTGTCTCAATGTTTATTCCATCAAATCCAACATCGCGATCCCAACCTTGAGGATCATAGACAGGTCTCACCAGCCACTGGTCACTTGTCGCAATGCATCTGTATCTGTGCGCCGGAAAATCTGAATCGAAACTGTCTGGACCCGCCATGTCAGGCAGTGGAACAGCTGCTTGTTCGCTCTGTTCAGTGTCTCCGTTGAGGTTTTCCTCTTTAATTAGCTTTTCATCTCGTCGTCTTCGGCATTCTTCCTTCAACTGTTTCCTTAGATAAAGAGTTTCCCTGTAATCAAGCTCATCGAGATACTCTTTCTTCTGAGACTTTGAAAGCTTCTCAAATCGAGATCTCCCAAGGATACGGATTGTAGGCAACTGGTCATACTCATCTTCCTCCTCTAATTCAGAATCCAGAAGCTCGTCTATCTCCTTCTCTGCTTCATCTGCACCTGATGATAAGCGACGGCGCAGAAAAACTGACAGAAGATGAGGAAGGGAAGCTGTTCGGGTACTACTCGGTTGTCCCAGGCCAATGCTGTCACGAAACCTCAGTAGAGACTGGACATCACCAAGAACTTTGGTACAAAGGCACAGAAACATAAACTGAGGCTTCCACACCAGCCCGTTTGGAAGAACACACTCACCTGCAGGATTCTTTTTACAGCTTGGATGATTCTCAACTAACAGCACAGGGTTTTCTAGCTTCGTATCAGACACAGACTGATGTATATAGTGCTGAACCACATCCATGCGCTGGCCCACATATGACTCGTAGTTCAAAGACTGTCCATTACGTCCTTCTAAAGCAGTTGAAGAATGCGTCATCACAAGTATCGTGTTTAACCATATAGCTGCACCCAAGATTTCAGATATAAGCTTCAGGAGAGGGAAATCACTGTATCGCATGTCGATCATGTCAAGGCGGTCCAAGTAGAGAACTACATCAGCGGGATGCTTCTTAACGTATCTCTTGATAGAGAGAAGAATCTTCCGGTTTCTTCTTGTGCTAGAAGCTGACGGTGGGTGAAAACCAGGGGTATCGATAAAGGTTACTTTGACTCCGCTTACAGTTCCTGTAACCTCTTCTATGCGATCTGTGGCCGGCCTGAAAGCATCAGTTTCACTTTTGGACTGGCCAAAGATAGAGTTTATGGTCGCACTCTTGCCGACACCTGTTTTCCCCAGGACAAGGATGCGAAGTGAGAAGTCTAACTCCGGTATGCCAGATGATTCTTGCTCCCTCGCTAGAGCTTTGGCCCTATCTTGCCTGAGTTTTACTGTTTTCAGTTCTGATTCCTCAGCTCGTATCAGCATTGCAAGATGTACCCGATACAAAACCTTGGAGACTAGAATGTTATTATGCGACTGCCCAAACCTTTGAACAAGGCGTAGAAACTGTACTTGGAGGTCACCAATCTTTGCTAGTGGATTATGCTTCTTTCCGTCAAGTTCAAAACCTGACTGGTACAGGCTTTCAAAAGGAACTTGTTGCTGAGAGAGAGGAGGCTGAGTTTCTGTATCACCGCTGGTTGTACATGGTGCTTCCGAGCGTGTCACTGGTTCTGGTGGAGCGGGTGCTTGAGCTAAAGATAAAATTGAAAACTATTAGGAAAAAGAGAACATAAGAAGAGAAAGTTTTGAGAAGGATCAAATCAACCTTATGTAGTCTCAGCAATTGGTTACAGTATAAGGAAGTATTATTCAATTCAATTCTGAAAAAGCCATGAACATATAGTAACAAAAGCCTCTGAAGAGAGATATCATACATTGGTTATCATGTTGTTCTTGAGGATCGCGGAAATAAGGATCACTTCCCAAAAGGGGTCTAGATGATGCCATTGAGTTGGATAGAGCGAAAACCCAGTCTTTGAAGCTTTTCATTCTACCTGCCAAACAGAAAAGAAGAAAAAGAAGATGCTTTTAAGGCCAATGCAGATTATGCAACAATTTGTCTCAGCTATAACAGGCACTCTAGTTCACTTGGTGAACAACAAAGAAGTCAAATTAAGATGAAATAGCAGGAACTACAAAGTGTTAACACAGCTGCCAAAATCTAAACTTCTGTAGGGAGATAATGCAAACGGAACCCAGTTCCCCAAATTCCATGAATGATGAATCAATGTAGTGTAAGTAAACTCATTGGAACCCAATCACCTATGATTCGCAATAAGTCAAATGGAAAGTATTGACTTTTGACCTCAAAACAAAGCTACGCAAAACACATTTCATGCTAAGAAATTGCAGAGCATGAAGAAATGTTGTTGAAGCAAAGTTGGGTCAACCACGAAGACGATTCAGACTAAAATCGAGCTGAAAAGCCCAGGAATGACGAGAAAAGAGTCGGAAACTCTACCGCACACTATACACCGTCGTGGGAGAAGTAAGAAAAAAAAAACACAAATTGTGAAATCCGGAGAAAAGAGGTTGAATTGAAGAACACGTACCAGAGATGTTGGATTACCCAGATTGAATCAGAAATTGCGAAAATCGGAGAGAGCTTGTGTTGGTCAGAGTGTTGGCATGGTGAGGAGGACGAGAGAGAGAGAGAGGATCGAGGTAAGACAAAGGGTAGGTTTAAGAAATTGGGTTAACAAAGAAGATGCCGATATTGTTTTGGTTTTGTTTTCTTGTTTGTTACTTTGTTTCTTCCCAGCGGGCTAATGTGCGCCTCAGACCAGTCGCTACATACAAACTTTGATTGGCCGTATGTATAGATATCAAGAGCAACCGGCAACCGCAGAGTATTAGTTAATAAAAAATCGATAATATTTTTCATGATAATACATTAATACACAATGGAAATGTATAGTTATTTTCGTATTTTTCAATAATTTTTTTTTGGATAAACCTTGATAGATTATTTTGACTAATTATCTGTAAATTATTTAAATAAATCTGTTTTCTATTATACATCCGATTTATTTGAAGAGCTTACAATGACAACAAAGTAAATCTTTGCAAATTACATTTACAACAAAGTAGATAAATAACCGAGCATCTAAGACAAATCTTGGGATAGTAATACTATTGCTAGAGCATTGTTGGGAATATCTGTCTTACTATTTAAGCAGAAGACATTTGAACATGGTCTCGTATCTTGTGAATGTGACATGATCACGTCCCACCCAAATTTAGGTATCTTTGGTCTTTGGATGTGATATCTTTGCAGTCGTTATTCAACAATTGGTTTCATGGTGCTGTTTGAAACTCACTGCTGGTAGTTACATGTTGACTAACAAAAAATTTTGTTGCCTGGAGTTAGTTTGTCCCTGTATTAAAACTTGTTGATAACAGTTCTATTTTTAGCAAGATACAGTTCTCAAAGTGGAATTTTTTTTAACATTTATCTCTCTACAAGTCTTTTAAATCTTTGAAAATCTCATATATTGTCTCCGTTCACATTTTTCTCTGTTTTTCTGATAATTGGATGTTTCTTTCTTTTTTTTCTGCAAGAACCATTGGCATGTTCATTGATAAACTTTTCAGTACATAGTTTGCCAAAATTACCATTTCTTGAGTGGCAATGATCTCGAATTTGAGAGAAAACATGGAGAGAAATGAAGCAAGAGAAGGGCCTATAGCTATTGCAGTGGATAGAGATAAAACAAGCTGCCAAGCTCTTAAATGGGCTGTGGAACATTACCTACCACGAGGCGGAGCAATAAAACTTGTTCATGTCGTTCAAAGATCTGCAATGAATGCAAACGGACCTTATAATACAGATGATGAATCGTCTGAAAGACATCAAAATAATAAACGAAGCACTCAGTTTCTTCCAATGCGTTGTCTTTGTATGCGACGAAATGTAAGTATGAGGTCCGTTTTCTTTTCTTTTCTTTCTTTCTTCTTGATTTTTTTACATGTCTTTATAGTTAATATAATGTCTCTTTGATTAACATGTCTATTATCAGATACAAAGCGAAGTAGTTTTGCTTGAAGATCAAGATGTGGCTAAAGCATTAATTGAATATATTAGCCAGAGCTGTATTTCTACATTCTTGCTAGGGGCCACGTTGAAGAAGAGCATTACAAGGTCTCAAACTTATTTCTTGATCCTATTTGGCATAAACGCAAGAATCTTGTAATGATAATTCTCTAAAATTGGTTTTGGATGATCTTTGATGATCTGAAGGCTATTCAAGGTTGATGACATTCCAAGTAATGTGATGAGATGGGCTCCAGATTTCTGCACTGTCTTGGTTATCTCAAAAGGAAGACTATCGAGTGTACGGTCAGCCACTAGGCCTTTACCACAATCCTTGCCATCTCCTTCTTCAGGGACTGCACCATTGTCACCACTCAGCAACACAACCAACGACGAGGCCGTCTCTGAGATGTAATCTACCATAATCCTTATAACATTAGTGTTTATGCCATGAGATTAAACTTGTTTAATGGACTTGAAGTGGTTGGCTCTCAGGTCATTGTCAAGAGAAGACGACATTTTCTTTGAGGAGTTCTCATCACGTGACACAGATTCTCATGCAAATATTAGTGACAGGATGAGTACAGATAGTTCGACTCTCTCTTTTTATGAGAAACTTGGGGCTCCACACATGTTGGAGATTCCTAGATACACTGGTATGGATGATGAGAAATCCAAGTTTTCCATCTATCTTAATAGTCCTTCTGATGAAAAGAAGAGTACATTAGCTTCTCCAGTACTACCACCAATGGATGACGCCGAGGCTGAGAAGAGAAGGCTGAAGAAAGAGCTGAAGGAGACAATGAAACTATACCACGACGCCATCAAAGAAGCTCTTATGGCAAAAGAGAAAGCAGCAGAGCTCGAGATATGGAAAAAGAAAGCAGAGAAAAGGGTTCAAATGGCCGAAGAAACAGCAGCAATGGCCATCATGCAGATGGAGAAGACAGAGCTGGAAGTACAACGTAGAGTGGAGGCAGAGATGAAAGCGGTGAGAGGCAGAGAGAGGATGGTTTTGGATGCTCTTGGAGAGGCTCATAGCGTGGTTAAGTATGAGAGCTTGTTCCATATTTTACTTGTAATTTTCTTGTTCTATTTTTATCTCACACTCATATAATCGTGGAAACATATTGTTATATTCAGAGTACCATTAGTTTTGGTTAAGAGTTTGAGAACTCCATCTTCAGACATCCTTTTCTCTCTTTCTAGAAACTCTATGCACCGATCAGATAAGCTAATATGCAGTTCCGCTATGCAATTATATGCCTACAATAACCTCTCTTTCCTAACCAAAATAGAGCAACTCGAGATCATCGGCGAAGGAATCCGGTATGCTCTAGGCACCATAGAGCAGCTTCGGCAGCCTGCTCTGAAGCACATTTCTTAGTTGATTTAGCTTCACCATAACACTCCAATCTCATATTGGGGGCCTCGTCAACTTCCAGGATTACCTTATAAGTGAATCTGTAAACATGCACACAACTGATGACATAAGATCCCTTTTCCGGTTAAGTTTCTAGCTTGCTCAATTTTAGAGATGTAGCAGTGTTTGATCAATTTACTTACGATTTCAGGTGGCCTGGTCCTTTCTCCTCGCAGCATACGAAGTTTGGTGGCTTCCAACAGTTGGCAACACATGTTTCGCGCAAGAGGGATTTTGCGGTTTTGCTGCTTGGTCCACCTGTCGAGTTTCAGTAATGGAATTAATAAGAAGTTTACAGTCTCCTGATATATAGACAGGAATCAATATTCAATATTTTCTAAGCTGTCCGTCCAAGTACCTGCGTCTCTGAAGGTCTTTTGAGTGGGGCTATCTTCTTCTTTGGATGGTTCCTGGGTGAGAACTCGTCTGATGATGTATGAGCTGCTTGTTTCACTAGTCTTGCTCTCAGTCACAGGATCCTCGTCAAAAGTTTCTTGGAGTCTCAGGTTTTCAATTTCCAGCCCATCGAGATCCACAACATCTATAGGCTCTTCATCGTAGCCAATCAGTGTAGCTTCATTTCGGCAGCTATTCTTCAGAACAGCCTCCAACGGATTGGAGGTTTTTATGTGCTCATGAGCCTGCAGATATATTATACCAAGAACTTTTTCAAGAGCCAGCTACAAAATTGAACACTAAGTAGCTCTAGATAGAAATACACAACGAATTCTTTTGAGTCTTGAGAAAAATTACCTTCAGCTCTGTAATCATCAGCTGTGCAGCCTTTTTCGCGCCCTCTCTTTTGTTCCGACCAGTTGCAGTAGTTGTAAGGCAAGAACCTTTCTTGGTCACTTTTAATTGAACAGAGAAAGCACCATCCTTCTTCGTCACTGATATCTCCCGATCCCACTTGTAAGACTGGCAAAATTCAAGCAGTTCCTTCACAGGACTAACCTGCAGGTTTGACAAGTTTTTGACTGGATCGAGAAATGATAGCATTATTGTCCAGACATGACTCAAGTTGAACCCACAGTCCAGAAAAAGAGCCCCCAAAACGGATTCTACCAAGTCACCGAGAACCTGCATAAAAATATAATAACTATATTAGTTCCACACGATATGAAGCATTTGTTTTAGCACTATCAAACAAGACAAGTTCTGAACAAAACTCCAAAGAATTATGAAAAGTTCCACCAAAACACACTAAATTACAAAGTAGAAGCAGCAAAAATATTGTCTACATATTGAAGGAAGATCCAAACACACCTTTGGGCATTTTGGACCTTCAGATGGTCCACTTGCCAATGGTGGTGACGCTGCCACGAAGTTGGTATAATCCTTTATAGCTTCATGGAGATATATAGATTCGCAAAATATAAACTTCTCTAGCGAAAAACTGACAGCAACATTTGCAAGCGCCTTATTATTTACTGAGAGCGATCTTAGATCGGTCAGTTGACCAGGTTTCAGTTTCGGGAAGACTGTGAAGAAATAGGATGTCATCAAGTAGTCCAGAACAGCATCCCCAAGAAACTCCAATCTCTGCAGACCCCCAAATTAGAAAATTTTGGTTACTAAAGATGGCTATCAACGGGAGAAATGAAAAATAAGTAGAAGAAAAAAGAAAAAAACCTGGTAGCAGCCTCCTCCATGCCTGTTGTAAGATGGATGAATAAAGGCTTGTAGAAGTAGACCTTTGTGGAGGAAATTATAGCCAAGTTGATTTTCAAGGGCCGCCAAATTCAAGTGAGTAGTGAGTGGCATGTAGCGGTTGCTTGCAACACAAGCATCTCGTACTTGCAAGGACTCAAAATCCACATTTATACCAATCCATTTAAGAAATCCAGTGGCCCCCTTGAACCCACTGTCAACTAAGAAAGCTCCCACAAGAGCCTCAACCACATCAGCAATTGTTTTCTTGTACAACCAATGATGACCTTTGCTACATCTGATTTCACCAGTCTCTGATTCCAGAAGCCCAGGACCCTTATCCAAGGAATGAACCTCTTTCATCACAACCTCGTCACAAGTTACTCTGCATGGATGGCCAAATGTAAAGAACTGCGTAGGATCGAATGATTGATCACGGATGTAAACCTGGAAAAATGCTGAGGTCAAATATTGTCCAAAAACTAGAAGGATTTATTAAATTACCACATCTCAGTCTGCTTCTATCTAAGAGATTTTTTTTTGAACATGTACCTGCAAATTTCTTTTGATTGCAAGCCTGAAGAGGTTGGAATTGTTGACAACATTTGAGCGTCTCCGAGTCAACTCTCCTTCATCAAGCCTGTCATGGTGAAGAAAGAGGTGCCGGCTAACAGCAAACTTGAGGAATGCATCACCGAGCACTTCAAGCCTTTCCAGAGAAAAGCGCTCCTGACATTTCTCTGTTGTGAGCGCCTCAAGTACCTATACCAAGACCCGATCAGTAAAGGATCAAACATTAACATATTTTAGGATAATGAAGCAAATGGTTATCAAGTGAAGGAGTTATACTCTGTGACCAGAAACTTCAGCTATCTCGGGGATAGAAGCAGACAGCACGTGTTTCAGTTGAATAGCAACGAGTAAATTCTCCATACGGTGCATGACTGATGGTAGCAAGGATAATGAACTTCCAATGTCTTTAGATAATCCTATTATCTTTAACTGAGAGAGCTCGGGAGGAATCTCTATGAAATATTCCTCAAGTTCATGTGGTTCTGTTTTTAGGCAATGTGAGAATGGTAAACAATTAGAGTACACCCAAATTCAGTTAAGAAAATTTGTAATATGCAAAAGTTAACACACCTGTTTTTACATGCACAAGAAATTTGTCATATGCAAAAGTCAGTTAAGAAAATTTACCCAAATCCTTCCGCTTTCTGTTGTGAAGCAAGTTCCGAACATAACAAAGTGGTTTCACACGCAAGAGTGGCTGTTCAGGATGCTTGAGTTCCACGTTGTACCTAGTTTAGCGAATATAAATGAGAAAGTTCTTAAACTCAGAAAAGATCATGTGATCCTGAAGTCTAGAGTCCCAACCAATTTTATAAGGATTGTTATACTACTCTACGGAAAATGGGAAAAGAAAATTGTAACAAAAACAATCTAGAGAGTCGAGAAAGAAAAAGCAGAATACATAACCTCCCCCTGAGATAAGTTGCAATCAGACTACTGGATAGTAGTAGTTTAGTAGCTTACCTATTATATATGCTCTCCAAATGGCTTTGCGTGCTTGATCTTTTGGCAGGACTGAAACCATTTCTTCCATGACAGATATCAGTGACAAAGTAGAACTGTTTTTTGTGGGTTGCAAAAACCACGCTGTTCTTGACATCATCAATATCCCAGCAGCCATTTGCAAGCTTTAAATGAGATCCCACAGGAGGAACTATATTTTCCACTAAACCAGATGGAGCCTTAAAGACTGGTGATGACAAGCAGCTTCTGATAGTAGCCCAATCTACGGATATACTTTCTGTATCATGCAGACTAATTGGAAGAAGAAGGTAGAAGGTAGATTTGCTTGTTCTAAAAGAGTCTTGCAGCCCTAAGGGAACAAATTCCGGAATGAGCTCTTTCCGTTCAAAAAGGATTTTCAGGGCAACCTCCTGGAAAGCCTCTGCTAGCCTTATCTGCATTAACATAATCAAATTTGACACTTTCATCTAGTTAACTTTTTATTTAATAAAAGCTCAATACCTCATCGTTGTCGAATTCAGCGTCTCCCGCTGGAGAAATCTTCACACTTACAGACCTTTGATTAGCAAGGTGAAGATCGTAATCCATAGTCTCAGCCTCAATGGGAAGAGGTGACATCATGAAGAGACCAAAATTTTTGTAGATCCTATCCGCAGGATGAGGCACAAACCTTATATAGTAAGAATGAAGATTGATACACCTCTTTGATAGATCCCACTTTTGTTTAAACAAGTCAGGAACAAGCATCTCATAGAGTTCGCCTCGTGAACAGCCCACACCTAGCAAGAAATGTTTTAAAAAAAATGTCGTTATATAACGAGTGAACAATAAACAACTTGGATTTAATAACTGAACCACTTATGCACCTTCAACTTTATCAAAATCAAATTCATCATCTGACAATTCGTCCTCAACTTCATCCTTTGAGTCTGGCAACAGAAAATCGTTCAGTACACCCAAGTTGTGCAACGTATACACAGCCTTTAGACAAGCATTCTTTTTAGCAGCTTCAGTCGAAGGTAGTAGTGAGCTGACGATTTCACTAATAGGAGCATTAGCAGGTAAAATTATGCGACAGATAGTTCCACCTAGGTCGTCAACAGGTTTGAATTCAAACTCTGGCTTGGGCTGAAAAAATCTGAGGGAACAAAAATGTGCCAAATGAAATTCAATTATGACACGAAAAAGCTAGCTCCCATTTACTGTGGAAGGTGAATACAAAAAGCACAAACAGAAAAATGGAATCCTTACTCATCATGTGGAAGCCTAGAACAATATTTATAGAGAAGGGAGATGCTACTTCCACCACTGATACAAGCTCCTGTCTCAGGAACTCGGTATACCTCATCAACAAGACTAGGACAAGTTTCCTCTGACGTTCTGGAAGTAATTTCCATATTCATTCGATCTTCACTTAGTTTAAAATTTTCAATCAGATCCATCTCTTTCTCGTTTCCCCTGAATCAAGAAAGAAGAAACAATCTTAATCGCGTAGAAAGGAAAATCCAACTCATATTTATGGCTTTGTCATTTTCTCATTTGTACACACCTGTCCACTAGAAACGCGTATTCAGACTGAGGCATCCGAGCACGGCCTCTGGATTGAATGAAGCTGGTAACAGTCTCTGGTAAATCAAAACGGATCACAAGACAGCATGTCTTAATATCAAGACCTTCTTCGCCAACTTTAGTGGCAACCAATAGATTGAGCTGGAACAAGAAGAGGAATCTCTAGAAGTTAGTTGGAAGTGGCTTGCAGATTGATCCCAGAAAATACATGTTATCCAAATGGGTGTGTGTATGTATCTTTGTAAAGTACATAAATCTCCCAATGCTAAATATAGGTTTAGAGATGGCTAAAGTATCACCTCTTTAGATCGGAACCTTTCAAGAATTGTCTTCATACTCTTTCTTGACATGCTCTTCACTCCAGAACTAAGTCCAACAAGAAAATCAGACTTCCAGGACTGTAGAAGTTTCAGTTGATTTAGTATGTGTGACAACGTTCTTGCAGTCACAATCCGATTGACAAATATGATACACTTCATGTGTGGCTCTATCCTGAAAGGGGGAATAAGAAAGAAGCTTAATGCAATATACATTTCATTCATTTCTTTCGTTCACATATGCTTTATGGAATATTCAGTACAAAAACATTCCAAGACTCTGTCACCTCTCTCAGTTACCAACCTGAATGCCGAAAGGATTTTAATTAATTGTAATAGCTTTCTAGAGAAAAACGGTTCCTTCAACGCCGTTAAGCTGAGGAGTTCAGAGGCATCTACAACCACAGTGAAGACAAAGAACAAATGATGAGGCAATCAATGGCTTCTCTAATAGGGCATTCACATAAAATAACAAATACAGTTCAGAATATGATTAAAAATTTCGGACGTTGCAACCCCGAAAAAACATATGCATTGATTAACGTGTCAGTAATGTTCAGAAAAACATACACACAGTAGGATACTAAGTCATGCATCCTACCTTTAGGAACACTGGAAGAAAGAACTTCGGCAGCCAGAGAAAGATATTTATCACATATCTTTGACTTGAGATTCTCTTCTACAGGCTGTTCTTGTGCATTATGGCCACTATTCAACTGGATTCTAGCAGCCTCCAATAAATGAAGAGAAGAAACATTAGCAGGCCACATCATGAATTAAGACACATATGACGCAAACAAGAAACAACATAGAGAGTATCATTTTGGCTAGACGTAAGGTTTACATATCGTGGTAAGATAGTCGTCATAAAGAGCCTAGAAAAAAAAACATTTGAAACCAAAACCTGAAATCAAATCTATAGACTAGTTTAGTATTAAATGTCTACCTGTATTGCTCCCCAGAGGCCAAGATTCACCAGACTATATATGAGATTATCATGAGTTTTATTGAGAAGCTTTTTCATATTTAAGAGGCTCTGTGTTTGATGGGTATCAATTTGCTGCTTTAGTGATGCCGAGCACTGTTAATATCAGGAAGAAATATCAGCTCACATATCCAGGCACAGTGAGCAAAAAGAGGTATCAGACACATTAGACAACCCGCTGTTTGATGTCCTTCAGCATGTCTTCATATATGATGGTTGATTGAGATACTTCACTCATAGCTGACTGATAATAATATACTTTGACTATAGGAGATGAAACAAAACCATCCAGCTGGACATTGCTTTCCACTGAGTAAACCTTTTAGATCACGGAAAACAAAAAGGTAAATATTAGAACATTGGACAAACTGAATGTAAGAGCATTAGTACGAATTCAGCCATGAAAAATATATTTCTGCTTTAGCAGAGTTTTATTGATACTTCGGGTATCACCCAAATAAACACAGCGTGAAAGGGCTTAACATAAATTAAATTTCCACTTCTAAGGTAGAGAATTGTGCTTAAAGTTCTTCTGCCAACAGTCAACCTTTCAATCAAAATAGCAAAATTTAAGAACCAGCATACCTTGGCATTGAGCAAATTTTCAAGGCTATTTATGCTTTTCGATAAATTCTTTGATTGAAAAGACCCTGAAAAGTAGGTAGAGCTGTCAAAATGGGGACCATTTTAAAGAGATGCTGAGTCTAACCCGCAAGATTATCAGAACATGGGAAAGTTAAATGCTAGAGGTCCTAGAGGAAATAAAAAGAAATCTGCCTACAAGTTTCTCTTATTCTTATTGAAAATAATTTAGATCATTTCATGATATTAACTTTGGACAGCAGTGAGCCTCTAATCCGGAATTAATATTAGCAAAACAGGGCCTACCTTTGCCAACGACTGGAGATGCAGTCATTCCAAAGATACGAGGTCGTTGTAAACCTTCTGTTTTATAGAAAACCTGCATTTGCAACAAAGTCAGGCACCTACAAGCTGGCTATATCTTAAAAATTTTTTAGACACCATATACCAAGAATGTGGAGAGAGATACCTTCAAGATTTGTGCATAAGGATGGTTGCTTTGCTCTTGAGCATGGTGACACTCATCCAATATTAGAAGAGAAATACACTCCATCCTGATGAAACAGTGCTGTAAGTTATGCAGAAGTATTTGTGGTGTCATGACGAGAACCTGCAGAAAACATTCCACAAAACAACTGAAAGATGGTTCCCACATAAAATGGAATTAACAATCAACTTAAAGAAAATTATAGGGTTAAAAGGCTAAAAAGAGGGAAATCACCTCATTCTCTGAAAGCTCTCTCTCCCAGTCAGAATGGCTACTCAACGTCCGATTTCCACCACAATGTGTTGCAACTTTGAAGTTGATAGACTTTGCTATGACTTGAGCTTGCTGTAACAAACAAAAAAAAACTCAAGAGAGTTAGAGCATGTGAACTTAAAGAAAGAAACTCATCAATCCGCAACAAATCAGCTCCATTAAACACTAATGTAATCAAGAGGAATATCTTCTCACCTGTTCAACTAAAGCCACTGTGGGAGCAAGGAAAACACAAACACTTTTTTGGGGGCTAAGGATCAAGTGGCCAAGCTCATATATAACCATCACTGCAATGTGAGTCTTCCCACAACCAGTTCCCAAATATACGATAACATTCTCCTCCGTTGCTTTCTTACACAGATCCAGCTGATACCTTCAGTAAGCAAATCAAAAAAATTAATTCAGCACAACTAAAAAGAAACTCGTTCGAGAGAGAAACAATTGTATCCGATTTGCATCTGTAAACCAAGACAATTCCGATCAACTTTTTTTTTTCCGGATAGCATGTTAATTTAACAATCAGATAAACTTCCTCAGCTACAAACTTGCAGCTGCAACATAATCGGAAAAAAATACTACCCAGATACGAAAGTGTACGGAAACGAAATCGTGGAAGCAAACAAAGCTAAGAAAATGCAAGCTGCGAAGGTGTACGGAGAGACGAGAAAAAAACTGAAAATCGAACCTCCTGGCTATTTTTCTAGGGTCTTTCTCCATTTTGGGTGAGGGATCATCCGTAGAAGCGCAAACTTCAAGCCCAGCCGCCGAGTAGGAGGAAGAGAAGGAAGAAGAGGAAGAAGAAGTAGCAAAAGAAGAAGACGAGGAGGAAGAAGAGAGGTTGATGTCAGAAGCATCGGGATCACAGTCGAGTGAGCAGAAATCGTCGCCGATTTCGCCGTACGGCATCATGGTCAAAGAGGGAAGAAACTTGTGAGTGGCAGTGAGAATTGGAGAGCACTTTTGCTTTTTCCCAGAGGTTTTGCCTCCCCAGCTAAGTTTTAAGTAATTGATTTTTCTCTTGTTCGTTTTATTTTCTCCGGTCAAGCTATGGTCAACCGTTGATGATGGCACGTCTCCGCCCTTATAGTCCATGATTTTTTTTTCCTTTTGTCGTCTCGTCTCCCTTAAAATGATTCAATTACACAGTAATCGCCTTTTTATAGGACTTAAGAGTCCAAAATTTTAACTAGCGATTAATTAAAAACAATAAAATTAGAAGGGATTATTAGGGTTGAGTGTTTAAAATGAGTTGGGAATTGAAAAACAAAAAACAAAACTATGTGTTATTCAATCGTTGATTTTGGCATTTTTGTATTCAAATGACTGCTTTCGAAGTTACGGTTATTCTAAGCCATTGCGAAATCAAGAGAGAGATGGTGAAGCTTTGATTCTTTGTCGGCAATGCAATTGGCATCTCCCTAGCTCTATTTTCTGTTTTCTTTTAGATCGTTGCAATGTCTCAAACTTTACTTTGGGTGATAATATGGACACAAGTGACACACAACTATGATATCATCGCACCAAGTTGTGTCACTAAAAGAGGATAGATGATACACATTGACATTTGGAACGTAAAGATGGATGCAAATGATAATTTCTTGGACAATTTTGAACAACTACATGGAGCATTGAAACATGTCATTGGTTAAACGATCAATAAACCCGCCAACTCCAAGAACACTTTTTTTAACGAACCCGCCAACTCCAAGAACACTTTTTTTAACGAACCTATATATAAGCAATGAACTTGAAATCAACATGTTACATATGGGATGTTTTTCCAAAGATAAAAAATGTGGCATATGGAATGTTTGTTGACTTGCACAAACTATTGTCTCACTCCCATCCTAAATATCATCTTCACATAACTCTGAATGGTAAGGAATCTCGTCAATCGTCATCATCCAAGTCATCCTCACTAATATTTTCATAATTATTTTTCATTTTTCCATGCAATATAATGTTTCCAGGATGCTCTTTTAAATTTTGACACCTGTTATCTTGATACAGCATCAGAAAAGTGTTCATGAAAATTGATAGTCAGATTCATGTATTTTAAGTTTAGTTTGTCACATAAAAATCATACATGATGAATGTACCAAATCTTGAAATTATACAAGAGTGAATGTATCAATTTAATTAAAGTTCATGTATTCTTAGATATTTTTCTTCTAGTTAACATAATATCGGCAAGATTTTATTTTCGGTTTCTTATGGAATAGCAGATTCAGTTAACACTATTAATTAGAAAAATAAATGAAAATACCAAATTTGTAGTTAGATCCATGGCCAAGATCACACCAACAGCAAAAATAAATTAATTTTACTATATTATTTATTAATAAAACTGGAACTAGATCTTACACATGTGGATGTATATATAGATACAAATACAACCTACATTTTGCAACGAAACGAAAAACAATATAACAAGTTTACTTCCTTCTTCTCCCATCTTCAGACAAGTACTGATCTTGTGATCATATCTCCATATACACTAATACACACATACAAAAGTTTCATCATGCTCTATTCTCCTAAGAAGCTGTTCTTGCTCTTCCTCTCGTGCATCGTGATGAATTTCATCTACAACAAGAGTAGCCTCGTAACCGCAGCGAACAACATTGGTTTGAACTATGGTCTCCTCGGAGATAACCTCCCGCCTCCGTCTAACGTGATCAACCTCTACAAATCCATAGGCATCACCAAAATCCGAATCTTCGACCCAAACACCGAGGTTCTCAACGCCTTACGCGGCCACCGCGATATTGGAGTCACTGTAGGCGTCAAGGACCAAGACTTGGCTGCTCTTGCAGTCAGCGAAGAAGCTGTTAAAGGCTGGTTCGCCACCAACATCGAGCCTTACCTAGCTGACGTAAACATCACGTTTATCACCATCGGTAACGAAGTCATTCCCGGACCAATCGGTCCTCAAGTGCTTCCCGTCATGCAATCTCTCACAAACCTCGTCAAGTCGAGGAACCTTCCGATCTCGATAACCACCGTGGTGTCTATGTCAAACCTCGGACAATCATACCCACCTTCCGCGGGAATGTTCACGGCTCAGTCGCGTGAACAACTCACACCGGTGCTCAAGTTATTGTCTCAAACAAATACGCCGATCCTGGTCAACATGTATCCTTACTTCCCTTACGCATCCGACCCGGTTAACATCCATCTCGACTACGCCACTTTCAAAACCGAGACCGTCGTGGTGCAAGATGGACCACTAGGCTATTCAAACATGTTAGATGCAATGTTCGACGCGTTCTTGTGGGCGATGGAGAAGGAAGGCGTGAAAGATTTGCCGGTGGTGGTGTCTGAGACCGGATGGCCGTCCGCCGGGAACGGAAACTTAACCACGCCGGATATCGCCGGTGCGTATAACGACAATTTTAGAAAGCACGTGGTAAGTGGAAAAGGCACGCCTAAAAGGCCTAACAGTGGTGTCGACGGGTTTTTATTCGCAACGTTCAACGAAAATCTTAAACCGGCCGGGACTGAACAGAATTTTGGCTTGTACAATCCTACTGACATGAAGCCCATCTATAAGATGTTTTGAGTGTGAATGTTTCTTAGAAGACTTTCCCGATTCACACCAATAACAAATGCTCTAATTGTTGTTGGTGAATTAGAGTAAGGTTAATGATTATATGTTATTAGCTATTGGTTTTTAACTTTTTATGATTGACTTTGTAATACATCTCTGAATTTCTCCGGTTTATAGTAAACGTTACATTGTTTCTTCATCTATCCTACGATTCCTACCACAAGCACAAAGTATGTAATTTATTATGCAACTGGTTGCATTTCGTTTCCCAAACAGTATTTTTAACATTGGGTCCGATCGATAACCGTAAAATGGTAAGAGTTTTGTAAGGATAAAAATGTAGTAGATGTATAGTTAGGATATGTAATTGTTACATCACAACAAACTACCAAATTTTATTACAAATCAACTGTATCGCTAATCTTCCCGGATTAATTTATGCTCAACTTATTATTTTCATCTTTCCAAGCATTATCTTCTTCTTAAAACCCAATTTAACATTGATTCGTTGATATCCCCTTCCCTTTTATTCCACTTATTCTGATACCATCTTTACATAGAAATATTAACAGTCCGGTAAAAAAATCTACAGAAAAATGATGGTGGATTTGATTTTTATAAAATGGATTTGTTGTTTGACAATAATTTCTGAAATGATAAAATAAAATGAACGGTGAGATTTGAAGGTATGACTCTGACCGGTCTTAAAATTTGTTCTTCTTCTCCTTTCATTTCCGAGTCAACAGCCATCGCAATATCAATCATTTCTTCTTCCTCTGATTCCACACAAAAACCCTAGCACCTTCTCTCATTTTCCCCCAAATCTCACGATTAGTTTACCTTCGGGGGGAGAATTGTCAAGGTCAACCCATGAGAGCATAGAAAAGGGAATCGAATCCTCCTCGTGGGTATCGTGATCGATCTCGTTGTTTCTTCTTGTGAGGCGGAGAAAAAAGATAAGAAAATGTCATCGGAGATTGAGGTGGTGGAAGAAGTACAATCGAATCCGGTAGAGAACGGTCAATCGAGCTCTAAAGGAATTGAAGAGGAGAGCTTGAAGAACGATGTGTATACTGCAGCGGCTTATGGTGATTTGGAGAAGCTTCATAGATTGGTAGAGTGTGAGGGTTGCTCTGTCTCCGAACCCGACGGCCTTGGCTACTATGCTCTTCAGTGGTCCGCCTTGAACAATCGCACCGCTGTTGCGCAGTACATTATCGAGGTTACATTGCTCAATCCTCCCCCTCATACTGGGTTTTGTGCTTTAGCTCGTGATTTTTCCGATGGTTTGTTAATCGTTTTGTTTGCTTACTTCTCTGTGGCTTAGCTTATCTGTTTCCATTAGATATCTTCTTTTGGTGTGTGAATCGTTAAGCATTAACATTAGGTTTGAAACTGTGGGTCTGAGGCTTATAATATTGATCCGTTTCGATTTCGGTTTTTCAGCATGGTGGAGATATAAACGCGACGGATCATACTGGACAGACTGCGTTGCATTGGAGTGCTGTTCGTGGTGCGATACAAGTTGCAGAACTTCTACTACAAGAGGGTGCAAGGGTAGATGCAACAGATATGTATGGATATCAGGTTCGTTCATATCCTCTTTAGCTACTTTGTGGTTAAAGGTAGATTATAAACTGCTCTTTTGCACATTGCTTCACGCTGGCATTCAGGCTCTATAAATAGTATTGCTTGTAACGTTGTGGTTGCATTTTTACTTAAGTTGGATGTGTTCTGGGGTTCATGTAGGTAAAACAGTACTTCGTACTTTGGCACTTGTTTCAATAGAAAGATGAGCTTATATTATATGTTCAATCAAGATTGTGATCTAAGTGCCTAGTCTTTGGAAAATTAGTTTACTTATCCTGGAACGAGATTGAGCAGTTCCACGACTCCATTATTCAAAGCTTTATCTGGTTTTAATCAGCTTTTAGAATGTTCATAGTGATATCAAATTTATCTAAAAACGTCGAGAGACTTGTTCAAGCCATCTCCAAGCTATCTCCGTTCGTTAAGGAGGTTGAAAATTTGAGGTCTTCTTATTCTTGGAATCCCATAGTTATGCTCGGATTATGTGTTAAATTTATTTGCTGAGTCCTATCAGATTTCTCTTCTCCTCTTGCTTAGTTCTCAGTGGATGCATGTTAATACCCATCTTAAACTGCTTGTAGCCAACACATGTTGCAGCACAGTATGGCCAAACTGCTTTTCTCTGTCACGTTGTCTCAAAGTGGAATGCTGATCCCGATGTGCCCGATAATGATGGAAGAAGCCCCTTGCACTGGTAGGGTTGCTGCTAACTGAAGCTCGCCTTGTTGACATTATTACTTTTTAACTCTGCTGCATGATTCTTAGCTTCCTCATGTTGACCTCCATTCTTTTCTGCTATATTTTATTTAGTATCTATCCAGAAGACAGTTCTAATTTCGGCTCTCTTTTTCTTCTCATGTTTTGAGTAATTCAGGGCTGCATATAAAGGTTTTGCAGATTCCATTCGCTTACTTTTATTTCTAGACGCATATAGAGGACGACAAGACAAAGAAGGTGGTTATAAACATAATTTTGCTTTGAAATCCTCTTCGTTTATCTGGTTATATTAAGAAACCTAGCATTCCTAATAACTTTTCTCCATTTATTTCATTCTGTTATCAGGGTGTACTCCTCTGCACTGGGCTGCCATCCGAGGTAACTTGGAGGCTTGCACTGTCTTGGTGCAGGCTGGGAAGAAAGAAGATTTGATGATTACTGACAATACTGGACTTACCCCCGCTCAGCTTGCTGCTGAAAAGAATCACAGACAAGTTTCTTTTTTCCTTGTAGGTATCTGTTTCATTTTATTCTGCTATGTAGCAAAATTTTGTTATACTGTTTATTCGATGCATTCGTAGTGGTAGCTACTGCTAAACATATATGGTAGTTGAATCATTCGATTGGCCTTATGTTTTTGGCAATAATATGCACCTCATTACTCATTAGACATTCGCATACCTGGAAACAGATTTCTAGTTAACTCGTAGCCGTACAATGTCAGTTTCTTCAAGCTTTAGATTTCATTTTATCAAAAGAAATCGTAAAATAATGAGAAAATTGTGTCATATATTCTCTCTGATAAAAACTACTGTGCAGGGTAATGCTAGAAGGTTGCTTGAAAAGCGTTGTGACGGAAGCACTCCCCTTGGAAGATTGTCGAAGTTGGGACTTGCTCCAATTCTTTGGTTCATGATCCTGCTGCTTCTACTCATATATACTAATTCTGTTGTTTTGGGTATTACATTGGCCTCCTCGAATCTCCTTTATGTGCATCATAATCAAGTAAATATTCCTATGCATGCTTATTATTTGATGAACCCTTTGGTAACTGCAGCATCCAATCTGCCAAAGCTAACAGCTGGGATTGGTTCGATTGCATGGCTGGGATTCATTCTTGCAACTGCAGGACTATTTTTGTTTTACCGTTGTAGCAGGTATATGCTCATACAATCCTTTCCTATTGCTTTTTGTTGCTGTCTGATTATTAGTATAGTGTATCTGTGTTATTCTTATAATATCCACCTGGCCCTTGCAGATTAGGATTATACATTATAGCATTCATAGCCCAATTCTCTTCATAGTTTCATTCAATTCATCTAGTCCTTGCAGTTTGAAATTTAAAGACCTTTACTTCTCTGCACCTATAGCTGTGAACTCCTTGTTTTTCTGCGTAGCGGTACAAAATACCGGAAGAAGTGGGTTTTCTTATTGTTTTATACTATACTTTTTTTGTGCAGAAAGGATCCGGGTTACATCAGAATGAATATCCATGATCCGCAGAACATGAAAGATGATGTTGGTACCTCGACTGAGTGACATAGTTTTTTAATCTATCTGATTAGACATAATCTCGATATTGTCATTATTCTGAAATAAACTATATTACTCTTTACAGGAACCACTGTTGAAAATAGAGCTAAACAACCCTGCTTTGCTTGCTGGGAATTGGACGCAGCTCTGTGCAACATGCAAGGTACCTCCTCAACTTCCCTTTAATGTCTTTCTTAAATCTTAACATCAAATATCGTAACCTACTTATTTTTGTTCAGATTATTAGACCTCTACGAGCTAAGCACTGTTCCACCTGTGATCGTTGTGTAGAGCAATTTGATCACCATTGTCCTTGGGTATCAAACTGTGTTGGAAAAGTAAGTACAGTTTCCGTTATGCCATTTTAGTTTTTCGGAAAATATAAGTTGACAAACTAGGAGAAGACATGTCAGGCTTTTGATACCAACATTTTATAGCTAAAAACTGCCTTTCTCTTCATAGTGTCTTTTGATTTGACATAGTTTACTTTTCGTTCTCAAAGATGTTTAAGACGATCATAACGTCTTAAGCTGTATATTTGTGCTCCATTCCACATACATACATCTTGGTGTCGCATCACATCGCATATTTATTTTGCTTGCTAGTGGTTTGATCATTGCAGCTCGAGCATGAGACTAATTTGTGGATTGGGTTTGTTTTTCACCAATCACTCTTGCAGAAAAACAAGTGGGACTTTTTTCTATTTCTTCTACTCGAAGTTCTAGCGATGCTTATAACTGGTGGCGTCACTCTTGCAAGTATGTTTGTAATGGAAGTTACTCTCAAAAGCTTATACCTGATATGTAAATATGGAGAAAATACTGTTTTCTCTATATCGCTTCCGCGGATTAATCATCTCTAGAATTGCTCCAGTGAGCTAGAACTCACCAAGTAGACTAGAGAGCATTGATAAATTTTCATGGTCCAAGTTACAGATGTAATCCATCCCCTTTTCCCTTTTGCAGATATCGAGGAATATAACCACAAACGAAATGGCTAATGCACTGCGTTACAGCTACCTAAGAGGTCCAGGTGGTCGGTTCAGGAATCCGTATGATCTCGGTTGCAGAAGAAACTGCTCTGATTTCCTTGTAAAAGGCTATAACGAAGATATTGAGTGTCATGAAGAAGACCCAACACAGAGACAAGAGGGTATTAGCATGATGCAGATGCAGCGGAGTCCAAATGGCAATGGCCACGTTGCGATCGATGTTAACCCAATTCATAATTCGCAGTCAGCACATGGTCATTCTGCCAACTGCAGCCATAACCATAGTAGTAGTAAGTCAAAGAGTGATGGTGCTCCTTTGGGTTTGGGACTTGGTCTTGGTCGCAACCCAACCCGCCCTGCTGTCCCTCCGTGATATGGTTTGTGTCCCAAAATTGTTCTTTTGTGATGTATGAAACACGCGTGTGCTATCATCGAGTCGAGTCATTGAACATCGACCTCCGTTTCACGTGAAGATTAGTGGGTGTGATTGGTAGCTTGTGGTTTCTTTGATGTACTTTTGAGTTATGGTGTAATTCATAGTTATGTCAGAATATTACCAATCATGAATCAAACTAAAATCTTAGAATTTGAGTTTATAATGTGCTATGGTTATTTATTATATTTTTTTCAATTTTTGAGTTGTCTTTTGTAAAATTGTTATTCAAAATCATCGAAAATTTCACCTGTTACATGTTAATTCATCAAAAAAAAATTTCAATCTATTTATAATAATTATGTTTACAGAGCTTGAGGTATGGAAGGTTGAATTCCCGAATACAGTTTGATAATCCTTGCTTTTCCAAATCATATCCAAAAGCAAATAGATTGTCACAAACACATCATTACAGTTTATCTATGTAACAACGAATTACAAGAGAACGCAATTGCCTATCTCAAATGCCTTCCCCACCAAAATCTTGTGGAGTACCCAAAAAAAAGGAAGACAAAACCAAAAAAAGTGTGTTTCTGTGTATGATGAATGTTCCACGAGAAATGAAATCTGAGTCAGAACCAAATGACTAAAGTCACAACTCACCCGGTGACTGAAGAGCAAGAACCTGCAAGATATTTGCTTCACTCCTCGCCTAATCAAATCATATGAATGTTACACAAACAAATGTAGAACATATGTGTATATGTTTCTTTCTGTCTACAAAAATCCGAACTTGAAATCCTATGCCACTAGACAAAACCTGCAAAGAGAGAGAGATCCTTGTGGTTAGATAACTGAAAGTCAAGTGGTATCCAGAATATGAACATTTTGGTTCAGCTCAAACAAATAAAAGCATTGGCAATAACTGTAGCAACAGGTAAAATAATAGTTGGTAGTTATACAGAGCATGTGATGTTGTTGGACAATGCAATCGATAAAACAAGTTTGGTCTGATCAAGTTGTTTCAACATCTTGAACAAATGCGCATAATCAAACAGTAAAGAAGGTCAGACCTAACACTAGCCACCAACACTCTTAGTTCCTTAAAAACTATATCAAAAAAGAAGAATACCGATTCCACTGTAGCCTGCTTGTGATAACTTTCCTATCTATACAGAGCAACAATTCGTAAAAGTGTTGTATGTGTACCTTGATATGAAGCTTGATCAAGATAATGACCAAAGTCATTGTGCACCACTTTTTCAATGAAACCCCTTCAACCACGTTGGATATCTGTATTTGACACATGAAATATATTTGAAGCCCTCCTCGTTAAGATCTCTTCCAACTGGTCTGAAGGGATCCCATTACTCCATCCTTTTGCTTCACTTATCTCGTTGAATATCTCTAATATCTCTTCCATGTGAAACCTTAAATCTGCAGTGAGAAAGAGGTCATATCAAATACCATGGCTTACGTCTCCCAAAATCAATACTAAGCTAGATCAAACAGTACCTCGTAAAGTATTGTCTGATACATAATTTTCACTAATCACCGCAGCAAATTCCTCCATACAAGTTCCAACTAACTCAAATTTCTCCATTGCAGCTTCTAAATTCTCTCGCCAAGCTGGGAGGTCAAGTTTAAACTCCATGATGGATCGCTCATACAGAACAGCACATAGTAAAACATCAAGCCAAGACTTAAACTTCGCTGCTTCATCTTCTGAGCTACCCGGTACATTGGTAGATCAAACAGTACCTCGTAAAGTATTGTCTGATACATAATTTTCACTAATCACCGCAGCAAATTCCTCCATACAAGTTCCAACTAACTCAAATTTCTCCATTGCAGCTTCTAAATTCTCTCGCCAAGCTGGGAGGTCAAGTTTAAACTCCATGATGGATCGCTCATACAGAACAGCACATAGTAAAACATCAAGCCAAGACTTAAACTTCGCTGCTTCATCTTCTGAGCTACCCGGTACATTGGATTCCAGATTTTTCAACTCTTCCATAGACTTTTTGATATTGCTTCCGGCGCTTTGATAAAACTGTATCACAGGTGCATATGTCCATGTTTTCAAATCAAGCTGACTGAAAACTACATAGTACCATGAAAGTCTTGCTTCCTCAAACTGCTGCAGACCTAGCGCAAGAAAGACTTCGAACAAATCCGGCTTTATCCTCATGGCCTCTTCGTACTTCTCATTCGCTTTTGCATGCTCCTTTTGAGCGCATTCATAAGCAGTCTTGACTTGTTCAGAACCAGATTCTCCAGAAACACCTCGTAGCAGGCTCAACCTTTTCCTCGCCCTTGACATGTGCACATGTCCCCATTTCAACAATGACCGTGCTGCAACCTCTTGGAACTGATGAGCTGCTATGTCGAAAGGCCCTTGAGCTTCATCAGATGTTACCACCTCCTCCATAGCTTCTGAATTAAGCTTCATCCCAAGTTCTTGAAGATTCAAGCATGTATCAGGATCAACTTTGGCCTCGATCTTGAAAAGCCGAGCAAATTCAATCATCCAGTCTTCAACTTTACACGCACCTTTTGCATTTACCTTCGATTTAAAAGAATCGGTGGTTATCTTAAGCTTTTTCATCTCGACCAATCTTCCAAAAAACGGATCCTGCTCAGGACTAACTTCCACCACATAAAACCTCATAGTGTCCACTGACCTTCCTGAAACCTCACTCATTCTCAGCTCTTCATCTGTTGTGATCGTCACTAAATCTCCTTCTTGATCCTTGTACTTTATATGAACAGCCCTTAAGCTAGGGAAAGTCTCATGAACAACTTCCCTAAGCTGAAAGAGAGTGCAGTTTATAGGCAGTTTAGCCTTTCTTATATCCTCAGAGTAAACAAATTTCACAGCTTTCTTTCCATCTTCATCACTCTTATTCAGAAGCTTCTCCTGTTCCTTTCTCCTATCACTTCTCTGCTCCAAATGTTTCCCTTTCACTTTCTTCTTGCTCTGCTTATCATTCTTCTCATTCTTGTTCTTCTCCGTCTCTGCATTATCACCATCGCTCTTCTCTAGCACCAGATTCTTAATTTTCTTCTTCTTAAGCCGTGTCCACAAATCAGAGGAAGCCTCAGCAGGTTCAACGTAATCTGGAGGCAGCTCTATCACTGAGTCATTAACCCTTAACCCTTTGCTCTCTAAAGTCCTCGTAAGCTTCTCCACAATCTCAGACGCCATGGGATTCTTTGGATCCAGCTTCGAAACCATACAAACATCTTTCAACGCCAAATCCAACTTATTCAAGGCCTCATAGCATCTTGCTCTCTTCAACAATGCCTTACTATGATCAGGAGTGATTTCAAGTGCTAAATCACATTCAATGATTGCATTCGCAAACTCGCCTGGATCCAATTGCATATAACAAGAAGCCATGTTAGCTCGAATGTGAGACACCTCTACATGATCGTTAGGAAGTATCTCGATTGCTTCCTCGTATTTAAGCATTGCGCCTTCGTAATCTCGCTTCTGGAAAAACTTGTTACCTTCTTCCTTCAATCCTTGTGCTTTTGTAACAGGAGATTCTAAAGTTTCAACCTTTGAATCGTCCTCTTGACTTTGGCTTGTTTCTGGTTCTAGCTTTCCCTTTAGCTTCTCCATTTGGCAATTCTCAGGAGGCAAAAAAGATTCCAATTTTTTTTCACCAAAGATTTCTACTTGAAACCGCACATGAAATCGAATTCATGTGAGCTTCAAATGAAACTAAAGCAGCTAAATTCCACAGGGCCTGGCAATGTAACAGTGCTACACAAAAGAAAAGAAGGTATACTAATTTACAAAATCCCTAAGGGGATTGAATAGAGATAGAACACGGAACGTGTCTACCTATTTGAATCGAGATCCTTAATCGGAAAAGGAACGGCAATTTCCGGAGGTGTGTCTGGGGAAATGACAATCAGAAACGGATTTTCTCGGGAAAGAGATTTGAGTTTTCCGGGAAAAAGACGGGAGGAGGAAGAAGCGATGCGAAGAGGATGATGAAAAAAGAAGAAGATTAAGAGACCATGTGGCTCTGTACATCTGTAACGAGATAGCTTTGTCTAAAAGCCATGTTGTCATATATTATATTATTATCATCTAATTTAATTAGCAGCAATATGGAAAGTGGAAGAAGAAAGAACCAAATGACGTCATACTTGCACAAATTAAGAAACCAAATATTCGAATTCGGGGAAAAAATCATCCCAAGTTGTTTACACGTGTCGAATATGTGCTTTACAGCGAATTACTTTGGGAAATTTATTCAGTGCGTTTTCTTTTTGAACGTCTTAGTTCAATAGTTTTGAGTAGGATGGATGATTGCGATTATATGTGTTTTGAAATTAATAAATTTGGTTCATATGTTGTTAAAATATATTGTTATTGATAAAAGCGTGGTTGGTCGGTCCAAGTTGATCTATGCATTAAGAAACATATATAGTCGTAACGACGCTGGTAGTGATTAAGCAATCTCTGATTACATTCTTCGTTTACAAGTTCTTGTTGGTTTGTTGTAGCAAAATGCAATGGCCATGCCGTGGAAGTTCAGTGGGAAATTCCATAGAGTCGTGTGGTTGTAAATTGCGATGGTTTAAATGTAGCAATGCCGTGACGATTGGAAATTTGGCCATAAGAAACGCAAGACCGAGGTTCGTCGCTAACGTGTCTACGGTTTCCAACTTTATTGGAAATATATATTGGAACATAATTAAGTAGTATCGGATTTACACAACTTTTGTAACTATGGGATTCTTAAAATCAGCAACATTTACCACGCAGCATTCAAACTTTTATCTCTATGACGTTATAGGGCTGTCTTGTTTAGACTAGAGACAGGTTTTTATATTAATCTTGTGCCTCAACTTTCCTTTGCAAGATTAACTAAATTCCCGTAATTCTTGTATATGTGAGAATGTGGATAAGCCATATTGGTCTGGAACTCACCGACCCATATATATTGATTCTAGCCATATATACCATGAATATTCTGTTCTTCGTCCGTATAATAAAATCCACGAAAGATGTTATGTACTTGCTACAATATACTCCCAAATTTCAACAGAGCTACATTACTATAATGGTTGACAATGATCTGAATATAGAAAAACATTTTGGAATCATCCTAGATTCTCAATATCTGTTGTTTCCTTTTGCGCGTATAGAGGAACGTGGAACAAAATTTGCATCATCCCCAATAGTAGAAAACATTCTTTCTGGTCTACACTTGGTTATTATTATATGTCTATCATCGTATAAAGACAAAAAGGAAACTTTGATAGAATATAGTAGTCGACATACCGAAATGTCAAGTTGACTTAACAAGATTATCAGAAATGAGTCATTCTGAATGACTAAACACCTAATGACATCACACTCACATTCCTCAAGTTTCTAATCAAAAACTAAGAAAAGAACAGAATGGAGCATAACACTGACTACACACACAAGATTCAATTTTAATTGCGGGAAGGAAAACCAAAAACATCATTCCTTCGTACGCAAGAAACGAAAAAACCTAATCAAATCAATCTTGATCTTCATCAAGGGACTTGAAGCGGCTAGGTCTTGGCCGGAACTCAGTGCGGCGGTTGATATGGAGAGAAGACGGTTTCAACATTGTCGCCGCCAAAGATCTCCTGAATCGCTCCGCCTCCACACATGCGATTCTCCTCAGCGAATTCACCAACGCCACTTTCCTCAGAACCAATCCCGAATTCTTCGCCGCATTACCGGAGCTGTTACGCCTCGCCGGCGAGCCTAGGTTTCCCTTCTTCTCATTTTCCAATCGGCGGTGGAAAGCGCACCGGAAAGACCCAGGGTGGGTGGTGGGAGAGCACAGACACTTGATCTTCTGATTAGAAACGGCGGCGGAGGGTTTAGGGACGTTTCCGGCATGAGAAAACCTCTTTAGACGGAGGTTGAGATTGCAAGGAGAAGCCGATCGTTGGTGATTGTGTAATCTCTGGGAAGAAGAGAGAGGGCGTAGCACTGCTGATGAACCGCTCGATCTTCCACTAGCCGCCATTACTGCCACAGTAGTCAGAGAGAGTTAGAGAGAGAGAGAGAGAGATTTGTAATTTGAAGAAACCGATGAGAAGAGAGAGAGAGAGAGAGAGAGAGAGATGCGTTTTGATTTTTTGGTTAAAAGTTAAAATCGTTTCTGTTAAAGATTCACCGATTCCGTTTGATTCGCCTCCTCTATTTATGGAGGGGGCTCTCTGGAATATATATTCACGCAGAGATCTTTGTGGCGGTTCCAAATCGTGACGTGTGTCAAAAAACTGTATATTTAATAATCATATTTAATGTTAATTTTCCTTTTCTCTTTATTTTGAACGCGTAATGTTCCCTTTTTAGATTTTCCTAATCAGATTTTTATTCAACAAATAAACCGGAGTGCGTACCAAATTACCAAATTGGACTAGGAGAAAACCAGTTTCAATTACTAATAGAATTTAGATTTGTCTAACCGAACTTTAACCGGAATCAGAGAAATTTGCACACCATAAACACTGAGTTTCATTTTGTATAACTTATGACTGTAAGTTACATTTGCATCAATGCAAAAAACCAAGAGAGGGCAGTGAACAAAATTACAACTGCTCTATTTTTTCTGCTATGACAACAAAAAAGTTACAATTTCTTTTACCTATACAATACAAAGTGTTTGTTTGTGAACAAAACTTATGACTCATGAGTCATCCTTGGTGAACGTCTGAGGCTCACTGCTTGCAAATGCCAACCATACAACCGTTCCGGTCAAGTAGAAGAATATTGATGGCGCGAAGAGAGACATCTACACGACCATCACAGCTTTGAGTAACTGATTAATTAAGCACTGAACATGATTGGAGTTAAAGTTGGTAACTTACAGTCCATGAATGGGTCGAGTCAAGGAGAAAACCAGTTAAGGCCACACCTATAATTCCAGGTACTGCCCCCACTGTGTTTGTGATCCCCTGAAGTAAAATAAAGAGCACATGACATGTTTAGAGAGAAGCTATGAAGAACTTTGATGGATAATATACATTTAAGTATGAAAAACCACATGTACCAGAAGTATGCTTGCATATTCGGGTGAGATGTCTTGATGACTACAATAAAGTCCTGTAAAAAGATGAACAGTTTTTTTGTTCAATTCGGGTGGATCTTCTCTATACGATGTTGTATTGAAGATTCTTGATGGAAGGTAGAAATATAGATTACCAGATAAAGCAAAACTTGATAGGGCCAAGCCTGCTGTCAAGATTCCTGCAATTTCCCATGGTGGCAATCCAATGTCAACAGATGAAAGTGTCATGCAGACCGCAGGTGCCAAGAATGCAATCGTTTGACAAATCTTTCGAACCTGCACGGCAAAATTCACAAGAAGTTTACATATCAAAGCGACAACAGGTTGATCTATATAACAGGCAAGCCATTGGCCAAAATTGAGAAGAACGGAATTAAACAAACACTTGGAAGTTAAGAGTATATTATCACAAATCTGCATGAACCTTAAAAAGGGATGTGATTTTATACCGTGGTAGTCGCAACTCCATTTGAAATTAAGTAGTCAGCGAATTGTGAAGCAAGACTTGTCACGAAAATCGAAGCCAGTGGAGGAAGGATGGAAACCTGATCTTCACATCCACACAATAAAATACCAAATGTTATACCTTTGCAAAACATATCTCCAAGTAACACAGGCTGAAATATCACTTTATTCAAAAGATTGCAAGCTGAAGTGATTTTCCATTATTCCAGGGAAAACACAAAATAAAAGACGGTTCCTATACTTACCCAAGCAGCATCTCTCAAATTTAGATCCAGCGCCTCACTGCATACCGGAAATGTGATCAAAATGGCTTTCTTCATCAATTAAGATACAGGGGAAAGAGACAAATGCAATTACCTGAAATAAGTTGGTAGCCAAGATAAACACGTATAATGACCCCAACTTCCACAAAAGTGAGTGTATATCATTGCCCAAACAGCTGAGCTTTGGAAAAACGACTTCCATGGAATCTCCTGTAGTAAGATACCCGAGAAATGAAGCATTGACTTAAAGCAAACGAAAATGTTTAGGGTTTTCAAAACCGTTTGTTTGTAAGCCATTTTGGCACGTTTAAGTGGACATGTTTTAACAACCATTCTAGCATGGTTAAGAAGTAAATTTCAGAAATTTGTCATTGTTTTACTCTCCAACAGTCATGGATAGAACACAATTCTACTCTGCTTTTGCTAGAAGGTGAAGCAGTTTGTTATCTTAGTTATTTCAACTAAATATTGACTGTGGAAACAAAAGGCTTGACAAAAAGAACTATCACTAAATGCAAGGTCATATCAACTAACTAGAATTGAAATAAAGGAACAAAGCCGGACGTAGACATTATATTAGATTAACCTAACCTTCAATGAGTTCCCCAGTTCTTCCCGTGTAGCTTTTTCTGGTTTATGCGAAGTTGTGGTGGTCCCATCACCTATCAAACGAAGGGCAATTCAGATTGTAAATGGTGTTTAAGTCCATGATCCAAACCATCAACTAAATGTAAGTTCCTTGTTTGAACAAGAGGAAGGAGAAAGCACCTCTATATGAAACTTCTTCTGCATTAAGAAACTGAAACCCGATGAACCTTCAACACATAGGGGAAAAACTGAGAATACAGAATTACTAAACTAGCATGTCGGCATCTCATTTGATGTAGAAGAATAGAGAACAAAGTCCTTTGCAGCTGAATGCGAGTTAAGATGATTTATTCAAAACATCAGACAACAATGTTGGGAAAGTGACTTACCAACCCACACCAAGGAGACCAAATAGGTAAAAGACAGATTCCCAATTAAAGCTTTGGATAATGGGAGGAGCCAAGAGAAGCCTGTAGAGGTACAAATTTAGGTCGGTGTAAGTCTCAAAACTGAGCATTCGTCTTTGTCACCGTCAACCAATCTAATCTTGGTTAGGATATAAACCAAATAAGAAAAAAATGAATATATAAAAACCATATGATTGTGACTTCATAGTTTAATATCAGATCAAGAAAACCATACCCCAAAACACTTCCCAAACTCAATCCTCCAAACACAAAGCCTACCGCTCTTGAGCGCTCCCCAACAGGTATTGTCCTGTACTCAGCAATTGCATGGCACAGTCAGGATATGGGAAAAGATAAAAGCAATATGCTCAGCCAGATAAGCTTAAAGCGACTAAATGAGTGTATAGGTAATATCAGCTTTTGTAAAGAAAGGGTTTTCGTAAGAAAAAACTTGTTTAGTTCCTGAATAATAAGTTATTAACTTGCACACGGGCCATGGAAGAACATGCTACTACCTATTGAACATGTGGATTTCAGTAGATTCTCATATCTAGACCATAAACTAAATTAGAAAGATAAGGCTGCATAAGCAGTTAAACACTCTTCAAGATAGCTCCAGATTAATACATGCCTGGCTATAAGGTCCGTTGCAGCCGATGGGGAAACACCTTCTCCAATTCCCACCTGGAGTTACAAATCTCTGTGTTAAGACAAAGACATAATGTAAGGCTAGAGCAGGGTGGGTGGGGACAGAGAAGGAAAGAGCTTTAAGAGAGTGTCGTCAATTCATCTAAATTTCTTACAAGTTCAATAAACTAAGCCTCTTAAGGAAACCAGAGTGATTGCATAAAGACATACAGTAAAAAAAGGCTCCTACTTACCAAAATTCGAGAAAAGATTAAACCGGGCATAAATCCAGCGAGTACTGGAACAAGAGCTGTAGCGAAAGACCATGTAAACACACCAATCTCGAGCACTCTTCTGCATTAGCCAAAAACAATGAAGGATACATTAGACAAAAAAGCAGGATCAGCTCTGAAAGCAAAACTGAGAAGAGCCTAAACGAGTGACAAACCTGCCGCCAAAAATCTTGGAAAGCCAACCTCCAGGCAACTGGCTCAAAGCATAACCCCAAAAGAATGATGACTGAACCAAACCGGCCACAGACGAGCTCCATCCAAACTGGTGTGACATTGGTATTATAGCAATACTCAAGTTCACCTGCAATTCTCACCACACAACATACTTAGTCAAATGATATGGTCCACAATCATCTTCTCCTTCACAAACCACCTAAGAATGAAAAACCGATGCTGATACTAAATCGAACTAAAATTCACATGAACCTGTTCCTAATATCTTATGCAAGTAACCTAAACCATACCCAGAAGTTAAAAATTGAACCTTTTGTTAAAAAATTGAAACTTTTTGTTCAAAATGAAATCGGAAAAAACCTTGTCCATATTGCAGATAACAAAGGCGAGGGAAGTAGCGCCGATGAGCTTATATCTCTCCGGTACGTTTTTCCATGGAGGCCAATTCTGTCCGGAACCCGTTTCCGTGCTCAGAACTTCCAAATCGGAACCTGAATCGGGAAGCTGAGGAGGAGACTCTTCTTCGATAGGGGTTTTCGGAAGCTTCTTGCTCTCTCTGAGTCGCTCTGTACCTCTGGCGGAGCACTTAACCCTTGATTTGAGAGGATTGCGGTAGTGATGGTGCGGGAAGAAACGAGTGGTGGTGGTGGTGACGGAGTGTAGAGGTTGTTTATATGCCTCTACGGGAGAAGAGAAGAAATGATTGTCGGGTCTTAGGGTAAGTCTCGCCATTGTTGGTGTCAGAGAGAGGAAGAAGAAGAAGAAGAAGTAAAATTGAGAATGACAAAAAGGAGAAAGAAGAAGAGGGAGAGAGGACGACACGGTGGAAGCAATGTAAGCTTGTGTGGCTCACTGTGGAGAGAAATGTCCTCAACGTGGGTCCCTCTTCTGTATCAAAAGCTTCTCTTTGCGTGACTCTCTCGTAAACTCACAACTCTATTGGTCAGCATTTTTCTTCCAAACATACGGTGAGATTTAGATAATTACAAGATGATTATAATTTAAACAAGTGATTATAGAGATTTTCCAGTAAAAAAATCACTGAAAGTGACATGTTTGGCAACTTGCTTCGTCTGCGTACTAAAATTATACTTATCTTTTGGGTTTAATAAACCGGCGAGAAAGTCAAGATCGTGTTCTTTTCTATTACATAAGCTCGTTTGTCCCAAAATACTCTCATCAAGCAAAGATCAGTAGAGAGAAGCAATGGAGAAGCCAAAGTTCAAGACTGTTCAAGAGGTGATTGCAGCTGGTGAAGGACTACCGGAAAGATATCTCCACACACCCACCGGCGACGACGAAAGTCAGCCTCTTAACGGTTTGGTGCCGGAGATGGATATTCCGGCCATCGATCTCGGTCTTCTCCTCTCTTCTTCTGAAAATGGTCGAGAAGAGTTGAGTAAACTTCACTCGGCGCTCTCTACATGGGGCGTTGTTCAGGTTTGACCTCTTCTAAAGATGATGAAACTCTGTTAAAGTAGAAGTTTCCGGTGAAATGAGATCATGGAATCTGATTATCTTAATTGAATATCTTCAGGTGATGAATCATGGAATTACAGAAGCGTTTCTAGACAAGATTTACGAGCTAACTAAGCAGTTCTTTGCTCTTCCGACCGAAGAGAAACAGAAGTGCGCGAGAGAGATTGGTAGTGTCCAAGGATATGGAAATGACATGATTCTGTCGGATGATCAAGTTCTTGATTGGATCGACCGTTTGTACATCACTACTTACCCTGAAGACCAACGAAACCTTAAATTCTGGCCTGAGATCCCTATTGAGTTCAGGTATTAAAAAAACTTACCTTTCAGTTTCAACAGCATCTTGGTTCATTGACTTTTGGTGATTTTGACAAATAGGGAAACTTTGCATGAATACACAATGAAGCAACAGCTAGTGATTGAGAATTTTTTCAAGGCAATGGCTAGATCTTTGGGATTGGAAGAGAATAGTTTTCTAGAAATGTATGGAGAAAATGCTACGATGGATACAAGATTCAACATGTATCCTCCATGTCCAAGACCAGACAAGGTTCTTGGGGTTAAACCACACGCTGATGGCTCAGCTTTTACTCTTCTCTTACCGGACAAGGATGTCGAAGGGCTTCAGTTCCTTAAAGATGGGAAGTGGTATAAAGCTCCGATAGTCCCTGATGCAATTCTGATCAATGTAGGAGATCAAATCGAGGTAAGCAATCATGTAGCATATGATTATGAAAGATTGATTGGTTTTGGAAATGACTGAGCTTAATCTCTCCGTGCGTGTTCAGATAATGAGCAATGGGATATACAAGAGCCCGGTTCATAGAGTGGTGACGAACAGAGAAAAGGAAAGGATATCTGTGGCAACGTTCTGCATTCCTGGAGGAGACAAAGAGATTAAGCCTGCGGATGGGCTTGTCTCTGAGGCAAGACCAAGATTGTATAAAACAGTAAAGAAGTATGTTGAGCTCTACTTCGATTACTATCAACAGGGTCGAAGACCGATTGAAGCTGCATTGATCTGACAATACTTTTCAAGTCTTTTCTTTTTTGGTTTCACAGACTAAACAGTTGCTTTGTTTGTTGGAATGTGAGGCTGCACTATGTTTTTTCTACAATTACGTTTTGACTCTTGACTTAAATAAAAATAGTATCTTTTGTTTATTTCCTGAAAAAGAGTGTCACAATCAACGGAATAAATCGATGAATATTCGAATCTTTGAAATCGAACGAAAATACCAAAAAAAGACAGCGATTTTCCGACGGTTGTAATGTCAGCATTTAACAACCAGTCCTCTGTTTTTCTTTCTTCCGCCATCATTGCATGTTTCTCTCTTTACACACCAATCGTTCATTCAAAACCTCTTTCTCTCTCCTCGGAAATTTCCCCTTCTCCGGTGCCGCCGAATCGCCGTGGGAAGGAGATATTTTCGGGAAAGTATCCATTTTTGTTTCTCCTAAAAGAGCTCCTCCTTGTAAACGACGACGACCGTTGTGTCCCTAACAGAGAAAGTGCTAGAGCGAGTCTACGGAACCTCAAAATCCGCCATTTCCGTGACAGGCGGCGTCGACGGCGACGGAGTTAAACGTCATACCCATCACCACATTCACAGGCATTCCTACGACGACAGCGACGATGATATCTGTTACAGCGACGAGGATGAATCTGCGATGGAGCTTGTCCAGATCGGTGCGGAGAGGACCAAGAACGTCTTGATCCTCATGAGCGACACTGGAGGTGTACACCGTGCCTCCGCTGAAGCCATTCGCGACGCTTTCAAGATCGAATTCGGAAACAAATACAGGGTAAATTCCTCTTAATACCACTATAAGAATGTTGTGAAACTGTGGTAGAATTGTCCTTTTACTTTTTTGGTTTTTTGATTGATTTTTTTTTGTTGGCAGGTGATTGTGAAGGATGTGTGGAAGGAATACACAGGGTGGCCATTGAATAATATGGAGAGTTCATATAAGTTCATGGTGAAGCATGTTCAGCTATGGAAAGTTGCTTTCCACAGCACATCTCCCAAATGGATCCACTCTTGCTATCTAGCAGCCATTGCCGCCTATTACGCCAAGGAAGTAGAGGCCGGTTTGATGGAGTACAAGCCGGAGATTATCATCAGTGTTCATCCTCTGATGCAACACATTCCGCTGTGGGTTCTTAAATGGCAAGAGCTACAGAAAAGAGTCCTCTTTGTCACTGTCATTACTGATCTCAACACTTGTCATCCCACATGGTATATGTTTGACCGGTTTATGATGCTAGCTCCAAAAGTTTGTGTTTTTGTGTTTTTTGATTATCTTGTATGGTTTAGGTTTCATCCGGGGGTGAATCGGTGTTATTGCCCGTCTCAAGAAGTGGCGAAAAGGGCGTTGTTTGATGGGCTAGAGGAGTCTCAAGTCCGTGTGTCTGGTTTACCTGTGAGGCCATCTTTTGCAAGAGCGGTTTTGGTGAAGGATGATTTGAGAAAGGAGCTTGAGATGGATCAAGAGCTACGTGCGGTTCTACTGATGGGAGGAGGGGAAGGTATGGGTCCTGTGAAAGAAACCGCAAAGGCTCTTGAAGAATGGTTGTATGACAAAGAGAACAAGAAGCCTATTGGGCAAATGGTTGTTATCTGTGGACGTAACAAGAAATTGGCATCTTCGTTAGAAGCTGTTGAATGGAAGATTCCTGTAAAGGTATGTTCACTAGTTAGGCTTTCTTAAAGATTCTTAAGGTTTCAAGACTCATGATTTAATGGATATCATTGACGTTACAGGTTCGAGGATTTGAAACTCAGATGGAGAAATGGATGGGAGCTTGTGACTGCATCATCACAAAAGTAAGAGGAACAGAACTACCTCTATTGATCCAAAATGTTTCATGAGCTAAGTAAATGTGTTACGAAATTTTGCAGGCTGGACCAGGAACAATAGCTGAATCGCTGATCAGATCACTTCCTATCATCCTCAACGATTACATCCCCGGACAGGAGAAAGGCAATGTGCCGTATGTAGTGGAGAATGGTGCAGGAGTGTTCACAAGAAGTCCCAAAGAGACAGCGAGAATCGTTGGGGAATGGTTCAGCTCAAAGACAGATGAGCTGGAACAAACTTCAGAAAACGCACTTAAACTAGCTCAGCCTGAGGCAGTCTTCGACATTGTCAAAGACATCGATGAGCTCTCGGAGGAACGACGTCATCTTGCTAAGTTCTCTTACACTCTGACCTCTTCCTTTGCCAGTTTAGTTTGATGTCTCATGTCTTATATTAACATGTCTTTGTTTTTTTTCTAATATGATTTGTTTATTGATTAAGTTGTATGTAATATCTCTAACAAAATTAAGCAAAAGATTCATGATGTCTTTGCATTACTGTTAGCCTTTTACATGAAGTTTGAGATTCAACAAGAGTGTAATGTGCCTATAATACTTGTTCATAACACAGAGAACTGCAAACACTTATTATTCCACATTATTTAAGTCAGGCTTATTCATATAAAGATACATGTTTTCACATAAACTACTGTTACATTATTAGTTTATGACACACATGAGTTCCAGGAGACTGTTCAAGGTTATAACAGAGAACTAACCTTTTTGTTTCTGGTTGCTGAAAATTTATTCTTTAGTTTTATACCCTGTTGAAGCCTTCTCATTCTTCATGATCATATGGAAAGATTTAACTTTATCTTCCGCAACGATCTCTCTAAGAACATCGTCCTCTATCTTCTCTGCTTGCCATAGAGACGGATCCTCAACGAACTCCTCGCTGAATATCATACTCGAAACCCACTCTTTCCATGTCGTCCTCTTGTACTTGTCCTCCTCTAACGATCCTCTGGCCAAGAGCTGATAAACGTAAACAACTTTCTGCTGTCCCGGTCTAAACGCACGAGCTATCGCTTGCTTTGTCTTTGAAGGGTTCCATTCCGAGTCGAGCATGATGACCCGAGAAGCAGCGGTCAGACAAATCCCTTCAGCGCAAGCTGTGATCGAGGCTAGCAAGACCCGTGACGGATTTCTAGGGTCTTCAAACTTGTCTATCACGGTACCTCTCTCGAACAGCTCAAGATCACCGGTTAAGGTCAAGATCTCTACGCCTCTCTTCCACTTGAAAACCTTCTCAAACAGATCTATAAACAGACGGATGGGTGCAATGTTGTGGCAGAAAATCAAGATCTTCTCCCTATGGACCACACGGCACAAGAGGTTTAGCACAAACATGACCTTAGATCCTCTCCTCTCGTTATGCTTAAGCTTCTCGATCTCGAAAAGCTCTTGAGGGTTGAAGAACTTTGTACAACAGGTCGAGGACTTAACCAGCCAAGGATGTATAGCTGCCAATGTGACCAGAAGCTCGAGCTCTAGTGGAAACCCGTGATAACTCGCCATCGCTGTCTCAAGCTTCGTGAGCATCTGCTGTTGTACATTGGTCGAGTTCATCAACAGTGTGTAGATCTGTAGACCGGGAAGAGGATCACCGCTTCCGCTTCCGATTCCTTCGTAGTTATCAATGAAGCTATTAGTTATGTTCTTCAACATATTGAGACCTTGAATACGTTCCTCTCCCACACCCGCATCGATCTTTTTTGCAATGACATCAAGAAAGAATTTACGAGCTCTGTTCTCGACAAGGTGAGCCGCTTTATCCACACCTTGGTTGGCCTTGAACTTCTGGTCTAACTCCATTAGAACCTCCTGAACAAACTTTGGTCTAGCCAAACACAAGGTGTTGAAGTACTCGCAGAAGTTGTTCTGGAAGAGAGTGCCCGAGAGAAGCACCCTTAGATCGGTACCAACTTTCATCAAGGCCTTGCGTAATCTTGATTTAGTACTCCTAGGGTTATGTCCTTCGTCAAGAACAAGAAGGCCAGGGCTCTCTCTCAGCACTTTAGCCATGTATTTCCTGTGAGCAAACTTTGAGTCGTCCCTCATCAGAGTCAGGAACGAGGTGTAACCCATTACAAGAACGCTCGGCTGCGCGTGCCATTTCTGTATCTTGTCTAAGCAGTCAATAACATGCATAACATCTTGGCTAGGTTTTGGAACTCCGTTGAACTGAACCTGAGCCGCCGCGCCGGGGTTGTCCTTCCTGAACACACAGAAGGTTCTCCGTCCGTGGATCAAATGAACCGGAACCGGTATATCCCATTTGATGAACTCCTTGTACCAAGTGTAGAGAGTTGTTTTAGGAGCAAGAATCAAAGGCCTCTTCCCGGGGAACAGCTTCAGGTAGCTTGTGAGGAAAGCTATCATTAGGAAAGTTTTACCAGCTCCTGGAGAATGAGAGATCACACAACCTCCTATCTTATCTGAAGTGGGATCCATAAGCGCAGGCTCCACAGATCCTGCTAGGTTTCTCCAGAGAAACTCGTAAGCTCGTCGTTGATGCACATGTAGCTTTCCCTTGAGCTGTGGTATCAATGCCCAGACATTGTCACTTTCCTCAGCTACAACCATTTCGGAAGAACCACTTGACATAGTGACATCTTCGGTTTCGGATTCTTTGTGGCTGATCAGGTTAGTCTTTATGTCATCTTCTTCAATCTGCTTAATCTCTGTAGTCCATTTCCTCTGTTTCGTCTATCCAAAACCAAAACCATGAAAATTACAATCATTTACAAGCGGAGTAGTAACAACATTATGGATTTGTAACTTGTGAGAGACGTTATTTCACTTACAAAAGGTGCAGAGTAATGCTTTATCTCAGTTCCTACAACACCACATAACCTACAACACATTCCGATTTCTTCGTTGAGCGTATACTCATGTTCACAAACACTCTTCGCTTTCACGAATGCCTTGTTGTCCACTCTTACCTAAACGTTTTTGATACACCACAACAATGTAATTAGTTTTGAATATAGTTTTAAGTATATGAGAATATATCATATATTATACCTCATTGTCGCCGAGGATGATAGAAGAAGCCATGGAGAGTGCAAATTCTCTCCATAACAGATCGATCTCTGTCTCTCTCTCATCATCATCCTCACTCAAGGTTTCTTCCATGTCACCGTCTGTTTTATCTGCAAAGTTCATCTTCTTTAACTCCTCCCACTGGTCAACAACATTGGTCGGCTGGTCCCTGGATGCAATCGTTGAATCAATGTTGTTCATATACGTATCAATCAGCTTGTTATAAGCACCTGCACTCAACGTCACTTTCGTAAACACCCGCGGTTTCTCGGAATCTCCAGTTCTTCGAGCAGCACCGGACCTCGATGATGGTGATCGAGATGTTATTCGGTTTCGAACATAGTTGTTCGTGTTAGGACCTTTCCAACATAGATCAGACTCCATCATCTCTTCAATCTCTGTCCTCTTCTTCCCGAATCTCGAGGTTTTGCTTCGGTACTTTTCGATCTCATCAAAGCACTGGTTTCTTGAAGAACCTCCACAACCGCCCAAAGAGTTAGCATTGAGACCAAACTGTTCCAACGGTATATGATCAAACACCGGAGTGAAAGGAATAACAACAAGCTCTGTTTTCCTCTGTTTTTGACCAACTTCACATCCTCTCTTCTTCTTCCTCTTCTTCTCTATCGAAACAATCTTGCGTTTTCTACTTTCTTGCATCACTTCTCGAGAATTAGTCCCTTTTCTCTTGAACAAATGTGATAAAGGTACGTACAAATCTTCATTAGTATCATAACCATCCTCCTCATCGTCGTCATCGCTGTCTTCTTCTTCTTCGGAGTCTTCTTCACTCTGCATGCAAACGACAGGCAGTTTCCCATACCGGTATGGCATCATCTTCACCCAACCGTCATCTGTATCTAGCTCAAAATCACATCCGGTGAATCTATCCGGTGTCACATATCTTCTCTTGGACCGACGCAGTTCCATAACCTCATCTTCTTCAGGGTAAGACTCTGTTTCTTGATTTGTCTCAAGATCTTGAGAATCCTCGGCTACATCCTCCACAGGGCTAAACTGAACCACTTTCGATAACGAGACACCGTCTTCCTCTGTGATATTCATCGAGCTCAAAGAGCTGCTGGAGCCTTCTTCTTCATCTGTTACAATCTGATAAACAATCTTGGTCTGCACTGTTCTGATGTGAAACGCAACGTTTTTCATGATGGAAGCAACAACCAGCCACGTAAGATCCGGCAAGAACTTCCCCAAGGACAGTCTCGTTTTCATCAGTGAAGTGCAGTCCTCAGAGAATCTCCACCTGTAGTGCTGGTCAGTGCTTTGTTCCTTGAAAAACTTTTGGAGAATGGAGATTTGGTTTAGACCGATGACAACCGAATCTTTGTTGATCCTTTGTCTCTCCGATCCAATGCATCCCTGGTCAATGTAAATCCGGACGTGAATCTTGCAAGAGCATTCAGAGTTTTCATGAGGCTCCCTTTCTATTGAAACAATCTTTGCGTCCACCCAAACCTATGCAAGAAACAAACAGGTACATATCATAGAGATACATTTACAAAGTATAATCATATTCAAGAAAGTGCAGCTTCACATTTACCGGTTCCAAGTCATCTTCATTGAGAAGGTAGTGAACACAAACATCGATACCGGGACGAAGGAAACAGATACAATCGCTCAAAGTGGCCTTTCTTGATCGGAGACGAAGCCTTTGGAAGGGACGAATATCTTCAAACACATAAGCGTTTTCTGACAGACGTATTACCATCTCTCCATTGCCGATCCTTATGTATTCCACAGCTTTCCATGTATTCGAGCAGAAGATCTCGAAAGCTAACAAAGTAAAACCGGTACTTAGTTAAGTAGCTCTCATTTGCAAATAAAAAGCTCCAAGTTTTCAAAATACTCAAAATTTTATTACTAATGACAAAGATTGGCTAAGAACTACACGACAAAAAGGGGAAATCAGACAACACTTACGGCATGGATCAAATGGATACTTCAAATCATAGAAACGAGTTCTCTTCATATCTCTGAATTTCTGGATCAGTTAACCAAACCGCATAGTGACCTGTGATGGCAACACAAGTAAAAATCAAAATCAACACAAATAACACCAGATAATGAACAATATCTATCACAAGATTCTGTTCCACATATTAAGCTACCTTGGAGTCAGATAGCGTTAGGTTAAATGTCAAGTGATTGGGAAACACAAAGCTAAGTAGCAAATAAACTGACATTGCATTTGCAGGCTTCTGGAGTCCTCCTACAGTATTATATTTCAAAGAGAATATGGGCCCTGTGCTTATCCAATAAAATAATACTAGGTTGACGGAAGAATTTTTTTGTAAATAAGAAAAAAATGTGAATTTTTTTTCCTAATTAAAGTGTTACTAATTCAATATATGTTGATTTAAAATGTTACGTTTGTAGTGAGGAAATGATAGTTTGCTGATCTTATGGTGTTATGGTGTAGTTATTATTGTCAAATAAAAGTTTATATAGTTTATATAGGTTTTATACTAATGTTTGAAATATGATGTTATTACCGTGGTATGCCGATTATTAGAGTATGTAATGTTGATTTGTTATAGTTATTAATCTCGTGTGAACCAATAATTAAGAAATCATATAATAAGATTTTTATTTCATAATGCTAAGTTAAAAAGACAACAAAAATTGTATTCTCGCGACCCAATCGACAATTAGTTATGTATCCAAGATATATGTAAGACACAAAAGATATTTGGGGATTTTTTGCAAATTTCTAAAAACATCATTATTCTCTTGTTGGTGATGATGTTAACAATCACTACTTCTTTTGGAATGGAATCGAATCAGATACGAGAGAGTAGCTAAGAGGACCAGATACAAATACACACGGATGATAATATTAATTACTCTCATAAGACAGAACAGAGTGTTCTCCTCTCATGAGTGATGACATGTACTGATTCGTTACAAAATGGACCAAATACAGAAACCACTAGTCTTCAATCTTATGTTTGTTGGTTAAGGTAAAAAGCTAAGTGCATGTTATATACTTATGTTTACGTCTACTATCCGAATTTGATTTGATATTTTCATCCAAATCTAAATCGACAAAAGGAAGAACAAAAATCTAATCTCAAATGCACAAATGGAATTGTGAAAATCACCATCGATCTCATCTAATTCTAACCAAATCCCACATCGGACGCACAAAAAGACTCAAAAATTATGTTAAATCATCGAAAAAGTCCACAAGTGTTAATTATTGGTTTTTTTAGGCAATAAAAAACCCTGAAATATTCCTGGATTAGAGAGCCAAAAGGGGCAAAAGCAAAATACATCAAAACGGCCACTAAAGCATCGTTATTCCCAAAAAGATGTATAAAAAAGTAGAATAATCCCCTAGTGATCCACAAAACCCAGATATCTAAAAAGAAATAAAAAATGTTGATCTTGGGTATGATCATACAGAAGCAAACGATCATGATCCAAAAAGCAAAAGCATAACTCAGTATGAAACCAAGAAATAACAATGATCGGAGAACAGAAACAGTGAGTGTGACCTGGGAAACCGAACCCAGATTGTGCGGCGAAAAAGAGACTCACAGCGAGAATTTACTGTTCCATGATCCAAGGGCAATACAAGTAGAGAAATCTGACACGAAAAGATCACTGTAGAGAAAAGGACCGAGACATCATTACCACACTAATAATTTCAGAATCTTGGCCGCTGTGACAGTGGAGATGTTGCTATTTTTATCTTTCTTTGTCTAAAAGTTTGCATGAATTTGTGTATACAAACAAAAGAGAGTGAGAAAAGGGATTATAAAAGAGTTGAGTGTTGTTGACTACCGAACGAGCGGAGAGGTTTACCGAGAGAGGGTAGTTTGGTAATTACATGATTGTTTCTTTAATGGAGGGGAAAATTAACGGCTGTGATTTGTTGCCTTTATTATATATGCTAGATAGATTTTCAGACACGAGAAAGTCAAGTTCTGTGAATTGTGGGGTCCACGGCTACGCTGGTGATCTCGCGGTAACTCTTTTGACAGCGAGTGTTCAAAGCAGGTCCTGTAATAAATGTATACCTTTTAATTATAAAAAAATAGTACAATGATATAAAAACCTGAAGGGCCGGACGCTAGTAAGCTACATAGATCTAAGAAGCGAAGGGTCTCATTCGAATTATCAATCAATGGCAGTTTCATACTAGTATTTTGTGATAATTTTTATTTTCGGCTTCAATCTTATGTTGCGTTGAGCCATCCCTCTTTGGTTAAATGGTGTCTTTGTTAATGAGAGAGTTTCCTCTCTTTGATCTAAGCTTTCTTTTGGCTCTTTTTGGGATATGACTTGGCTTGTACCGGGCTTTGTTAGGGCTAGAGAAGTAAAAGTCAATTTTCCCTTCGGTTTATATGTAATTTTTTGGGGGTTCTTGTAAGTCAAAAACTTTGTATTCCACAATGATGTCAATATATTTCACCAGATGACCAAAGAGAAAAGGTGATAATTTTCCTAATAACAATGTGATAAGAGATTTAAAAAAAAAAGAGTTAAACAAGTAGTAGGACGAACTATCTTTTTTATATGCCGACTGTACGAGTAAAGCTAGTTCACTTGTGGGATCTCCAAAGCTAGTCTACAACTGGCGCACGAACATGATGGGGATGTAAAAAAAAAGTATCCTTGTCGAAGTCATGTATATGTACAATACTATAAAATCATTACTAACCTTAATAATAATAAAGTTTAGCATGATCTATTGGCAAAAATAACACTTAAATCTCAAGATATTATCTTAATTTTAATCCATTACAACTTCTAACACAACTTTCTAGGTACTGCTAATAACATGATGGATATTGATAATTGTCTTGCAGCACAAATCAGAAAACGATATATCCAACTAAGAAGAGGAAAATTAATCCATTATGTTTAAATTCTTGTGTTCTCATGGGGAAAAGAAGATTTTGAGATAATATTCCACTAATAACATCCAAAAGAATTGTTGGATTATGTATAATATCTTCGCCTTTTTACAATTTGAGGTATGTGACACTTCTTGTGGTGATTTCAATTAAATAAACGAGGTCATTTTCGCATAATAAATTATGTCTTTCATTGAAGCCAAAAGTTGTGTACCAACGAGGAGGCGTGCCCAATAATAACATACTAAGCAAGTAATCATCACAACCGTTTCTCGGCTTTTCTGTTCATCAACTGCAAGCTGTTTACCCTCTCAATGAAGAACTACTTGTTGTTTACTAGTTAATTAAAAAAAACACCATTTTATTCTACTTAAACGGTTTATGTTGAATTGTCTTCTTCATGAATGATCAAGAAGCTGAATTATGGGGTTTTTGCGAATCAACTAAGGAGGTTCAGTGTCGTATATATCAACTTTTTTTTTTGGTAAAAGTATATATCAACTTGTTCCAAAGGACAATGAGTTCGATAAATCTTCTATAATGAATGAAACGCTGCGTTTTGATTAATTACCTCGCGTTAGTATTGGAATGGCAAAGGAACATAGATATTGACTACTAAGGTGTTTTAGGCTTGCCTCCTCGAGTCATCATCATCCAAAAGGAAAGGAAAGACTCGCTTATGGCATTGGAACCCACGTTGACCAAAGATGTGGCAATTGCCACCACTCAAAAACAAAATTTGTGAATGTTTTTAAAGAAAACTAATATATGCCATCATCAAAAAACAAAATTTTGCCCCCATAACTCATTTTTTAATCATATTTAAGTCCAAAACCAATCAATTTAGTTAAGTTTTTTCCAGTGACAAGCCCAAAACATTTACTCACTAGTTCTGCTAATCTTTTTAATGATAACATCTAAAATTTGCCCCCACTAAATATTTTTTCTAGATTCACCATGCTTATCTCATAAGAGAACATGCATATTATTTGTATAACACAAAAGAATTTTGGGGCTTTTTTGGAATAGAAAAAAAATATAAGGCCCCAAAAAATATTTGCTCATTATTCTCTTGGTGATTTACTCTCATGATATATACTGATTCCTTACAGACCGGACCAAACCAAATACAAATAGTCTTCAAACTTACCATTGAGAGATGATAATCTTACCTTTTATAATACTTTAATTTTGTCAGCATATACCATCCACAAAACAACTTTTCTCACTAACCATATTTGGTATAAAATCTTTCCTTTTAGTTTTTTTTCTATAGATTATATATTCTACTTTTTCCTAAAATGAGATATCTGTAAATACCTTTTATATGAGAAACTTTTAAAACAGGCTTCTGATATTTAGCTAATTATTAGCTTAAATACAAAGTCCTTTCAAAATAATACCCCAAAATATTACTCATTTTCTTTAGTTTTTCTATTTTTCCATACATACAAAAGGACAATATGTGAAAAGTAGAACATTTCAATTTTTTAGGACATTTTTCTTTCCTACAGAACATTTCATTTTTAGGACATTTTTCTTTCCTAATATATAAATGCCAGTTTTCTTTCCTAATAGATAAATGGCAGGTATTGTGTATGGATTCATTGTACAAATATTTACATTATGAATTATATTTGCCTGTGCTCGGGTGTACACATACATTGATATATATATATCTGAGTATCGTAGAAAATCCAACAAACGAAATAAAAAAGTGTCTCGACCAGTAACATTCACCAGTGCGGCAAATCTTAAGGTACATATCTTTGAGTTAGATTGTAGATATTTTCGTATATACCATGGCGGACAGTTTGATCTAAGTGCTAGATTTGAAAATTGTTGAAATTTGTTTTAAGTTTTTTCCTCCGATTTAGATTTTGGTTAGAAATATTCCGACTAATAGGACCCAACAATCGGAAATCTTGAAGACAAAGGCATATGATTCGGTATGTAGTACTAGCAATTGGTTTTCTCCGAATTAAGAGGTGTTAGTGGATTGATAGTTTTAAATGTTTTGAGATAGTTAGATTATGAAGAAATTTGTTGGGTTTTGATGAGTTCATCACAAACCCACGATGAGAATTTTAATACACAAGACTAGGCCTGGGACTAGGGACTTAAGATTATCGGGTTGGGTTTGGGTCTTTTGGGTAGGTGATCTATGTACCTAGATACCTTATCGATTTCGGTTTGATACAAGTTCAGGTCTTTTCGGGTAGATTCGGATTTAATTTTACATTACTGAAATATGCCCAAAATATTTCGATTATAGTTCGGGTTCGTATATTTTGGTTATTTATCAACCGAAAATCCAAAAATATACAAAAAACAAAAAAATATATCCGAAAATCCGAAAAAAATATTTGTAAATCCGATTTTTTTTTAAATTAAATTAAAATACTAGAAATATATCTGAAAATTCGAAAAAACCGAAAACATAAAAAATCTATTTATAAATATTAAAAATAATCCACAATATCCATAATTGATTTGGATAATTCGGATAACCGTTCGAGTATCGGCTCGGTTCGGATATTACCCAATAGTCAATACCCACATGTATTATATTTTACGCAATGGGTGATTTGCTATATACATAATTGAATAACATTGGATTTAACTACATTTAAAATACAATTAAATATATTAAAATAACTAATCCAATAACACTTTGATTTTTATCAGATGGTTGACAAAACAAGGGAACTGTATCTCAGATTTGAAATAAAATTTGTTTTCTTTTTTGAAGTTTAATAAAATTTCAAATTACAAAGGAATATAACTGTTTGTTAAAAATTAGAAGAATGATTCCTTTTGTTTTAGTATGACTTAAAATGTTTCTCCATTTTAACTTGAGACTGCTTTGACAGATTATGGCTCCTATGCAACTTTCCGTCTGTACTACTACTCTGTGTCTAGACATGAGTGCTTTCAGCGTACGAAGCAGGTATCTTCCAAGCTTGTCGTACCTTTGTTTTTCGTTCTATCTGTTTCTGTTTTAGTATAACTTTAATTGTATGAGTTTAGGTCTCAAGTTTACAGTTTGTATCAATTGTTTGTTAATTGGGACAAAGCAAAATCCTTATAAATTTATAATCCACAAAACTTACTTTCTCTTAAATCTTTTGTCGTGTTTACCCTCTAAAGTGAACAACCACAATTTACTAGAGCACTATGGTTATAAATCCTGCTATAATCAGAGAGAATTTAAGCCATTAACTAGATTATCTGTTAAGCTATTCTAACACTACTTTCTAGGTACTAACATGATGGACCATATTGATCACTGTCTTGCAGCGCAAATCAGAAGACGGCATCACCATCCGAGAAGAGGAAAGTTAATCCATTGTTTGGGAGTAAGGTTAGTGGGTTTGGATCATGTGGTTTAATAATTTATGGCTAACTCTGTTATCTAAAGTTTTCAGATTTAATAAAATTTTAGGGTTCTGAGCTTGAAAGGCTCACCACAAAGACTCTCGAGAAAGGCAACCTCAAGGAAGCGGTGAAATTACCTGCTGGTGAAGACATCAACCAGTGGTTGGGCATTCACAGTTAAGAAACATACATAATATATAAACTCTACTTAATTACTCTGTCTACACTTTATTATCTCTTCTTAATTTTAACTTTGTGTAATGTCTTCTTGTGTGTTTGGTTTCTTTCAGCCGTAGATTTCTGCAATCAAATAAACCATTTGTACGCTAGTGTCGGAGACTTCTGCACACCCAAGACTTGCCCTATCATGAATGCTGGATCTGGGTAACTCTCTCTTTCATTCTTGATTGTCTTCCACTAATGCAAATCTGAGTTAGTCATAAATATTGCTCATTTTTCATCCTTTTTTTTGCAGATATAAGTATAAATGGGCAGATGGAGTTACTATAAATCGGCATATAACTGTTTCAGCTCCTGAGTACGTTGAGTATCTGGAGGATTGGATTCGAACTCAGATGGGTGACAAAACTATCTTTCCGCAGAAAACTGGTAGCCGCCAAGCTAATGCATAGTTTTGAACATCTTTAGTTAACTTGGTTTGAATTTGTAACACTTGTTTATTTTTATTCCTTGTTCATCAGGAGCACCATTCCCGCCAGAATTTAAGGATTCTGTGAAGCTGATTCTGAAGAGGCTGTTTCGTGTTTATGCACACATCTATCATTCTCACTTTAAGAAGATTGTGCATCTCGAGGCAGAAGCTCATCTCAACACAAGCTTCAAACATTTTGTTCTCTTCGTAACTGTGAGTTGATGAATCTTCTTTGGATCATGTAGAGTTGTTTTTTGGAAAATGTTGTGATAGATGGTGGTAGAAAATTTTAATAACGATTTTGCATGTTTTCTTTGTAACATGCAGGAGTTCAAGCTGGTTGATAAAGTTGAGTTGGATGCTCTGGAAGAGCTCGTGGAGAAGATTCTGGATCCCTAGAATAACTCTTTGTGTTTAAAAGGGGAAAAGAAGATTTTCAGATAATCCACAATATAACATCTTAAAGGAGTTGATGGGTTATGTGTAATTTCTTTGGCTTTTTTTCAAATTGAGGATTTTTTTTGTTTTGTTTTTGCAACTCAAATTGAGGATTATGTGACCTTTCTTGTGATGGTTTCAAACTTTTGATGAATAAATAGGGTCATTCATAAATTTATGTTTTTTCAATGATACCAAAAAGCTGTGTGCACCCAAGTTACCAACGAGGTGTGCCCAATGATAGCGTACTAAGCAAGTAATCAGCACAACCGCTTTTTTTACTTCACTGTTCATAAACTGTAGGCTGTTTTTCCTCCTCGGTGAAGAACTACTTGCTGTTTTACTTATAAAAAAAACACCACAAATTTCTTTGACAGCCATTTTATTACACTGGAACATCCTCCTCGGTGTGACAAACAGTTTCCGTAGAACTGCCTTCTTTACCTGTGAGTAAGAATCCGAAACCCGAGTTTTCACGGAGCAGTTGAGGAGGTTCAGTGTCATGAAAATCCACTTGTTGCATTGACTTTGATATGTCTTCCACCGTGAATGGGATGCTGCGTTTTCATTGATTCATTGGGTTAGTTGAGAAATGGCAAAGCGTACAAGAGAGATTGAACAATTATTATTTCAGCTTACCTCGAGTCATCATCGTCCAAAAGGAAAGAGCTTACGGCATTGTTCGAGTCCTCTGTCATCATACCCTCATGTTTGCAATAACCTGGGTTTGGAAAAGAGCACAATTAATACCAAATTCTAGATGAAAAGAAGCTTAGCTATTATTTAGAGGTGAAACCATACGTCTGGAGAAACACTATGAGTGCCATATTTGTCATCCCAGTACATTGTGCTGATTCTGTATAGCTGCTGTATGCTTAGCACCTGAAACCACAAAGCAACTTCAATGTTTGTCTCACAAACGGAAAAATGAGTAAAGGTTTTGACCGTGTTTGTAGTAATACCGGACAGAGTTCTCTTGTTATTTCGTCTAGTGTCTTTTTCGGCTTTTGATGAATGACCTGAACAAAGAGCCAAAACAAGCAAAGTTCACGTAAGCAAACAATGTAATGGAAGCATAAAAGGAGTGGCATAGCACGACTAAGAATTATACCAGGAAACCAACTGCCTGCCTGACATGCCTTAACTCATCCCAAGCTGAGCCAGCATACTGTAACGAAGATGAAACAATTTTAATGTTTTAAGCAATGTTAATATGAAAAAGCGTGACAGAACCGTGGCTTACTTCATCAGTAGCCTCTACACACCACTGCTCTAATTCATCCAAACCTGCTTTAACGTACTCCCCATTGCTGAATGAGCAGCACTCACGATGTAGAAGAAGACTGCACAGAGAAATCTTTCAGGCAACCAAAGAAAAAGTGGTTTAACAGAAAACAAAAGGAGAGATTACAAGTGAAACATGCCTGTTGAAAAGCTGAACATTGATGAAGGAGAATATTTGTGTGAATATTTTGCGGACTAAGAAGGGTGGGGCCTGTGTATCATATAATGTAATCAAAACTTCCAAACGGTTGATAAAGTTTTACTTTTATTAGTTTCTAAACAGAATTACAGACTCACATTGTTTGCTTTCATTAGATTAAAACAAGTGTTTAAGCTTTTCCTAATACTTTGCCAATGTGCAATTAGAGCTTGTTGAGCAACAGCATTTGCTTGTGCTCTCCCTTTCACCAAACTTGCCCTTGATGTCCTTGGTGCCTGTATCATGTAAACATGCCCTTACATAAATCGATAAATTAATGAAACTTAAGCTAAAAAGCATCAGTATATCAACTTTCACTAGTAACAAAATGAATTCCCTTCTTTTAAGACAGTAGTAGAGTCTGGAACATTCAGCTATTAATTTTGAAGCAGTGAAATTTATAATGAAACTGTATGAACACAAAAGCAACAACGAATTACCTGTATACATAACCCAAGAAGAAGGAGAGATCTCTTTCTTAAGATTATCTCTGATCATTCCATATATCTTCTCGAGGTATGCAGTAAGCTGCTGCTTGAAAAGTAGTGCGGGGTAGTTGGGTTCAACTTGCCTCAAGTCATCAAGCTTGGTGAACCCTTGTCTATTCAGAAAAGAGAGCCCAGCACTTTGAGGAGATGTCCTTATCACGGTAGCTTTTAAAAGTTAAAGAGGCACAGAAGATGAAATATATACATTTTTTAAGAAAGAGCAGTTAAAGGAAAAGTTGAACAAATAGATGTGCAGCTTCTTACTTGTGCCATCCTTCCAAATAGGGATGTTGATGCTGTTCTTCGTCTCTGTGGTGTTAAACTAGCTGCTCCAGTTGCTTTGAGTGTGCGTTGCAGAAGCAATAATAATGTGGCTGAATTAGATAACCAATACGCCAAAACCTCATTATTATCTGGGACCTGTATGGAAGACAACATTTCCAGTTGATATTCAGAAACTGTTGGGCTTCAGAACATGTTAAAATAGTACATTAATTCTTCTGAAGCAAGAAATGGATCATCTTACGTCAATGGCCGAAGATACTTTTTGAATGATACGGTCAAAGACGCTGGTTCTTTCGACCTCAAATGATCTCCAATGAAGGAGACATTTGTAAATGACACATGCAGCAACAGGCTTGTCCCCAGCATATCCAAGGTTTTGTGAGATACACTTGACTAGTAGATCTTGGTTTTCCTGAATAACGCAAAGATTATAACATATGTTAAGAGAAAATCAGAGTGAAATACTGCAAGAAATTAGGTCCCACCGTAACGATTAGTACAAGAAATTCATATATGCGATACATGCAGAGTATTTACCAGCTGCTTTTCACGCAGATGCTTCCATGATTTAAAATCAGACTCTGGTTCTCGAACAGAAAGAGTCATGATGTCCTGTGACATTTATAGACGATGCATGTCCTCAGACTCTGTATTCCAGTCTCCTTTTGACCATGCAAGTTAAATAAAAATAAAACCACTTCCCCTTTACCGGTGTAGTCTTCGTTTCTCCATTGACAAGATATCCTTTCACTGGAGTTCTCTGAGCATTGAGAAGGAAAGATTAAATATGAACAAACAGGCCTTGGTTTGATTAATATGTAAAGAAGAGAACAATTCATATGTTGTTGGCACCGGTAAAAGCATTGTTTTTGATGGTGCAGCCATAGTTCTGATGGTTGGAGATACACCAAGTGACTGCTGACTGAGTACTTGAATCTCTGACTCTGACTTGGAAAGCTTATCTTCAAGTCTGAAACATGTCAAAGTCCTGAATATATACATTTGTCAATTAATTGGAAGTAACATTGTTGCATCATCTGTAATTGTTTGGTCCTTGATTGACAATTTGACATATTATTCTACTAACCTTTGTACCGATTCCGGAAGCTGATCTACTTTGGTCATAACAGTTACAAGGTTTGCGGCCAGCTCAGAGTTTCGAACCTCTGCTTCTGAGAAAGCCTTTCTCAAGTCTTTTGCGGTTTGTCGTTCAGACTTCCACGCCTGTATAAACATAAAAAGGAAAGAAAACAAAAACACACACACACACGCACATGATTTAAATAAAACATCCAATTTCTGATTTACTTCAGCCTCTGATATCGATACAGAAAGAATCATGTCCTCTGACATTGTAGACGATAAGCAAAAGCAGAAGATACACACAAAAATGTCAGTTGACTTGAGCGAGGAAGGAAACAACTTTTGCAATCTCTCTCTCTCTCTCTCTCACGTTCTTTAGTTATAGATTAAAGTTACTTATTCAACTCTAATAAGAATAATTCCAGCTGGCCTTTTCTTTCTTTAACTGTTTAAATATTCAATGCCTGAAGCGAAACCGTTGACCTTTGATTAGCTCACTAAAAGAAAATCTAATCGCAAGTTTTTTTATGGGAAAAGAAGATTTTCAAATAATCCACGAATATAACATCCTAAAGGAGTTGATGGATTATGTATAAATCGGGTCATTGTCGCATGATCAAATTATATGCCAAACGCAGTGTACATGTACCAACAAGGCATGCCCAATGATAACGTACTAAGCAAGTAATCAGCACAACTACTTTTTTGACTTCGCGCTGTTCATAAACTGCAAGCTGTTTATTTATTAAAGGAAAAAAAAACACCATTTTGTTACACTCAAACGGTTTATGTTGAACTGCCTTCTTCACGAATGAGCAAGAAGCTGAAATCTGGGTGCTCGCGGATCAACTGAGGAGGTTTAATGTTGGATAGATCAACTTGTTTCAATAACATTGACTTTGACAAATCTCCCACAGTGAATGGAACGCTGCGTTTTGATTGATTCCCTTGCGTTAGTATAGAAATGGGAAGAGAACAGAGAGATTGTCAAACGTTTTTAAGGCTTACCTCGAGTCATCGTCCAAAAGAAAAGAGCTGCTTTCAGCATTATTCGAGTCCTCTCTCATCATCACCCTCATGTTTGCAATAACCTGTGGTTTTTGAAAGAGCCTAGTTAAAACCATGTCTAGAGAAAAGAAAGCTTAGTAATTATTTAGAGGTGAAACCGTACGTCTGAAGAAACACTAGGAGTGCCATATTGGTCATCACAGTACATTGTGCTGATTCTGTATATCTGTTTTACACTTAGCACCTGAAACCACAAATCAAATTCGATGTTTGTCTCACAGAGGGAAATATAAAAAAGATGAGTAAGATTTTGACAGAGTAATACCGGGCAGAGTTCTCTTGCTATTTCGTCTAAGGTCATTTTCGGTTTTTCACGTGTGGCCTGAACAGAGAGAACCAAAAACAAGCTAAGTTCACTGTAAGCAAAACAATGTAATGGAAAAGCATAAAAAGCATAGCACTGATTAAGAGATATACCAAGAAATCAACAGCCTGCCTGACATGACTCAACTCATCCCAAGCTGAGCTAGCATACTGTAGCAAATTAAAATCCCAGAAGATGTGAGTGAATATGTTTTAAGCAAATGTTTGTTAAGAGGCATAAGCGTGGCTTACTTCATCAGTAGCCTCTACACACCACTGCTCTAATTCAGCCAAACCTGCTTTAACGTACTTCCCATAGCTGAATGAGCAGCACTCACGACGTAGAAGAAGACTACACAATTTTGTTACAGAGAAAAACTTTCAGTCAACCAAAAGAAAAAGTGGCTTCAGAGTGCAAAAAAGGAGAGATTACAAGTGAAACATGCCTGTTGAAAATCTGAACATTGATGAAGGAAAATACTTGTGTGAATACTTGGCACACTAAAAAAGGTGGAACCTGTATCATGTAAACACAGAATCTCATCAACATTGCCAAATAAGTTTTTTTGTTGTTGTTAAAGTTCTAAATACAATTCCACACTCACATTGTTTGCTTTCATGATATTCAAGCAAGTGTTTAAGGGTTTCCTTATACTTTGCCAATTGGCAAACAGAGCTTGTTGACCAGCAGCATGCAAGTAAGTTTTCAGGACCTTCAGGCCTTTCCTAATCCGATCTTGTTCAGCAACAGTTTTTGCTCTTTCTAACACCGATTTTTCCAATGATGAAATTGTTCCCTGTCTCATGTAAACATACCTTTAGACTAAATCCATATATTCAAGAAATTTCATCCTAAAAAGCATCAGCATATCAACTTCCACAAAAAACTTGTCAAGAGCAATAAAAGAATGTCAACAAGGAGATTACTTTTATGCATGAGGCAAGGAGAGGAGAGATCTCTTTCTTTAGATTATCTCTGATCATCTCAGATATTTTCTCGACCAATGCGGTAAGCTGCAGCTTGAAACGTAGTGCAGGGTACTTTGCTTCAGGTGCTCTGAGTGTGTGTTGCAGAAGCACTAACAGTGCGGCTGAATTAGATAGCCAATACGCCAAAACCTCATTATTGTTTGGGACCTGTTTCAGCAACTTACTTTAGAACATGATTAAATTGTACGTAAATTCTTATGAAGAATCAATGGAGTAAGAAAGAATCAACTTACCTCAATGGCTGAAGCTATTGTTTGAACGATACGCTGAAAGATGCTAGTGTTTTCGAGTTCAAATGATCTCCAGTAGCAGAGACATCTGTAAATGATACATGCAGCAACAGGCTTGCCTTCATCATATCCAAGGTTTTGTGAGATACACTTGACTAGTAGATCTTCCTTTTCCTGAGTGACACCAACATTTGGTACATATGTTAAGAGAAGAGCAGAGTAAAATATAATGATTTAATGAAAGTTACTGTAGAACAAAAAAAACTTGCAAAGTTACCAGATATTTGTTTGCTTCGTCCTTGGACTCTGGTTCTTTTACAGCAAGACTCGTGTCCTGTCACATTTATAGATGCATCAATTGAATTAAAACAGTCTCATTTTGAGCGTGCAAATTTTCAATCAGAAAAAAGTCAATTCCTCTTTGCTTTTCCATTCAGAAGATTTTCATTCTCAGGAGTGATCTCTGAATATTGAGAAGAAAAAACATTAAATGGACAAACAGGTCCTCTTGTATTTTATATGTAGCATAAACAAGAAAATCATTCCTAAGGTTTTTGGGTACCTTTGCCTGTTGTTGGATTACTTGAATCTCTAACTTTGACTTGGAAAGCTTCTCATGAAGTCTGAAACCAGAAGCAAAAACCAACATGTAAAAGTCTGGAGTAGTTGCAGTTGTCAATTAATTGGAAGAAACATTGTTGCATCCACTTCAAGTGTGTGTCAATACTTGTAAAACAGAGTATTTGCAGTATCAAAACAAAACCAACACTAGTATATAAAGGACATAAGTCTCCCCAAGCATTGTTTTGGTCCCTTATTGACATATTCTACTAACCTTTTCATCGATTCCTGAAGCTGATCTAGCTTTGCGGCCAACTCCGAATTTCTAGACTCTGCCACTGCTAAAGCTTTTCTCAAGTCTTCTGTGGCTTGTCCTTCAGACTGAAGCGAAGCCTGTGATAAAACATGATTTAAACGGACACACCACTTTACGATAATAAGGGCCTAATTACTAATCAGCACATATATCTATTAACTTTGATAGTAAATGTTGAATACTGTTAAAGTTATGGTTTAAGAACACACACACCTTTAGAGCCTCCACCTCTACTGTTAATGAAATTATTTTTTCAGTATCCTCAACCATTTTTGGAGTCTCTCTAATGGCTAGAGGTGATTCTTCAATAGCAACTCTATGGGCTTCTGTCACAGTAAGAATCTCTGACTCTCTACGCAGCATCAAAACCTCTACACAAAATGAAACACACAAAAAGTGTATTGGCTAAGTTCAACAAACAAAAGATGCTGATGATTCATAAGTTCTTCTCAACATGTTGAAATAGTACATAGTCTTCTGAACAATGAAGCAAAAAAAATCAACTTACCTTAACGGTCAAAACTATTGTTTGATGATCAAAGATGCTGGTGAATGGTGATATGTATTTATACAGATGCCATCCAAAAAGATGATTAAAAAAGGAGATTGGCAAATAAATAAAGAATGAAAAGTTTTTCTAAAACTGAATTATTACATTATGCTATTTTTATCCAAAAAAAAAAACTAGTGACAGTTAGATAAGAAAATAAATAATAATAATAGATAAGTTTGCTTTTTTATTAACTAAATTTAGAGAAAAAAATTATGTGTAGTCTAACCAATAAGATTTTGTTTTATTTTTCCAAAAAATACCTAAAGTTAGCTATTTCTAATTACTGTTTATATGAAACTTTTATAATATGAAGTAAATCTACAGGTAATGATTATTTTAGAAATTTTTAAAAAAATTATAACAATACTTTCATATTTTTCTATAAACTAAAATACTGAAAAATTAGATTGTGTAAATTACATAACAACACAATTATGGGAAGGAACAACTGTGCAATATCGTATGTGAATGTTGGGCTACTGAGCTTGCCCGTTGTGGCCTAGTTGATTTCTTGATGATGACACAATCCTATTTGTTCAAAAACCACAAGCTGTTTTTGTTTTGCTTTTTTCGTTCAGGGAAGAACTACTTGCCGTTTTTATTCAAAAATGAAAACCATATCTCTCTTTCGTCACACTGACACACACACCATCCACCTCTAATCACACTCATCAAATTTCTCCTACGAATTTTGATCATGGCGCAGAGGATTCGACGGAAGATCCTATCTCAGCTGTTTTGGGAGAAATCGATGGTCTTCCCCGAATTAGCGGACGCTCTTTACGACGCGTCAGTTGATTAAGAGCGTTTCCGTGAGAACTTGCCCATCCAGGAACTCATAGTCGTAAGTATAATTCTTATTTCTGAAATGTAATTAGCTTATCAACTACCAAAGATTGCTCTTTAGATAATTTTTACCTGGATGTATTATTGTATTTCTTTCAGAATTTATGAAACTAGAAGTTGCTATTACTGTCTTTGCACACATGTTTGTCTACAGTTTAACCAAAAATAAATCCCTTTGAATATTCGAAGTCTTAAAGGATGACTGTGAAATGTCAATAGGAGTTTCAGAACTCAGAAGATTTTAACGGAAATGGCAAGAGGTTCTGACGTTGTGTGTGTCTTTTTTTGGAAATGCTTTGGCTTTACACTCTGCACACACGTTTTTAAGGTTTGACTGTTGAAAAGTAAAGAGACTGAAAGGGCTCTCTCTCAAAAGTCTACGCAATTATGGATTTTCTTGAGACCATTTTCAACTAATTTTGACCGCATTTAGTTGTCCACCACGACTTCTTTGATGGAATTGGATTTTGAATTTGCTTCCTTAAACTTCCTTAAAGGAGTTGATGGGTTATATGTAATTTCTTGAGCTTTTTTCAAATTGAGGATTTGTTTTTTTGTTTTTTTTTTGGCAACTCAAACTGAGGATTATGTGACCTTTCTTGTGATGGTTTCAAACTTTCAGTGAATAAATAGGGTCAATTTATGGGCGTGCCCAATAATAACGTACTAAGCAAGTAATCAGCACAACCGCTTTTTTTTAACTTTGTTGTTCATTAACTGTAGGCTGTTTTTCCTCCTCAGTGAAGAACTACTTGCTGTTTCATTTATATAAAAAAAAAGCACCACAAATTTCTTTGAAAAGCTATTTTATTACACTGGAACATCCTCCTCGGTGTGACAAACAGTTTATGTTGAACTGCCTTCTTTACGTGTGAGTAAGAATCCGAAATCCGAGTTTTCACGGAGCAGTTGAGGAGGTTCAGTGTCATGAAAATCCACTTGTTGCATTGACTTTGATATGTCTTCCACCGTGAATGGGATGCTGCGTTTTGATTGATTCATTGGGTTAAGTTGAGAAATGGCAAAGTGTACAGGAGAGATTGAACTTATTATTATTACAGCTTACCTCGAGTCATCTTCCAAAAGGAAAGAGCAGCTTACGGCATTGTTCGAGTCCTCTGTCATCATAACCCTCATATTTGCAATAACCTGTGGTTTGTGACAGAGCAAAATTAATACCAAAAACTAGATAAAAAGAAAGCTTAGTTACTATATAGAGGTGAAACCATACGTCTGGAGAAACACTACGAGTGCCATATTTGTCATCCCAGTACATTGTGCTGATTCTGTATAGCTGCTGTATGCTTAGCACCTGAAACCACAAAGCAACTTCAATGTTTGTCTAACAAACGAAAAATGAGTAAATATTTTGACCGTGTTTGTAGTAGTACCGGACAGAGTTCTCTTGTTATTTCGTCTAGTGTCTTTTCCGGCTTTTGATGAATGACCTGAACAAAGAGCCAAACACAAGCAACATGCAAACAATGTAATGGAAGCATAAAAGGAGTGGCATAGCAACGACTAAGAATTATACCAGGAAACCAACTGCCTGCTTGACATGCCTTAACTCATCCAAAGCTGAGCCAGCATACTGTAATCAAAGGAAACAACTTTTGTATATGTTTTAAGCAACGTTAATATTAAAAGCGTGATAGAACCGTGGCTTACTTCATCAGTAGCCTCTACACACCACTGCTCCAATTCATCCAAACCTGCTTTAACGTACTCCCCATTGCTGAATGAGCAGCACTCACGATGTAGAAGAAGACTGCACAGAGAAATCTTTCAGGCAACCAAAGAAAAAGTGGCTTGAGAGGAGAGATTACAAGTGAAACATGCCTGTTGAAAAGCTGAACATTGATGAAGGAGAATATTTGTGTGAATATTTTGCGGACTAAGAAGGGTGGGGCCTGTGTATCATGTAATGTAATCAAAACTTCCAAACGGTTAACTTTTATTGATTTCTAAATAGAATTCCAGACTCACATTGTTTGCTTTCATTAGAGTCAAACAAGTGTCTATGCTTTTCCTGATACTTTGCCAATGATCAATCAGAGCTTGTTGAGCAACAGCATTTGCTTGTTCACTCCCTTTCACCAAACTTGCCCTTGGTGTCCTTGGTGCCTGTATCATGTAAACACGCCCTTACAAAAATCGATAGACTAATGAATATTATGCTGAAAATCGATATCAACTTCCACAAGAAAAAACATATATTCCTTTATTGTAAGACGGTAGTACAGTCATCCTGGAGGTTTTGGAGGCATTGATAAAAAAATATTTATCTGGAACATTCACCTATTAATTTTGGAGCAGTGAAATTTATAACCTCTCTTCCTAGAAACTGTATGACCACAAAAGCAACAACGAGATTACCTTTATACATAGCCCAAGAAAAGGAGAGATCTCTCTCTTAAGATTATCTCTGATTATCCCATATATCTTCTCGAGGTATGCAGTAAGCTGCTGCTTGAAAAGTAGTGCGGGGTGCTTTAATTCAACTTGCCTCAAGTCATCAAGCTTAGTGAGCCCTTGTCTATTCAGAAAAGAGAGCCCAGCACTTTGAGGAGATGCCCTCATAGTCTATTAAAATTGTTAAAGAGGCACAGAAGATGAATTACACCAAAGGCAGTTAAAGGAAAATTAGAAAAACAAATAGATTTGCAGCTTCTTACTTGTGCCATCCTTTCAAATAGGGATGTTGATGCTGTTCTTCGTCTCTGTGGTGTTAAACTAGCTGCTCCAGTTGCTTTGAATGTGCGTTGCAGAAGCAATAATAATGTGGCTGAATTAGATAACCAATACGCCAAAACCTCATTATTATCTGGGACCTGTATGGAAGACAACATTTCCAGTTGATATTCAGAAACTGTTGGGCTTCAGAACATGTTAAAATAGTACATTAATTCTTCTGAACAATAAACCAAGAAATGGATCATCTTACGTCAATGGCCGAAGCTATTGTTCGAATGATACGGTCAAAGACGCTGGTTCTTTCGACCTCAAATGATCTCCAATGAAGGAGACATTTGTAAATGACACATGCAGCAACAGGCTTGTCCCCAGCATATCCAAGGTTTTGTGAGATACACTTGACTAGTAGATCTTGGTTTTCCTGAATAACGCAAAGATTATAACATATGTTAGGAGAAAATCAGAGTGAAATACTGCAAGAAATTAGGTCCCACCCGTTACGATTATTACAAGAAATTCATATATACATGTAGAGTTTTTACCAGCTGCTTTTCATTCAGATGCTTCTGTGGTTTCTCCTCGGACTCTGGTTCTCGTACAGAAAGAGTCATGTCCTGTGACATTTATAGACAATAAGCAATTGAAGAAACGAGAAAGTATTATCCCGCTCTCCTTTTGAACATGCAAGTTAAATAAGTAAAAACATCACTTCCCCTTACCGGTGTCATCTTTGTTTCTCCATTCTGATCTACATCTTCAAGCTTTGCGACCAGCTCTGAATTTCTAGTCTCTGCCACTGCTAAAGCTTTTCTCAAGTCTTCTGCGGCTTGCCCTTCAGACTGAAGCGAAGCCTGTGGTAAAATATGATATAGACCAACACACCACTTCACTAAAGTATATAATATTGTGGGCATAACAACTAATCAGCACATATATCTACTCACTTTGATAGTGAAATATTGAAAACTGTTCAAGTTATTTTTGGCAATCAGAAATACACATATATTCTTTTTTGGCATTCAGAAGAAAATACATAAAAGGATGATCTTTTGTTTTTTTCTTGAACAACACATAAAAAGGATGATCTAATAAGTTAAAATTTGTGTATTTATTTTGATGCGTGAAAAGTTATCTTCAACTTTTCATTCAGATCTTTCTGTGGATCGTGCTTATCCTGAATGACAGTAAGAATTTATAACATATGTCAACAAAAAAAACAATACATAAGTTTTTGGGAGTACTTGAATGTTGGACTCTGACTTGGAAAGCTTCTCTTCTAGTCTGAAACCAGAAGAAGTTTGTCAATTTATAGGAAGAAACACATTTGCATCATCTTTTATTGTATCAAGAGCACTTAAAATGTTTGATTTATAATTTTCCTGTTGTCACCTCCCTACTCTAGGAATCAAAGCAGTGTTTTGGTCCTTGATTGACATATTATTATTCTACTAACCTTTGTACCGATTCCGAAAGCTGATCTACTTTGCTCATAACAATTACAAGCTTTGCGGCCAGCTCCGAATTTCTAACCTCTGCTTCTGAGAAAGCTTTTCTCAAGTCAGATTTCCACGCACATGTTTTGAATAAAACATCTAGTTTATCATGTATTTCAGCCTCTGCTTTCGATACAGAAAGAATCATGTTCTCTGACATTGAGTTGAGCGAGGAAGGATACAACTTTTTGCAAACTCTCTCTCACGTTCTATAGTTATAGATTAAAGTTAATCGTGGTTACTTGTTCAACTCCAACAAGAATAATTCCAGCTGGCCTTGGAAATTTAATTGGCTTTCAATGCCTGAAGCGAAACCGTTAATTATTTCTTTTTACCTGACCAGGGAACCATTGACCTTGGTTAGATCACTAGTAGAAAATCTAATCGCAAGTTTTTGTTTTGGGAAAAGAAGATTTTCAAATTATCCAAAAATATTTGTCTTTTGATTTATGAAACTAGAAGTTGCTATTACTGTCTTTGCACACATGTTTGTCTACAGTTTAACCAAAAATAAATGTCTTTGAATATTCAAAGTCTTGAAGGATGACTGTGAAATGTCAATAAGAGTTCAGAACTCAGAAGAGTTTAACGGAAGTGGCAAGAGGTTGTGACGTTGTGTGTCTGTCCTATTTTGGAAATGCTTTGGCTTTACACTATGTACACACGTTTTTAAGGTTTGACTGTTGAAAAGTAAAGAGACTGGAAGGGCTCTCTCTCAAAAGTCTACGCAATTTTGGATTTTCTTGTGACCATTTTCAACGAACTTGGACCGCATTTAGTTGCCCACCACGACTTCTTTGATGGAACTGGATTTTGAATTTGCTTCTTCTTACCTTAAACTTGCTTTCATTTTTGGTTTTGAGTTGAAGAAAGATCCTTCTTTCGCTTTCTATCAGCAACATGAATCTGTCTCTTTTACTTGCCTTCAGTGCTCTCATGCTACTTGAAGTTTCGTGCTTGTTCTTTGCTCAAGGCAGGTTTTCAAATGAGACTGACATGAAAGCTCTTCTTGAGTTCAAGTCTCAAGTTGCTGAAAACAAGAGAGAGGTCCTGGCCTCATGGAATAACTCCTCTCCACTCTGCATTTGGATTGGGGTTACATGTGGCCGCAAGCAAGAAAGAGTTATCAGTCTGGACCTTGGAGGGTTTAAACTCGCCGGTGCGATCTCTCCCTCCATTGGTAATCTCTCGTTTCTCAGATCACTTAATCTTGCAGACAACTCTTTTGGAAGTAACATTCCTCAAGAGGTGGGAATGCTATTTAGGCTGCAGTTCTTGAACATGAGCTTTAACCTTCTCCAAGGAAGGATTCCGCTCAGTCTTTCTTACTGCTCTAGACTTTCGACCCTCGATTTATCCTCAAACGGTCTTGAACATAGCGTCCCTTCAGAACTAGGTTCGCTTTCTAAGCTAGCCATTCTGTGTCTTGATAGAAACAACCTTACCGGAAAGTTTCCTGCATCTTTAGGAAACTTGACGTCACTGCAGAAGCTTGACTTTGCATATAACCATATGGAAGGAGAGATTCCAGAGGATGTAGCTAGATTGACTCAAATGGTGTATTTCCAAATATCACTGAATAGTTTTTCAGGTGTTTTTCCTCCTGCGTTATACAACATGTCCTTACTGGAGTCTTTATCCCTAGCTGACAATAGATTTTCGGGTGAGCTTAGAGCTGATTTTGGTGATCAACTACCAAACTTAAGAAGGCTTCTTTTGGGATCAAATAATTTCACCGGAGCTATTCCAATAACACTAGCCAATATGTCTAGCCTTGGAAGGTTTGATATTGCAGAGAATTCCCTGACAGGAAGTATCCCTTTGAGTCTTGGGAAATTACCTAATCTGTGGTGGTTTGTGATTCGTAACAACTCCCTGGGAAATAACTCGTCCAGTGATCTTGAATTTATTAGTGCTTTGGCTAACTGCACTCAGTTAGAGAAAATAGATGCTGGTTACAATAGGTTTGGAGGTGAGCTTCCTGCCTCCACAGCCAATCTATCCACCAAACTAACTGGTCTCTATCTTGGAGGAAACCTCATCTCTGGAGCCATTCCTCGTAACATCGGGAATCTCATAAGCCTGCAAGCTCTTAGTTTAGAGACAAATATGTTGACAGGAGAACTCCCAGTCTCTTTCGGGAAGCTTTTGGAATTGCAGGTGATTGATCTGTATTCAAATGCATTATCGGGGGAGTTACCTTCTTATTTTGACAACATGACTCGGTTGCAAGAGATCCATTTGAACAGCAATAGTTTCCACGGAAGAATACCTCAGAGTCTTGGACGTTGTCGAAACTTGCTTGACCTATGGATTGATACAAATCAGTTGAATGGGACTATATCACAGGAAATAGTGGAAATTCCAACCCTTGCTTACTTAGATTTGTCAAACAATCTCTTGACTGGCCCTTTTCCTGAAGAAGTTGGAAAGTTGGAGCTTCTTGTTGGACTAGGTGCTTCCAACAACAAATTATCAGGGAACATCCCACAAACTCTAGGGGATTGTCTCGCAGTGGAGTTCCTCTATCTCCAAGGAAATTCGTTTGACGGAGCCATTCCAGATATAAGTCGGTTGGTAAGCATAAGAAATGTTGACTTCTCCAACAACAGTCTCTCTGGCCGCATACCCCAATATCTGGCCAATTTTCCTTTGCTGCAAAAACTGAATCTCTCTATGAATAACTTCGAGGGAAGTGTGCGAACAAAAGGATTGTTTCGAAATGCTACATCAGTTTCTGTCTTTGGAAACAAAAATTTATGCGGAGGCATCAGAGAAATGCAACTAAAGCCATGCGTTGTGCACGCATCACCAAGGCCGAGGAAACATCTCTCACTTGAAAAGAAGGTTGCCATTGGTATTGGTACAGGTATGGCCTCACTTTTTCTGTTTATAATTGTGGCTTCTCTGTGTTGGTTCAAGAAGAGGAGGAATAAGAAGAAGAACAGTGCCAATGGTAGTAACCCATCTGATTCTTCTACTTTGGGGATCTTCTTTGAGAAGATAAGTTATGAAGAGCTTTACAATGCAACAAATGGCTTCTCATCAAGCAATCTGATTGGTTCAGGCAACTTTGGTGATGTGTTTAAAGGACTGATTGTCTCTGATGATAAACTCGTCGCTGTTAAAGTTCTGAACCTGCTGAAGCATGGAGCAACGAAAAGCTTTATGGCCGAATGCGAAACTTTCAAGAGTATGAGGCATCGTAACCTTGTGAAACTGCTAACGGTTTGTTCAAGCCTCGATTCTCTAGGAACCGAATTCAGAGCTCTGGTCTATGAGTTCATGCCAAAAGGAAGTCTGGATATGTGGCTGCATCCAGAAGATCTGGAAAGGACAAACGAGGAGTCGAGAAGTTTAACAGTTCCAGAGAAACTCAACATAGCAATAGATGTGGCGTCCGCTCTGGAGTATCTGCATGTTCATTGTCACGAACCTGTAGCTCACTGTGATGTTAAGCCAAGCAACGTTCTTCTGGACGATGATCTGACTGCTAATGTTAGTGACTTTGGTTTGGCTCGGCTCCTCTATAAATTCGATCCAGAGTCCTTCCTAAACCAGTTTAGCTCTGCTGGTGTTAGAGGCACCATTGGCTTTGCCGCACCAGGTAAATAAAGCATCTTCACGCTAAAAGTATTGTTTAACTGTGGATTATCCAGTCTCACTCATTGTATGTTGCTGCTTGGAAAATATGTACAGAATATGGAATGGGAGGCCAACCATCAATACAAGGAGATGCGTACAGCTTTGGAGTTCTACTTTTGGAGATGTTCACTGGAAAAAAACCTACAGACGAATCATTCGGAGGCGATGATAACCTCCACAGCAACACAAAGTTGCTATTGTCGAGAGATGAGGAGGAGGAGGGTGGAGGTAGGAGCGCCATTGATAAGTGGTTGAGACTGGTTTTGCAGGTGGGAATAAGGTGTTCTGAAGAATATCCGAGGGATAGGATGAGAATGGCCGAAGCTGTACGCGAATTAGTCTCAGTCAGATCTAAGTTCTTCAGTTCCAAGACGACTAACACAGAGCTAAGCCCTCGGGATGCTGTGAGAAGTTCTCCTCAGGAATTGATTTTAGATGCAGACATGCATACAATATAGACGAAAATGGTGGCACGCAATCACCAGTGAATCAGAATGTGCCTCTGCTTCATAGAAACAGAACAATGTTAGGAAAAGAGTCTACTACTGTATTTTAAAATCTATCTCTGTAGCCCACTCTCATGTTCACTTGGCTCTTATTTTCGGTCAACATTGTCATCTCCATAAGAGTGTATATTATTATGTCATAAATACGCAGACCAGTTGCTCGAACTGGGAACAACGTTAATGTGGATAGAAAATGTGCAAGGCACTGAAACGTGATGATCTGGGAGTAGAAGAGAAGAGGCTCTAAAACAATGTCACTAAACTCATAGTGGTTGACTAAGCGCAAAAACAATGTAAAAATTCCACCGATATTAACCCAACTAAAATATGGTTTGGATTGGTTAACAGGTTTTAAAATTTATTCCGAATTGAACCGAAGCTGTCACGTGTGTTTGTATAAATTCGGTTTAGTCCGGTTTTTCAGTTCGAAATTGTAAATAAATTTTCAAAATTGACCGGTCGGAAGTACGGAAACCGAAAATAGATATCGTTTGCAAAACACGCCGATTGGTTTGGAGAAACTTGAGAAAAGTTCGGTTCGGTAAGGACTGTGGAGAGAGAGATTAGGAAATTAAAAAGAAAGGAAAAAAGGAGATTAGGAAAGTACCGAACTGTAGCTTTTTGGTCAAGTTTCCTATTGTTTGTATATAAATATATTTGCCCAAGAACAGTAACACACACATTCTAAAAACCTAGCAGGAACATGTTGGATATCAATCTATTTCGAGAAGAAAAGGGGAACGATCCGGAGATCATCCGGGAATCTCAGCGCATGAGATTTGCCAGCGTTGAAGTCGTTGATGAGATCATTAATCTCGACAAACAATGGCGTCAGCGTAAGTATTCTCCTTTTGCTCTATAGCATCGTTCTCTCTCCTTAGAAACTGAGCTTGGTTGCTCATCAAGAATTTCTGTGTTTCAGGACAATATGAAGTAGATTGTTTGAGAAAAGAGGAGAACAAGCTGAAGAATCAAGTGGGCAAGCTCAAATTGGTTAGTTTTTCCCCGTAATTATATAGGATTAGAGGAACTGCAGCAGTTGGGGGACGATTTGAGTTTGACTAATAAATTTGATTTCTTTTGTAAATAGTCTGGTGCCGATGCGACTGAGCCGATTCAGCAAAGAGAGAAAATCAAACAAGAGCGTAGCGATAAAGAGGCGGAAGTTGCTGAGGCTAGTGATGCTATAAAAGCCAAAATGAACACTGTGGGAAATCTCGTACATGACTCGGTTCCGATTGATAATGATGAGGTTGGTTCCACTTCCATATATAGCTCTCTTTCTTTCAACTGGTTTGTCTTCATGGTGGTGGTGAGATTAATTTATAAGTGTATGGTTCTTTTAGGCAAATAATCTCTTGGTCAAACATTATGGTGAAACGAGGGTTGCTTTACTTGGTGAGGAGCTGAAAAACCATGTAGATCTCGTTCATCTTCTCGGTTTTGTGGATACCAAGAGAGGTGCTAAAGTTTTCGGAGCAAGAGGCTATTACCTAGAAGGAGCTGGCTCGGCCCTTAAGCGAGCTCTTATGAGCTTTGGGCTAGACTTCTTAGCAGAGAGAGGATTCAAAGAAATGAATCCTCGTTCTACCATGAGGAAGGATGTCATGGCCAAGTGCGCACAATTGTCACAGTTTGATGAAGAACTCTACAAGGTGTCTTTAGTTAACCGTTTGTTTAATTTTCTTGTTAAACTAGTTCTTGAGGTTTGGTTTTCTCTGACAAGAATGTTGTTTTTGTTTCAGGTGAGTGGTGAAGGAGATGACAAATACCTTATTGCAACCGCTGAGCAACCTCTTTGTGCATACCATAAAGATGAATGGATCCAACCGAGCAAGCTTCCCAAAAGGTATATATATGTGTATTAGACTATTGTTGCTTTTATATATTTAAAGAAGAAGAAATGAATGATTGACATGATAGCATTTTTGGTCCAGATATGCCGGTCACTCGACCTGCTTTAGGAAAGAAGCTGGTTCCCATGGAAGAGATACACTTGGCATTTTCCGTGTTCACGAGTTTGGCAAAGTTGAACAGTTTTGCGACACGAGTCCAGAAGATTCTTGGGCAATGTTCGATGAGATGATCAAGAACGCGGAAGATTTCTACCAAGCGGTACGTAACTCCGACGTTTTAAGTAAAGAAATTAACCTTACTGAATTTTTCCAAACGTTTTCTAATATGATGACTGATTCCTCTGCATGCACAGCTTAAACTTCCATACCGAGTCGTGTCGGTTGTGTCTGGAGCTTTGAACGATGCAGCTGCGAAGAAGTACGACTTGGAAGCATGGTTTCCTGCGTCAGGGACTTACAGAGAGCTCGTGTCCTGTTCCAACTGTACAGACTATCAGGCTCGAAGGCTTGAGATTAGATACGGACATAAAAAGGTAACCATATCTCTCTTCTTTACGTTTCATTATAGAAAATATATATGTTGTTCGATCTTGTGTAATTCGCTCTTCTTTGATTTAATGCATGCAGGACAATGACAAGACAAAGCAGTATGTGCATATGCTGAATTCGACTCTTGTCGCGGCAGAGAGGACCATTTGCTGCATTGTCGAGAACTACCAGCGAGAGGATGGTCTCGACATCCCTGAGGTTCTACAATCTTACATGGGCGGAAAGACATTTTTGCCTTGGTGCCAAGAAGTCCAAGATTAAGCCTGGCCAAATAACACTGACCCAATCTCGTGGTGGTTGTTTTAGCCAATCTCGGGTTTTGAGGAATATTTTCAGGTTTTGTTATTTGTTTATGTGTTACTTTGATGAATAATGTGCAAAGTTCTTTATTGTTTTGTAGTTTTGTACTATACAAATAAATGATTGGAAGAAAACCATCTAACGATCACATAAACAAATATCTGATGTGCAACCTATATAAATAATTTTAAGAGAAGTAAATAAAATCTATATTAATAATAGTGACAAACAATCAAATCTAGGTTCCTTCATTACAATTTCCCCAAACCAAGAAATACATGATCGACTAAAAACAAAATACTATCCTCCCCTTTCTGGACAGGAACAGCATCAAACACACCTAAGCCTTTCTAATGGCAAACAAATGACCCCTGCGAGTTGCCATAACTACAGGGATGCAAAGAATGAAATAAACTCTCGGCCTTTCCACAAATACAAAGGCCAAAGAGACTGAAACCATAAATCAAGAAGAAGAAAGAATGGAAACTGGAAAAAAAAAAGATAATATACACAAAATGCCCATAGGAATGCAGTGGCTCACACAAACGATGTATTTATGTATATGTAGCAGAAACACTCGAGTTTGGTGAACCATACCGAGAACCCCGAGGACACTTATGCTGCACTGCCTTCTTTACGTGTGAGTAAGAATCCAAAACCCGAGTTTTCACGGATCAGTTGAGGAGGTTCGATGTCATTTACATCCACTTGTTGCATTGACTTTGATATGTCTTCCACCGTGAATGGAATGCTGCGTTTTGGTTGATTCATTGGGTTGAGTTGAGAAATGGTAAAGCGTACAAGAGAGATATGGAGCACATTATTATTAGAGCTTACCTCGAGTCATCGTCCAAAAGGAAAGAGCTGCTTACGGCATTGTTCGAGTCCTCTGTCATCATCACCCTCATGTTTGCAATAACCTGTAGTTTTGGAAAGAGCCTAGTTAAAACCATGTCTAGAGAAAAGAAAGCTTAGTAATATTTAGAGGTGAAACCATACGTCTGAAGAAACACTATGAGTGCCATATTTGTCATCCCAGTACATTGTGCTGATTCTGTATAGCTGCTGTATGCTTAGCACCTGAAACCACAAAGTAACTTCAGTGTTTAACTCACGAGGATAAAAAGAGAAACGATTGACCGATTTGTAGAAAAGAGTGATACCGGACAGAGTTCTCTTGTTATTTCGTCTAAAGTCTTTTTCGGCTTTTGATGAATGACCTGAACAAAGAGACAAACAAGCAAATTTCACATACAAGCAATGTAATGGAAGCATAAAAGGAGTGGCATAGAACGACTAAGAATTATACCAGGAAACCAACTGCCTGCCTGACATGCCTCAACTCATCCCAAGCTGAGCCAGCATACTGTAAGACAATGAAATCAACAAAAGTTGTGAAATGTTTTAAGCAATGTTAATAGGCAAAAGCGTAACGAAACCGTGGCTTACTTCATCAGTAGCCTCTACACACCACTGCTCTAATTCAGCCAAACCTGCTTTAACGTACTCCCCATTGCTGAATGAGCAGCACTCACGATGTAGAAGAAGACTGCACAGAGAAATCTTTCAGGCAACCAAAGAAAAAGTGGTTTGAGAGAAAACAAAAGGAGAGATTACAAGTGAAACATGCCTGTTGAAAAGCTGAACATTGATGAAGGAGAATATTTGTGTGAATATTTTGCGGACTAAGAAGGGTGGGGCCTGTGTAAACACAGAATGTAATCAAAACTTCCAAACGGTTATAAGTTTACTTTTATTAGTTTCTAACGGAATTACAGACTCACATTGTTTGCTTTCATTAGATTCAACAAGTGTTTAAGCTTTTCCTAATACTTTGCCAATGGGCAATTAGAGCTTGTTGAGCAACAGCATTTGCTTGTGCTCTCCCTTTCACCAAACTTGCCCTTGATGTCCTTGGTGCCTGTATCATGTAAACATCCCCTTACACACATTGATAAAATTAACGAAATTTAAACTAAGAAGCAGTGAAATTTATAACCTCTCTTCCCAGAAAATGTATAAACACAAAAGCAACAACGAAGTTACCTGTATACATAACCCAAGAAGAGGAGAGATCTCTTTCTTAAGATTATCTCTGATCATTCCATATATCTTCTCGAGGTATGCAGTAAGCTGCTGCTTGAAAAGTAGTGCGGGGTACTTTGCTTCAACTTGCCTCAAGTCATCAAGCTTGGTGAGACCTTGTCTATTCAGAAAAGAGAGCCCAGCACTTTGAGGAGATGTCCTTATCGTCTATTTAAATTGTTAAAGAGGCACAGAAGATGAATTACACCAAAAGCAGTTAAAGGAAAATGAGAAAAAGAAATAGATTTGCAGCTTCTTACTTGTGACATCCTTCCAAATAGAGACGTTGATGCTGTTCTTCGTCTCTGTGGTGTTAAACTAGCTGCTCCAGTTGCTTTGAGTGTGCGTTGCAGAAGCAATAATAATGTGGCTGAATTAGATAACCAATACGCCAAAATCTCATTATTATCTGGGACCTGTATGGAAGACAACATTTCCAGTTGATATTCAGAAACTGTTGGGCTTCAGAACATGCTAAAATAGTACATTAATTCTTCTGAACAATAAAGCAAGAAATGGATCATCTTACGTCAATGGCCGAAGCTATTGTTTGAATGATACGGTCAAAGACGCTGGTTCTTTCGACCTCAAATGATCTCCAATGAAGAAGACATTTGTAAATGACACATGCAGCAACAGGCTTGTCCCCAGCATATCCGAGGTTTTGTGAGATACACTTGACTAGTAGATCTTGGTTTTCCTGAATAACGCAAAGATTATAACAATGTTAAGAGAAAATCAGAGTGAAATACTGCAAGAAATTAGGTCCCACCGTTACGATTAGTACAAGAAATTCATATATGTGATGCAGAGTTATTACCAGCTGCTTTTCATTCAGATGCTTTTGTGGTTTCTCTTCAGACTCTGGTTCTCGTACAGAAAGAGTCATGTCCTGTGACATTTATAGACAATAAGCAATTGAAGGAACGAGAAATTATTATCCCGGTCTCCTTTTGAACATAAAAGTTAAGTAAGAATATCACTTCCCCTTACCGGTGTCATCCTTGTTTCTCCATTGAGAAGATTTCCATTCTCTGGAGTTCTCTGAACAATGAGAAGAAAAAAGTACATGAACAAACAGGCCTTCGTGGATTAATATGTAAAGAAGAAAAATAATTCATAAGTTGTTGGTACCGGTAAAATCATTGTTTTGGATCGTGTGGCCATAGATCTGCTGGTTGGCGATATAGCAAGTGCCTGTTGTCGGAGTACTTGAATCTCTGACTCTGAGTTGGAAAGCTTCTCTTCCAATCTGAAACCAGAAGGAAAACCAACAAGGATAACAAATGACTAGTAAGAGACTCTTTGCAATATCAAAACTTGTAAGCAAAAAGAAACAGTCAAATGTATATTGGCAAAGTTCAACAAACATGAGCAATTAGAATATGTCAAATGTATATTGGAAAAGTTCAACAACAATCCTTACGAACCTTTGTACCGATTCATGAAGCTGATCTGCTTTTCTCGTAGCATTTTCCAGTTCTGTGGCCAGCTCTGAATTTCTAGCCTCTGCCTCTGAGAAAGCTTTTCTTAAGACTTCTGCGGCTTGTCGTTCAGACTGAAGCGAAGCCTGAAATAAAATATAATCTTAACTCACATATCCAAATTACGAGTGTATTTCCCTAATCAGCATGTATCTACTAATTTTGACAGTGAATATATACATGATGATCTGATAAGTTAAAAAAAAAAAACAGATACCTTTAGAGCTTCCACATCTGATGTTAATGAATTGATTTTTTCAGTATCCTCAACCAATACCGGAGTCTCCTTAATGACTGGAGGAGCTTCTTCGATAGCTTTCCTTGCAGCCTCCCGTTCTCTAATGACAGCAGCGTTTGCTTCTTCAACTTGCAACCGCATTGCTTGCAAAGCCTCCTGCTGTTTTGCATATTCTTGGGCTTTTGCTTCTTCCAGATCGGTCTATATTACCAGGGATTATCAATGACAGTGTAAACAAAGCTTGATAGCATGCCAGTGTATTGAAATGAACTTACTCTCTGTCGCTTTTCCAGTTGTAAACGCCATGTTAGTTCCTCAACACGCTTTTCAAGTTTATCTTTCGCCTCTCTAAGGGCTCCTGTGTCTCGGGCAGCCTGAATCAATTAATTGTAAAGGTAAGAACCTGATTCGTTTCATGAAATTTTAGCAGAAGAAATTTATAAAAACGACAAAAAAACACTGAACCATCTTAAGTGTCCTCAATTCTTTTCGTGCAACCCTGCTCCTCCAGCCACATTGTGAAGACAGGGCAGCTTTCTGGAGTTTCTTGTAGTAAGAATGTGCGAGGTGACCACGAAGACGAGCCTAAATTCAAAAAGGTGGAACCATCAGATTGCTGATGTAGATGGAACAATTTTGCACATTGACGATCGATGCTCTTATTTTCTCAGTTAGGTAAACAAAAATGAACCAAAGAGATTTCTTAGTACAGACCTGAATAATAGTAGCAGCCTTCATTTGCTTTCTGAATCTGAACTCTTTGCGAGCAACCATTCCCCTTAGTGCCGTTTGAACTACTATTGCAGAAAGTCTTATCGTTAAATAAGATTCTCTGGCAGTATGTCTTCTGAAACTTTTCTGAACCTTCAACGCTGCTGCTTGGCGCCGCATTTCCTCATAAACGTTGCACGCCAATTTGCCTTGCATTCAATAAAAAACGTTTCAGAAGCTCATTCCTCCAAAATACAAAAGAATGGACCCTTAACAAGCCACTAATTTCGTGGCTACACATCAACAAAAATTTCTGAATCCAATATGCTGGGAAACTACAACAATGCCAACTAAAGAAAGGGCAAAGTTTTGCATTAAATTACGGAAGAAGATACCTCGGCAATTGGACTGCAACACGATAGCAGCTCCACGTAGAGCACGGAATTCTTTACGAGCAATGTAAGTACGGATTTGCCTTTGGATTCTCCTAGCGGCATTTCCAAGAACCTCAGCTCTTCTTGCATCCAACTCAGCCATCTGCCCAGCTCTAAGGAATACTTTTGTTTTCCCTAACTACAAGTGGCAGTATAATGGATAAATTAGACAGCTCTTAAAACATAAAAAGAACCAGTACGTAATGTAATTACATGTTACTTACTTCATAACCCTTTAAGCCTATCTTATCCAGAAGCATTTTGCATGCAACTTTGTCATCATAACTGCACAGAAATAGGAATCATTACATACAGCGAGAAGGTAGAAGGCATGTTTTAAAAAAAACAAATTCTATGAAATAAAACTTGTTAAAAAGCGATTATCGGGACTAACAAACTACAAAGACAAAAAAAGAAGTTAATATCAACTAGAACTTACTTTCCATCCAGAACTTCTGGAGCAAGAACACCAAAACGATTAAGAAACTCATAAAACGTCCGCTTTGTGGGATAACCTGCACAGCTGATTCTAATAGCTTCCAGAACACCCTAAATAAAAGTAAGAAATATAATATGTTTGTGAGTTTCATAACCGAAAGTCCAGGTTAAAGTGCCTCAATTATAGATACCACTGAACAGACAGAAATAATATGGAAGGTTCTGACTGTACTTACACCACACCGTAACTGTTGGATTACGTTCACATTCTCGAAGATGGCTGGCTTAAGTACATTATTTGGCTTCACACATCTGATGTAGTGAGGTTCGGTTGAACTCAGTGTCTCCATCAAAGATTGAAGTTGGAGCTGGAATTAAAATCAGATAATTTCTTGTTAGAAACATTTTGAGCTAGAGTTTCCGCTACATAATGTCTAAAATTATGACTCATCTCCAACATGGGTGAATGAAAACCATAAACTAAAAATAATAACTACAAAGTCAACGTGACTGCAAGAAACATGTCTGAATCAGTGATATGTCTGCTCTATCAAGCACACTCAGGAAAGGAATTGTTATAGATGTGTTATCTATCTAAGAGGAAATTCATAGTTCTATAAATATCTACTGTAAAGGAGAATACAGCATATAAGTTTTGCAGGACAAAGAGATCACCAATCACCATACCTTAAAGCGTGACCCGATGGAAGAAAATTTGGTTTTACTTGATGTTTCTTCTGCTAGGCGAGGAAATAGGCCAGCTACGAAAGTACAGCTGGAAGCGATCAATAGATCCTGATGTTCTGCCACCACATAATCTTTGTTCTTGTCAAGAAACAAGTCGGCCTGATAAGTTACCTGTTTCAGTAGAAAAGAGAGGATGTTAACAGGAAAAGTATCTAAACTTATAATAAGTATGTGAAAGATGTTTTACCTCTCCAGCATAATGCGATATTGCAAAGTTGGTCCGAGATAGCTTTGGCTTGGTGAACCTCTTACTGTTTTTGAACGTTTGGTACAGCTTCTGAGCAAATGTTTCATGTGTCGACTTAGGAAACATACTGCAAAAGAATTGAGCTACCATTATACACTTGCTCTCAGTCTCTCACACAAAATTAAGCAAAGCAGAATCTCCATCAGATATTTAGTCCATAAACACAAACTGAAACAGCTTCGTCTAAAGTGTCTAGCAGCCTACCATGCTTCATCTAGAAGTGCAATGATTCCTCCAGGTTTCTGTACGAGCAAGTCACATACATATATATGTGTCAAGAAGGATGAGGTAGTTGTAAATTATCACAAAAATACGTTCAGACTATAATTAAACCTTCTCAATGAGTTCCAACACATCCTTGTTATCAACAAATTCTATGTAACTCCAATTGATCTCTTCTTTTGTATAATCTTCTTGTTCCATTTTGAAGACGTGCTGTGAAAAAGAATTATTGTACGTCAGAGCCACCTAGAGAAAGAAATAGATATCCGGAAGCTAGTGGGGAAGCGCACAACAAACCTGGTTGAAATGCTGTTGCAGCTTTTCATTGGTAAAATTGATGCAAAACTGCTCAAAGCTGAAAAAATACGTAAAACTCAATACAGTCTTTAAAACTATATCAGAAGAGGAAATAATTCTTCAAGCTACAAATTACCTGTTGATCTTAAAGCTTTCAAACCCATAGATATCAAGAACACCAATTATTGTCTTAGAGTTCGGATCTTGCCCGATAGAATTGTTAATTTTATCAACAAGCCTGAAAAACAGTATAATGGTTTTAAGAAGTCAGAAATTTCAAGTGGCAGCTGTACTGATGAAACATATTGTAGACATTTTCTGCGGGAGGTTTCTGATGCATAAATTACAGATAGTGACACGATAAGTGAAACATGTTCTTTATAGAAGAGTGAACTTAGAGAAAACAAAATAATACATAAGAGCGTGAAAATTTAAAGAGAGAAAGTTTCTTTATATACCAATCAAACAAGCGTGAATAGATAGTTTTTGCTAATGCGTCCCTGCTACCCGTGGCTGAATCAGGATCAAGTGTTCTTGTAATAACCTCTTCTGGTGTCACCATTACACGTTTTATCAATGCATCTTCCAAACTCTTTGCATCACACCTTTTGAAAGAAGTGAGCCCAGGATCAAATATGTAAAACAGAAGTAAAATAGAATCCAGATTAAAAAAAAAACAGCACATACCTAAGAAGTTCAGCAGTCACACCCAGATGAAATCTTGATTTGTCATCCTTCAAAACTGAGGAGTCAATCTCTTTTCCTTTTGCAAATTCGACATTACCAAGATGAAGGATTGCGGCAACAACTCTAAAAATTGCATCCTGATAGATATTATCATAATAATCAATAAGATGCTCTACCAAAGAAATAATTTCTTGTTGGAAAAGGAGCAAATGGAAGACTGACCTGTTCGTCTTCACTGATGCCAACAATTTCCATAGCTCGCCGGGTAGCAAGATATTCCTCGGTATCATCCACTCCATCCAGTTTATAGCACTTCGACTGATTTAGGTAGTGAAATGACTTGGGATCTCCCAACTTAAACTTTTCTCTTTCCTACAGATTGAGAAGAGAGTTAAAATCCCCAATTACGTAGTCATGAGGTATAAAACAGAACACCTGGCAATAAGGTTAATTGGTAATCATTCTGCAGCACCAGTACCTCAGGTGGAGCAGCACATAAAAGGTAAAAGCAGTGATAATTTCTTTCTGGATCTGATATTTGACACACTCGAGACCTTTCCAACAAATATGTTCGGACAGCTGCTCCAGATATTCTCCCACTTTTGTCAAACTGAAGCTCAACAAACTTTCCAAATCGACTGCATTTTGATCAAAAGATAAATTAGAATGAGGATAAGTATTTACTGAAGAAGCTTTGAGCCAAGAACAAGTTTGACTATCCAACTCATAAAAGCATTTGAAGAGAAGATTCGTAGGACAAAAAACTCTCAGTGAACATATGCATACCTGGAGTTGTTATTCCTCAGAGTTTTGGCGTTTCCAAAAGCTTCAAGAACTGGATTTGACTGTATACCAACAACAAAACCAAAATTGTTAATCAAGCTAGCATTACAAGCCTCTACATAAATATATCAATACAGTAGCTATCATAGATTTATGATGCCTCACCTCCAAAACTTGTTGCTCCACTGTCCTTCCTTCAACACCGGATCGACCACCAAGGAAAGCAAGGTAACGCATAAGCATCTTTGTGGTCTCAGTCTTACCAGCACCACTTTCCCCACTAACAAGAATTGAGTTGCTCTTGCCCTCATTGATCATCGCCCTACAAATAGAACTAGCATGAGAAAATGTACAAATAAAGAGTGATCTAGAGAATTTCTCCTAGTGAAATCTTTGATTGGTCCTAATTACCTGTAAGCAACTTCTGCAATTGCAAACACATGAGGGCTTAATTCCCCAAAACCTGCTCCTTTATACTGCTCCATCATATGAGTATCATAGAGATGTGGTAACCTTTGAAATGGATTTACAGCAATCAAGATATTTCCAGTATATGTCTGCAAAGACAATTTGATGGAAATACTTAGTACTGTGTATTGCTATAGGATTCAATAGGTGATTTCATTAATACGAGCGCAGAAATTGCAAAATCACTTACATAAATTTCATTCAGCTCATATCTCATGGCCAAGTTATTCAAAACACCTGGTTCATGTAAATATGAGAGCTTTGTCATGTCATCAACACCCCCAGGGGGCGCTTCTGTGTCCTTTGGAAATACGTTTGCAATTTTGGCCACAACCTACAATTAAATGTCATTGAACAATGATTATAACAATGATTGTACTCGAATTGTTCAATTAAATGTCATTGAACAATGATTGTACTCGAATTGTGAAAAGGGTTGTCCAGAAATTGTTTTTGCAAACCACATATGTTGGAGAAGTAGCAGTATAAATTTTGGGGGAAGTTATAGAACTAGTGACATTTTTCTCAAAGGTAAATAGACATCCTAAGCAGCTAAAACCCTATCCAGTGGCATTTGTTCTCCCAGGAAAATTACATGCAAAAACATCGCAGGAGGAGGATAGACAAACTTACGGACTTCCCGTTTGTGGCCTGCACATGAACTTCTTCGCCATTAATTTTGACAACTTCTCCATCAATCCATGCGACTCCTGGATCTTCAATCCACACATGAGAACCAACGATTATATTTACTGGGGCAACCTACAGGATATAAGGATTGAACGTGTGAGGTACAGAAATCTTATATAGCCTCACACTAGCTGTTTCATAGTTTTATGCATCATTAGGTGATCAACAGTAAACTTAAATCATATGAAACTTTAAAGAATGCTTATCAAGATTTGTGTAGAGATCAGTGGAACATGGGCCTAAGTTAATCTGTAATGTTAACAATACGATGAAAGAAAAGTGTCTAGTATTCTAGTAGGCATCTCCCAAGCTCTCATAATCTAACATAGAAGCTTACAATAACTCATTACGGCTTGCTATCTTAGGCAGGTTCGGAGTAACTAATAATAGAAATTAGAAACATATCTAAAAACAGTGAAGAGTCACTAAGTACAATGCTATAGAAAATGATAGTCGGAGAAATGAAACATCGAATAAAATGATTTTTGTTTAAACTGTGGTAGTCCAACATTCCTTAACACATTCACTTCTCAACGAGGATCAAAGTTGTACAACCATTAACCAATATGGTCAAATCTAAATAGAATTTGACTAAGAATCTCCGTTTACTGATTTTTATTTATTCACAGGAAGAGGAGCTACGGATCGACAACGAAACACCAATCACATACTAAGATCTCTGTAGCAATGAAACACCAAATCGAAATGAACCAGAAAATCTATTGAAATCAATCCGTGTATTTGACTAAATTCAATAAAATCATTAAATAAACGAAGATAAGCAATCAAAAAAACGAAGAGGATGTGATGAGAACGAAGATAACTACCATGGCAGCTCGTCCTCCGATAGATCCTCTCTTTCACAGTAGCTCATCCAAGAGGGGCCCGAGTTATCAGGAAGCCGACTCAGCGAGTCAGGCAGCTGGACGATTCAGATCGGGCAGATTCTCGGGTTGGTGGAGGTCTGAAAATTCTCGTCGGGGTCAGCACAGCAGACACGGAGAAATCGGGAAATCGGAAAACCAGACAACAAACGCAGATACCGGAATTTTTTTGAATAAAAAATCGTTCTCTAAAAGTTGAATCGGAATGTTTTCTCTCTCTCTCTATCTCTAGAAAGCTGATGTATGTTGTTGAAGAGGACGAAGAAGGAGCTGGACTTGGCCTTGTTGCAGACGTCTATGGCTTTTTCTCTCTCTTCGAGCAATGTTTTTTTCTTTTGAGCTGTGTCATTTTCTCTCTCTAACACTTTTTTGTTTGTTTTTTCAAAAAATAAATTGTTTTTTTTGTTTGGTGCTTGAGAATTGAGATTGGTCAAGTGGGGTCCACTGAGGGACGGTGGTGAGAGAGGTGGATCGCGTTGGACATTCGTGGTCAGCCACCCACAGAAACACTCGACGAAGACGAATATATTTGTAAGAATTACATTTTTGTTTTTGTCTCTGCCCTTTCACTTGCTAGTTTTTACAGCTCTATGCCCATTTCTCCAAAAAGTCTTTTTTAATTTGAGTAAATTATGGCTAATTTGTCCCTAATTCATTACTCTACTGAATTTAATATCTTTCTCTTGAGGACGGGTTTGTTTAGACGTGGAAATATTTTGAATTTTAATGAGCTTCTCTGTTTTGAAATTCCCTCTGGGATAGAACGTCTAAATGCTTTGACTCTTATTTGTTATGATGATGTATGATTTATTTCTAGATAACTTATATTAGGCGGAACACAAATTGTTCCCGCTAGATGTTGATGTTAAGACTTTTAATTACAAGCTTATGTGATTTATATCTTTTATATTGCAAAAGGTATGTAACGTGCTGATATGTTACAATTTGATGTGTCACGAGCTTTTACTAGCTAAGATTTTTAAGTGACGTAATAGTCAGAGCAACTGAAGTTAACATCCATTCTTAAATTGATAGGAAATTAGCAACTAGAAGTCTATAATACGGGATGTCAAATTATATCCTCCCTTGGCAGTATCATCAATCCATAAAACCAAGTTACTTTGACCGTGGCGATAGCATAGATAGAGAAAGATATGGCTGAAAGAGAAATGCACATATGGCTATAACGACAGATTCTTAAAAATGATGTGTGCTTGCAACATATATTAGACTTCTTCTCCACTGACAATGGTGTTATGTTACGATGACCGAAGAACTTAGATCTGATTGAGATTAATTCGAGTCTTGCATCAGCCATTCTCATCCTATCCCTTGGGTAATCTGATTGTGGTCTCGTGGAATTTCCCTGTTGGGACAAATATTGACGTCTTTCTCACAAATATTGTCGTGGACTCGAGTCTCTAACTAGAGAATATATAAACCGTAAAATATTAGAAAATCCAAACATTTGAGCAGACCCCTCGAAAGTCCCTCCATAAACCTGAGAAGCGAAGAAGTGAGAACGGCGACTGAAGTTTTCGTCTATCGTCCCGAAATACAAAACCACCAAGTCACACACCAATCAGGTGATTTCAACATCTTCCCTCCTTTTTCAATTTTAGAAACCGCGACCTTATTTCTGGATTTTTTTGTGTTGATTTTTCGGTATTGGGTTGGTTAGGTTTGTGGGAAATCGAGTGGCACTAAATCGAGATTCCGACGATCTGTTTCTGAAAAATTCGTGGCTGCTGCGGCAGTATACATAGATTTCGAGGCTGTCTCTGTGAATTGTTTGTTTGGTAAAGACTCAATTGTGTGAGCAAATCAGATGGACGACAAAAGCGACGTGTGGGACGAATGGTATGAAATATACTCAAGAGCTCGACCTAGAGAGGAGGCTATGATAAGCAAATTACCCGACGCTTTGATATCTCAGATACTCTCGTATCTTCCGACAAAGGAAGCTGTTAGGACTAGTGTTCTGTCCAATCGGTGGAAAAGTCTCTGGCTTTTGATTCCCGCGTTGGATTTGGCCTCTTCTCGGTTCCCAGATTACAATGCCTTTGTGAGTTTTGTCGACAGGCTCCTAGGTTTCTGCAGGGAAGAGAAGTCATGCTTGCACAAGCTCAAGCTCAGTATTCAGAAAGATGTGAATGATCCGCCCTGTCTCACGCGGTGGATAGACTTTGTGGTTAGGCGTAAACTCGAGCATCTTGATGTTGAGTGTCTTGTGAATCGTAAGTTCTTAGAGGTGATGCCTCTAAGCCTCTATGTATGTGACACACTTGTATCTCTAAGACTCCATCGTGTATCGTTGAGCGAGTTCGAGTCTGTGTCTCTACCTCGCGTCAAGACTATGAGTTTAGAACACAATATATATGCCAACGATGCGAGTCTGGAGTCACTCATCTCTTCTTGCCCAGTTCTTGAAGACTTGAACCTTGTCAGAATGGTAACAGATAACGTCAAGGTTGTGCGAGTTCACTCTCAGACGTTGACCAGTCTCGATATAGACTATTCGGTTGGTGAAGGTGATGACTATGCTGATGGTTATGTAAGAGAAGGCTCAGCGGTTTTGGTTGATGCCCCAAGACTCAAGTGTTTGAAATGGCAAGATGATTTATCGGACAGTAAAGTCTTGACCAACACGGGTTCTTTAGTCAAGGTCGATTTTGATTTTGTCTTTAATCTCGAGAATGATTTTGCTGATGTAGCTGACTTGTGGAAGCGTAATATGGTTCGTAACTTTTTCACCAGTATCTCGAGAGTCAGGGATATGACCATCTCTGCCTTTACTGCCGAGGTATTATTATAAGCTTTGCGATTGATATATTATTATATCTTGTGTCATGAAGTTTTTGCTCACTCATACTTTCTTTTGGTGTGCAGTTTCTGTATTTTAACATGGAATACGACCCATTGCCCCAGTTTTGCAACCTTTCGCGTTTACAAGTGAATTTCTATTTGTATAATCTGGATATGTTGCCAACCCTTCTTGAGAGCTGTCCGAATCTGAAATCACTCGTCATGGTGACTTGCACAACCCTATAGAGCTTTTACTCAAATTACTTTTAAGGAATCTATTATATTGATTCATCTTGGTTTCTTTTGTTTGTTGTTGTTGTATGTTTGTGTTTTTTTTATAGGATTTTGATTTTGATTCTCCTTCGTCGAAGGAGAACGAGCTAATGAGACTGTCATCCGTACCTCGGTGTTTGCTGTCATCACTCGAGTTTGTTGAGATCAAACGTTTCAATGGAGGGGCTGCGAAAATGGAAGTAGCGAGGTACTTTGTTGAAAACTCAGTAGTCCTGAGGAAACTTGTTCTGCACTTACGATGTTCCATGCTGCAAGAAGGGTTTAACATGTTGAAGGATCTCATTGCATTGCCCAGACGATCTAGCACATGTCGAATCGAAGTTTGTTGATGGCTAGAAAAGGTTTTTAGGAAGGGTCTATGATCAGACTGAGAGTAGCAATTCCCTGTTGGTTTCTTTTTGATTTTGTTATATTATGTTATGACGCCTTTGTGAGCTTTTTGGTCATTAGTTCTGGATGATGTTTGAGAATTCTATAACTACTATAAGCCTTTTTTTTTTCTCTCTCTTAAGCCATTACTGCACAATCAGCAAGTTTCAGTGTTTACTTAAACAACATCCGATGATAAGTTTATAGTTAGTTAATCAATTCTCCATTTAATAGTTGAGAAATAGCACAAATTTATAGTTAGTTAATCAATTCTCCATGTAATACTGTAGTTGAGAAATAGCAGGAAAACAAATCATCGAACCAGGTGGAAACCGTCGGTTCTGACCTTGAACCAAAGCACAAAATTGAGTTGTCGTTTTCGGAATTCAAAAAAGCACGTGGCTAAGAGCATGTGTTCTAAGCTTCCAGTTGATGAAGAAGGTTCGTCGTCATCACTTTCCTCAGTCACACACTCACACAAAAGCTTGCTGCTTTCTTCTTCCTCCAAAATCCGTAGTCCGTAACTAAAGGAATCTCAAAGTACAAGTAAGAACTTCGGACAGCTGTCTTCAATATTCAAAATTTTGGGAATTTTGTTGACCAAGACCACAGAAAAGCAAAGCCTTTCTGTCGCTTTCTCAAAACTCTCTCAAAGGTGTGTGTAGAGCCGAGTGTTGGAAATGGCATAAACTCTCAAAGACTCTCTCATTGCTTATGACAAGTTCGATTTCATCTCCATCTCTAGCCATCGGATCTTCCATAGTACTGAACCCATCAGGTAATTTCAACTTCTTCTCTCCTTTTTTAGAAACATTAACACTCTTTCTGGTTCTGTAGTGTAGATTTTGATGTATTTTTCCTGATATCCATGCTAAATATGTGCTTCAGATTAGATCTAGAGATTGTCTCTTCTGCGGATTTTTCGGTTCAATCTTGCGAGCGGGTTTGATGGAAGAAAGGAAAGCGAAAGGAGAAACCGTCAAAGGGTCTGCAGGAAAGGATCTTATAAGCAACTTACCAGACGCTTTGATATCTCAGATGCTCTTGTATCTTCCGACAAAGGAAGCTGTTAGGACTAGTGTTCTGTCCAATAGGTGGAAAAGTCTCTGGCTTTTGATTCCTGAGTTTGATTTGGCCTCTACTGAGTTCTCAGATTACACTGCCTCCTTTGTGTGCTTTATGGACAGGCTCCTAGGTTTCTGTAGGTTAGAGAAGTCATGCTTGCACAAGCTCAAACTAAGTGTAAGGAAGGATGGGAATGATCAGGTTTGTGTCACTCGGTGGATAGACTTTGTGGCTACTCCTAACCTTAAACATCTTGATGTTGAGTTTGTTGGTCCTGTGAAGCGTGAGTGTTTGGAAGTGATGCCATTAAGCCTGTATGTCTGTGAGACACTCCTTTACTTAAGACTCCACAGGGTATTGTTGGATAATTTTAAGTCTGTTTCGTTAACTCGTCTCAAGACTTTGCATTTAGAAGAAAACGAATATGCCAATGAGGCAGGTCCAGAGTTGCTTATCTCGTCTTGTCCTGTTCTTGAAGATTTGAGCATTGTTAGAAGGCCAGATGATAATGCAAAGGTTTTACGAGTGAACTCTCAGACATTAACCAGTCTCAGTATAGAAGTTGGTGGTAGGGATGATGAAGATGATGAAGGTTTTGATGAGGATAACTCGGTGGTTTTGATCGATGCCCCTAGACTCAAGTATCTGAATTTCGAAGATGAAGTATCGCATAGTAAAATCATAAGCAATTCGGGTTCCTTAACAAAAGTCAATATTGTTGGGGATTTCTCTCTGTGGGAAGATAAGTTACAAATGCGAAAGTTTTTCACCAGTATCTCGGGAGTTAAGGATATGAAGCTCTCTTGGCGGGCTTTTGAGGTAATATGTTATGCAATTCATGTACATATATATATTCGCATCCCTTTGCTAACCAATTTCGCATCTCCTTTTGTTTTATGTGAGTAGGTCATTGACACTATCATGCCATTACCCCAATTTTGCAACCTGTCCTGTCTGGAAGCAGAGTTATATTCAGCCTCCATGGAGGATCTGCCAACGTATCTTGAAAGCTTTCCAAATCTAAAATCCCTAACCTTGGTAATGATTTGCACAAAATCCTAAAGTTTAACTCATACGCTTGAGAAATGTGATCAAGTCATCCATCGTGCGTATGTTGTTGTTTTTTCTACAGGATGTGCTGTATTGCACTATGAGGGAAGAAGTAAGGCTCTCGTTGGTGCCTCAGTGTTTGCTGTCTTCGCTCGAGTTTGTAGAGATAAAAGGCATATTCTGGGGAGCGCCTACTAAAATGGAGGTGGTAGCAAGGTACTTTGCAGAAAACGCAGTAGTCCTCAAGAAACTTGTTCTGCGTTGCGGTGGTTCTGTGCTAGTACAAGATTCCATCTCAAGGGATCTCTTTGCATTGCTGAAGCGATCAACTACGTGTCAAATCATACTTTGTTGACTGTTAAAAATGAATTTTAGGTTTGTCTATGATGATCAGACATTAGGTTGTGGGGCTGGGATTTTATCTTTGCCAAACTCTGTTATCATGTCTTTTGTAGGCTTTGGCCACACAACTCTTGTATCATGTTTGAGTATTCTTCCAAAACTCTTTTTTAGTTTATTTCATAAATGTATCAGACTGAAACCAGAGAGAGAGAGAGAGCAGAAATTTTATGCTATAACGACAATTTGTTTTAAAAATGATGTATTTTGCAACATAAGAAGCTTCTTCTCCACTCACAATGGTGTTCTGTTTCGATGGCCGAAGAACTTAGATCTGATTGAGATTAGTTCGAGTCTTGCATCAGCTATTCTCATCCGATCCCTTGGATCATCTTCAGAACATCTTATTCCCACCTGCAAAACCAGTCTCAACCACTTATCAATGGCGCTCCTACCTCCACCCTCCTCCTCCTCATCTCTCGACAATAGCAACTTTGTGTTGCTGTGGAGGTTATCATCGCCTCCGAATGATTCGTCTGTAGGTTTTTTTCCAGTGAACATCTCCAAAAGTAGAACTCCAAAGCTGTACGCATCTCCTTGTATTGATGGTTGGCCTCCCATTCCATATTCTGTACATATTTTCCAAGCAGCAACATACAATGAGTGAGACTGGATAATCCACAGTTAAACAATACTTTTAGCGTGAAGATGCTTTATTTACCTGGTGCGGCAAAGCCAATGGTGCCTCTAACACCAGCAGAGCTAAACTGGTTTAGGAAGGACTCTGGATCGAATTTATAGAGGAGCCGAGCCAAACCAAAGTCACTAACATTAGCAGTCAGATCATCGTCCAGAAGAACGTTGCTTGGCTTAACATCACAGTGAGCTACAGGTTCGTGACAATGAACATGCAGATACTCCAGAGCGGACGCCACATCTATTGCTATGTTGAGTTTCTCTGGAACTGTTAAACTTCTCGACTCCTCGTTTGTCCTTTCCAGATCTTCTGGATGCAGCCACATATCCAGACTTCCTTTTGGCATGAACTCATAGACCAGAGCTCTGAATTCGGTTCCTAGAGAATCGAGGCTTGAACAAACCGTTAGCAGTTTCACAAGGTTACGATGCCTCATACTCTTGAAAGTTTCGCATTCGGCCATAAAGCTTTTCGTTGCTCCATGCTTCAGCAGGTTCAGAACTTTAACAGCGACGAGTTTATCATCAGAGACAATCAGTCCTTTAAACACATCACCAAAGTTGCCTGAACCAATCAGATTGCTTGATGAGAAGCCATTTGTTGCATTGTAAAGCTCTTCATAACTTATCTTCTCAAAGAAGATCCCCAAAGTAGAAGAATCAGATGGGTTACTACCATTGGCACTGTTCTTCTTCTTATTCCTCCTCTTCTTGAACCAACACAGAGAAGCCACAATTATAAACAGAAAAAGTGAGGCCATACCTGTACCAATACCAATGGCAACCTTCTTTTCAAGTGAGAGATGTTTCCTCGGCCTTGGTGATGCGTGCACAACGCATGGCTTTAGTTGCATTTCTCTGATGCCTCCGCATAAATTTTTGTTTCCAAAGACAGAAACTGATGTAGCATTTCGAAACAATCCTTTTGTTCGCACACTTCCCTCGAAGTTATTCATAGAGAGATTCAGTTTTTGCAGCAAAGGAAAATTGGCCAGATATTGGGGTATGCGGCCAGAGAGACTGTTGTTGGAGAAGTCAACATTTCTTATGCTTACCAACCGACTTATATCTGGAATGGCTCCGTCAAACGAATTTCCTTGGAGATAGAGGAACTCCACTGCGAGACAATCCCCTAGAGTTTGTGGGATGTTCCCTGATAATTTGTTGTTGGAAGCACCTAGTCCAACAAGAAGCTCCAACTTTCCAACTTCTTCAGGAAAAGGGCCAGTCAAGAGATTGTTTGACAAATCTAAGTAAGCAAGGGTTGGAATTTCCACTATTTCCTGTGATATAGTCCCATTCAACTGATTTGTATCAATCCATAGGTCAAGCAAGTTTCGACAACGTCCAAGACTCTGAGGTATTCTTCCGTGGAAACTATTGCTGTTCAAATGGATCTCTTGCAACCGAGTCATGTTGTCAAAATAAGAAGGTAACTCCCCCGATAATGCATTTGAATACAGATCAATCACCTGCAATTCCAAAAGCTTCCCGAAAGAGACTGGGAGTTCTCCTGTCAACATATTTGTCTCTAAACTAAGAGCTTGCAGGCTTATGAGATTCCCGATGTTACGAGGAATGGCTCCAGAGATGAGGTTTCCTCCAAGATAGAGACCAGTTAGTTTGGTGGATAGATTGGCTGTGGAGGCAGGAAGCTCACCTCCAAACCTATTGTAACCAGCATCTATTTTCTCTAACTGAGTGCAGTTAGCCAAAGCACTAATAAATTCAAGATCACTGGACGAGTTATTTCCCAGGGAGTTGTTACGAATCACAAACCACCACAGATTAGGTAATTTCCCAAGACTCAAAGGGATACTTCCTGTCAGGGAATTCTCTGCAATATCAAACCTTCCAAGGCTAGACATATTGGCTAGTGTTATTGGAATAGCTCCGGTGAAATTATTTGATCCCAAAAGAAGCCTTCTTAAGTTTGGTAGTTGATCACCAAAATCAGCTCTAAGCTCACCCGAAAATCTATTGTCAGCTAGGGATAAAGACTCCAGTAAGGACATGTTGTATAACGCAGGAGGAAAAACACCTGAAAAACTATTCAGTGATATTTGGAAATACACCATTTGAGTCAATCTAGCTACATCCTCTGGAATCTCTCCTTCCATATGGTTATATGCAAAGTCAAGCTTCTGCAGTGACGTCAAGTTTCCTAAAGATGCAGGAAACTTTCCGGTAAGGTTGTTTCTATCAAGACACAGAATGGCTAGCTTAGAAAGCGAACCTAGTTCTGAAGGGACGCTATGTTCAAGACCGTTTGAGGATAAATCGAGGGTCGAAAGTCTAGAGCAGTAAGAAAGACTGAGCGGAATCCTTCCTTGGAGAAGGTTAAAGCTCATGTTCAAGAACTGCAGCCTAAATAGCATTCCCACCTCTTGAGGAATGTTACTTCCAAAAGAGTTGTCTGCAAGATTAAGTGATCTGAGAAACGAGAGATTACCAATGGAGGGAGAGATCGCACCGGCGAGTTTAAACCCTCCAAGGTCCAGACTGATAACTCTTTCTTGCTTGCGGCCACATGTAACCCCAATCCAAATGCAGAGTGGAGAGGAGTTATTCCATGAGGCCAGGACCTCTCTCTTGTTTTCAGCAACTTGAGACTTGAACTCAAGAAGAGCTTTCATGTCAGTCTCATTTGAAAACCTGCCTTGAGCAAAGAACAAGCACGAAACTTCAAGTAGCATGAGAGCACTGAAGGCAAGTAAAAGAGACAGATTCATGTTGCTGATAGAAAGCGAAAGAAGGATCTTTCTTCAACTCAAAACCAAAAATGAAAGCAAGTTTAAGGTAAGAAGAAGCAAATTACGGTCCTAGTGCAGCTAAGAAGAAAACAATGGGCAATCAAATCGGGACCAACACTCCCACGAAATGGCCACAAAGTCCCAAAGAGCGTGGAAACGTTAGCCAATTATAAAAGAGTCTTGTATAAGAAGAAAAATAAGTAAAATGCAAAATATTTCCAAAAGATGATAGTGACCTCTCTTGTCCTGTAAACTTTTCTTGACAAAGTTTGAGTAGCATGTTTTCAGTTCACACTTCTGAAACAGTTAAACCTCCTAGCATATGATCCCTCCCTGCATTCTCCTTCAAACCACTCAAAATTAGATTTTTTTTATAAACAAACTGAATCACAAATCTCAAAATTTGATTAATGACTGACAACATACCATAAGACATAGTCACATAGATGCAGAGGGCCAAAAGTCTAAAACTTTTCATAAAGAATAACGAAATTTTCAATCTTCAGATATATGCAGAGGGCTAAAGTTGAAAGAGACTTCAAGAGAAATAGTCTAGTGATGGATTGGTGATGGTGATGGTTAGGTGATAGAGTATGCAAAGAGCAAAAGCATCAATGAAGAACTTTTCTGATCAGCGAGGTAACAAACAAGATTGGGAAAATAATCCGGAGCCAATCGAAACTGACTATGAAAAATCATCTGCAAAACGGAGAGAGAGATTACTAGAGTCAAGATCTTTGCTTGTGCTTCAGATTTTTAGATTGAAGCTTGATGATAAATGAGTTTTTTTTATTAGGAAAAAAATAGCAATTAAAATTACGACCCGGATTAGGACGGGTCGGGGCAGATTAGGTTCGACCCGGGTTAATCACCCCTACACACCTGCACCTTACAGTTTCAATCCTGCGATTCGCATCTGAGTGAGAAGAAGAAGAAGAAGAAGAAGAACCAGAGGAAGAAGGGAGCTATGACAATGTTTAGATCTATCTCCATGGCAATGTTGCTCATCGCGCTAGTTTCATCCATTTCTATCGTTGCTTCCGCTTCATCCCCAGAAGCCGACTTTGTTAAGAAGACCATCGCTTCCCACAAGATCGTCATCTTCTCCAAATCCTACTGCCCGTACAATTACTCTCTCTCGCTCTTTATTTTGCCATTTCCAATCACTGATCGTCCGGTTTGCAGAAAAATTGCAACTTTGGCGCCTTCAATTAGCGTTTTTGTATTTAGATCTTATCAATTGAATCTGTGTCTAACTTGAATCCAATGAAATATGTTTTCACAGCTGTGCTTTTTTGTATTGTGTGCGGTGGAATGTGATTTATGCAGGAGAACTTTGTTTACAAATGGTTTTGACTTGTTGTTGAGCTCAGATACAGTATGTTGAAATCAAGTTGGATTTTGTTCGAGCTCAGTAATGTGCTGTGTATTTGTTCTCTTGTTTTGAGTTTATGCAGTGAGATCACGCACCTATTTGACTATGAATTCTTGGTTGGTCCACAGGTACTGCAAGAGAGCAAAATCAGTGTTCAGAGAGCTGGATCAGGTTCCTTATGTTGTGGAGCTTGACGAAAGAGGTGATTTTTTTTGCTCATTCTCAGACTTTATACGGATCAATATATAGAAGATTCATGAGACAATTGAGAACTAAATAGATGTTTTGTGTAAAAAATTGGTTCTTGCAGAAGATGGATATAGCATCCAGAGTGCAGTTGGAGAGATTGTTGGAAGGCGAACAGTACCTCAAGTTTTCATCAACGGAAAACACATCGGAGGATCAGACGGTAAAACTTACCTTCTCCTTCAAGAAAGTGTGTTTGCTTATGACAACATTTTGCTGATTGTTTACATTTGTTCACTGTTTCTGGTTTTCAGATACTGTAGACGCGCATGAGAGTGGGGAATTGGCCAAGCTTCTTGGTGTTTCCGAAAACACAAAAGCTGAGCTCTAGGCTTTGAATATAGTTGGAAGGATTGATGATAACACTCTCTGTGATGTTCAGGTGTAAGCAATTTCAGTTTCAAGTTCCAGTTCTATGAAGTTTGTAATGGGTTCTGCAGATTATAAAACAGCTTGATCATGCATGACCTTGTGATTTGTGAAACATATCTTATCAAAGACTACAAGTTGAGTTATACAAAGTAGGATTGAGTAAATCAAATCTGGACATGCTTCAGACTCTGAACAACAAACAGGCTTAAAGTGCATTGTACAATTTGAGGGGATACATTGATAGATAGCTAAGACTAGTGGAATAAAACATTCAGGTTCGTGCTCTTTTGTTGCTGCAAGAAGGGCACTTGTAATGCTTGATGTGCTCAGCTCTAGCTGGAGTGATCTTCACACACTTCCCGTGGAACCATTTCTCGCACATGTCACAGCAAATCCAGAATTCATCAGAAGCATAGTTATCTCCACAAGCTCCACACAGGGTTTCACCGTGTTCGTCTTCGTCCTCCTCGTCCTCTTCCTCTTCCTCTACTCCTTCTTCCTCGTCGTCCTTGGCCTGTATCGGCTTTGAGCTCTTGCCATCTAAGCCTCTCTGCATTCCAGATCAAGATTAAATATTAACTACACAAACATATCTGTGTAAACTTCAGTAAACTAATCAACAAGTGTCATTGGATTGGTAAACTCAAAGATAACTCGACCATTTCATTACATACTAGTATTCTTAGTAATTCCAGAACTGCCACTTAGAATTCATGCAAATCACAGAACCAGTGGTAAAAGTTGGAGACATTGCCCGTCTTTGTTCTACCTCAAACCCAGATATTTTCTTATGCCACAAGATCCACAAACTACGATTAGGGAAGTAAGAACATTGTGTTCAGTCTATGTTTTAGAAGCTTAATAGCAGGACTATGGAAGATCTTACTATCTATGATGAAAAAGATGTTTGAGGAACAAAAATGTGCATCATAGTTCATTCATGTGTTTGACAATGCTTAAGATTACCAGAAAAAGAAAGCTAGACAGAAAAACTTTCAAGAGCTCAAGAGAAGTTTCTGGTAAGAGAGGGGAAAAAACTTTCATAGAACTATTAGAGTTTAACCATTTGTATCAAATACTTCCAAACACTGAATTGGTGACATTTATAGTGTTCTGTTAGATTTTAACTGAACTGTGTAGCACCTATTCTCTAAAGACTAAAGAGACTTCCAAGATTATGTAATGACTTGATATGATATTAGTTGAGCCCTTTACGATGTGAGAAAAACAAATGCCAATGCTCTGCTTTTTCGGATATCCATTTAACCATTCTTAATTTCTGAAAAACTGCAAAACAAGAAAAATAGAAGATAAAGAGTAGACGAAAGGAGAAGCTCGAGTGTTGGAAAGAAGCTATTTAGAAAGTCTAAGAGAAATAGCTATTTCTGCAAGATTCTTAGGACTTATTACTGCCGTATACCTTTTAAAATAGGGTTTATAGTTTAGTTGCTAGCTTAGCTAACTAACAACTTAGGTCGGTTAGTGTAGTGTGGGAGAAGTTATATAGAGAAGCAAAGGTGATAACAGAAAAATGAGTACAGAATGCTCTACAATGCAAATTAGTGAAGAAGAGATCTTAACAGGTTAGAAGAGAAAACACAAAAATCAAGAGTAAAAAAATGATTGATACCTGTCAGCTTTATCAAGACCAAATCTTGAACCGAAGTAAAAGGATACAGAAAGCAACCAGGCATCACTGTGGACAGCAACAAGAGAAAGCCAGTCTTTCTCCTGCATTCCATCTCTGGCAAAGTTAATGCCGAGTGCAGGTTCAGGGAGCTCTGGAGGCACTTCTTCAGCTGGTAAGTTCACTTCCCACACTTCATTCGGGAATCCATACAAGCAAAGATTCTCCTTCTCTGAAAATGTCATTCAATAGCCATACAATACAAACTTCAGTTTATCAACTTAACTCAATTAGCCCAGAAAGTTACCAAACAAAAAAACAATGTTAACAGCACCAAAGGTGAAAACTTTATAGTTCATCGGAAATTACGAAACATTGATCCAATGTTCAATATTCACCAGTAGTACCAAAAGAAAAAGAAAAAAAAAAAGGTAAGGTAAAGAGCAAGATAATGTAATTTTCAGAGTCACTATTGATTTGGCTAAGCCTCTGTTTACATCTCAGCTTTACATTGTCAGTTCCACAGTAAAAAAAAAAAAAAAAATACAGAAAACTGTACATTAACCACATCTGCATAAGGAAACACATGTAATCGAGAGACCATTCCATAAGGATTAAAGAGTGAACATCAGAATTCAGAAGACAAAATAGGGAATAAATGAAACAGCTTGAGAAATTCACGGAGTCTATTAAAGGCTAAAGAGGGAGAAAAGCCCTAACCAGGGTCACATTGCTGGAAAAACTCTTCCACATCTGCAAAAAAAAAAAAAAAAAAAAAAATTAAATAAAACATCAGAATATTATTCTTAGATCGGAGAAGTAAGTAGCATCATCAACACAATTTATAGCACAATTTCTCAATAAATAAAAAAATCAGAATAAGGCAAAATTCAAGAATATTTCAAAACCCATAGACAAAATTCAATCTAAAAGAAAAATCGAAGATAAGGAGGAGGAGAAGAAGAAGAAGAAAGACCGGTGGTGAGAGCTCGGACGATGCCAGCACGACGGCCCTTGAAATCACGGAAGACTTCTTCCACGGTTCGAGGGTTGTATTGCGCAGCTCCTCCTCCTTCCATGTCTCTCAGAAACGGTGAAAGAGCGGCAGTGAGAGAGGTTTGTGGTCTTTTTGAAAAAGCAGAATTTTTGTTTGAAGTGATAAAGCAGCAAACTTTTTCTTTAGATAAACAAATATTGAATGAAGAAGACACAACAAAAGTGCTCCGTGGACTGTGACAGAAATATCCAAAAACAAAAAGAAAAATGATAATTCAAACTTTAGTGATTTGATAATTGATACCAATATACCATCACTTCACTTGGTAAAGAAAAATAAATGCCACTAAGACTATTTACCAACCATGATAATGACATCAAGTCATCAACTCCAATACCAAGACACGACGAACTTTAAGTGTTTCTTCTCTTTGAGATTTATTTCCATATCTGTTGGTCTTCTTTTGAAATCCAGCTTGCCAACTATCTTTTGAGTTTTGATGACGGTGATATTTTCAAATCATGATCTAGACTTCTAAATCCTTATAGCAGTTGTAACATTTTGGAACTTTTTCTTCGACGAATTTGTTCATAAACCTAACGTAATTAACAAATTCGAGATTTAATCATATAACCATGTATTCGCACTTTCTCAAGCATCTACAAAACCAATTGATCATTTTGGGAAATGGTTGGAAAAATAACCAAAAAAAGAAAAGGAAAACTGAGACAATGCAAATGTATCTGATTAACGTACACTTGCCATCTTCACAGGCTTGTTCTGCTTACAAAGTCTCTCTCCAGCATCTCACTCTCAGAACAAGTGGTATCTGTCACTCCCAAATGCAACATACGCACACATATGCTTATAAAGATACTAACGGTTTCAGGTTGCAGTAGGAGCCAAGTGAGTCCAAACTTCCTCTACGCACAGCATCATTAACTAGTTACATTCCTGTCAGATTATAAACCAACGTCAAGCCTAGAGTTCTACTTTGGTAACAAAACATCAAAGGAAGCATCTACATAACAAACATCATAATTTGAAAATCAGGAGAGAAAATTTATACCTGAATTGTGTTTCCTTTCCTCAGGCGCATGCTTTACAAGGAACTCCATGACTGTTTTCCAGTACACGTCACCACCAGAGAGCCATGTGTCCATATGCATCCCACTTGGAAATTCCACAAAGGTGCACTGAGAGTTACGGGCAGCCGCTTTCGCATACAGCATTTTCATGTGAAACGGAGGGACCATCTCATCTTGCAGTCCAGAGAGGAAAAGTACTGGTTGTTTGACCTGTCATTGTTTCAAAGATCAGCTTATCACTGGAATGCTACAGAACCAAATGATGATCAATTTTTCTAATAAATCTACCAGAGTCTACATTGCTTCTTACCTCACCAATAGCATCAATTGTTTTCCAGGGGGAGCGTACAACAAAATTGAGAAGTTTCAGGCTTTTCGTACCACTTCCTCCAATAAACCACTTCAAGAAGGGTAGCAATACACCAGCCATATCAAGAATGGATGTGAAAGTGTTCTCTAGAATCAATCCAGATACCTATATGAGGACAGTGTAGAGAAGGTAAAGATACAGCTATATAACGCGTGTAGATATCAAATGTAAAACTGAAAGCAGAAATAACAAGGAACAAAGATTCTCAGTAAGGGATAAGGTTCATGTGCTAATAACAGTAACTGTCAGTAGGGAGATATAAAGGGAAGCCCATAACAAAGCTCCATAGAATCCCCATATAGCCAGATTATTTTCATTGCCATGTGACTAGAACTTTAAAGCAGACTGGCCGAATAGATTATTACTGATGAAAAGTGACTAGAATCTAAATGAAGAATAACACTAGAAAGGACTCTACAATCAGGCTTCGGGTCATCTGCCAACGACCATGAGTAATATTTTGCATCACTAACCAGAATCTCATTCAGAAACTGATAAGAATCCAAACTAAATCCCTCGAGGAGCGTAGAGAGTGCCCTTAGACATTGGTTATTTCTATTCCTAAATCACGCAGGACTCTCAACTTGGACCTCTCTCTTCTTCTAAAATGTGCATTCTCTCTACTCAGGAAATGCTGCCAATACGAATATTTAGTAATATTACCTTGTCTGGATTGTTTTTGGTAAGCACAGCACCAACAGCTCCACCAAGGGACCTTCCAAATACGACTATCCTAGATGTATCAATGTCAGTCCTTTGAGAAAGGTGATAAGGACATGCGGATAGATATAAAGAGACAAGCAAACCTGGGCATCTTTTGTGATTCCATGCTGTGACGGAGAACCATCACTTTCCCCATAGCTGGTTGCACAGGAAAAAATCAAACAGTCATAAAACAAGAGGTTAAGCAAGCAGCATCGAATAAACAGATCCAAAAACGATTGAGAAAAGGGATAAACAAGCAATCAGCTAACTGAGACTGACCCGCGATATGAAAGCATGAATACATTGCACTTCAAGCGCTGTATCATGATGCGAACCATCTCCAGACGATGAGCAATATCTAGGGTTCTAAGGTCAAGGCCGTTACAAGGCAAAGAAACTCAGCCAAAAGACATGGAACCTAAAATAGATAGACCAGGCACAGAAACTCCTTAGAACATACATATATGAACAAACAAAAACCCAGGACTTTATATCTACCAATCACCAAGAAATGGCTCTGCAAAGGATACTTCCGGCATTCTCCTGGAAAAATAGAATCGTTGGCCCTGCAACGGAAACACAAAACTATAAGAACTCGGATCCTCAAACTCGGTCGAATTCAGCTCAACTTTGAGCTACAGTTTTCAACTAGAATTTGATTGATTGATGAGTTCAAGAGTACTGTAAAAGCAGTAATAGCTCACGAATCACAAATCTGACAAAAGGAGACTAAAACTCTGAAGAAAGAGACATCAAAACCTCAAAATCCCCAAAATTCAGAAGATTTAGAAGCTAGCCGAAATGCAAAAAAAATCAAATCTACCAAAAAATTACTGAATCGATTAGTATCGATGCCAAACTCAATTGACAAAAGAGGAGGAGGAAAGAGAGAAACCTCGGCATTCGGGGAACATCTTGATAAACCAAGCATGGAGGCGTACGCCATCGGAGGATCGGAGCCAAACGTCCTCGTAATTGAGATTGAGCCTTTCGGGAGTGATCGGATAGGCCTTGCTTAAGCCGGGAAGCACAGGCACGTAGACGAGCTTCTCCTGGAAGGCCACGAGCAGCGCCACTCCCGCGACGACTATCCCTCCTACTCCGTAGAACATCGCGCCTATGTACGTCACCATTCCCGCTCTATCTCTCTCTCTGGTCAAAGAAGAATCCGATTCCGAATCCGAAACAGACACAGAAGTAGAAATGGAACGCAATTTGCCACTTTTCAATCTGTGTTCTCTCGTGCTATTTTGCTTTTCTTCTTCGACAGGGGAGAAAGAGCTTTTTAGTTTACAGTGCAAATCCAGATGAGAAAGAGAATGAGAGAGAGACTGCGACTGCAAGCGTTGTAATGGGCCGAAAAAAAGCCCACTGTATTTTATATATGCGCGCTAAACCCAGGTGGTTTTTTTCTCTAGAATATAAACACCAAGTAAACTCAGTCAAATGATAGTTGGATTCTTGAATTAATTTTCAATCAATGGAGAATAAGTGCAAAAGATTCCATGTACTTGGATAGGAACATATTGTTTTTTCTTTAATGGAAATTGCGACTATGTCTATATGCATAGACTATTGAAAGTTTCAATTGAAACAAAAAAAGAGTTCCAAACAAGAAAATGGTAATGTGAATTCTCCTAACATCGAGACAAAATATAAACACCAAGTAAACTCAGTCAAATGATAGTTGGATTCTTGAATTAATTTTCAATCAATGGAGAATAAGTGCAAAAGATTCCATGTACTTGGATAGGAACATATTGTTTTTTCTTTAATGGAAATTGCGACTATGTCTATATGCATAGACTATTGAAAGTTTCAATTGAAACAAAAAAAGAGTTCCAAACAAGAAAATGGTAATGTGAATTCTCCTAACATCGAGACAAGCGATTAAGTAAGTTTCTCGCCTTGCTTTTTTGGCATAGCGAATAAACTATGGCCATTGATCCGTTTTTCTCAAAGTTATTCTAACATCCGAAACATTATTTTCCGGCTGTCGATTAATATCAAGAAACTTTTTGACATTCAATCGAGTAACAAGACCATAGTGGCTGGCTGGTCGGAAAAAAATATCGTTTTAGCAAATATAATACCACATTTCAAATGAAAACAAAAACTAATTTAAGAACGACTGTTCTGACTTCTAAATACCAGTAGTATGTAGGCTAAAAATAAGGCGTAACCAACATCCCTTTGAAAGAAAGAAAGACAAAGTTTGTCAAATGATTTTTTATACGTAAAAATAGCATATACTTGCAGTAAACATATCATTTATATACAAAACACTAATTTCGAGTGGCAGGACCATCTTATCTCTTCAAATATATAGTAGAAAAAAGACATATATATCTTGTCGGATAAAATAAAACACATTACTGTCTTATATCAGAAGCGTTATTGATACGCTATATCACAGATCTAATGGATGCTTGGATAGGTTAAGAACAACTGTGATTATTGTATAGCTTAGAGTCGCAAGTAAATTCTTTCGTTTTAGGTTTCTCAAAAGTCAGAGTTGAATTTGCATATTATCGATAACTGAATCTTGCAATACACTTGACACACTTGTTGACTGATGAACGACCTTTGATAACTATGAAAGTGTGAATCTACATACTACAAATAGAATCATGTATAGTCCTCTCGATTTAAGAAGCTACGAGCAAGTTGTTTTTCTAGCTAACCAGTACATCAAAAATCTGTTTTCACTTTCCCTTTTAGCGTTTTACCTTTTTTCTTACTTTCAAATTTTACCACCGAGTTGCGGAATTACCGTAGTAGAGAGACGCGGGACCGTTTTTAATAAAATGGAACCGGTAATCCCGGTTAAAGTTTAAATTGGGAAAAAAATAAATAAAAGAGAGAGAGAGAACATAAAAAGAGCACCAAACCCAAACCAAAGTAGAAACTGACAGCATCTCTCCGTATCCAAAAAGAGACAGAGAAAAGAAGAGAAACGAATCACAGACCAAGAAGCAGCCACCGGAAAATGCTGACGTGTATAGCTCGTTCGAAGCGAGCCGGCGATGAATCTTCCGGTCAACCCGACGATCCGGATTCAAAGCACGCCAAATCTCTAACATCTCAGGTAAAAATAAAATTAACTCACTCTCCTCCTCCTCCACCTTTTTTTTCCGTGATTCTCTCTTCTGATCGAGGGTATTTTCGTCAATTTATCCGCAGCTCAAGGATATGGCTCTGAAAGCTTCAGGGGCTTACCGGCATTGTACGCCGTGTACGGCGGCGCAGGCTCAGGGGCAAGGGACCGGGCCGATCAGGAGCAATCCGGTGTCGGCAAAGTCGGATTCAGAGTCGGATCAACGGTTTAAAATGCTGTACGGAAGATCAAACAGCTCGATTACAGCGACTGCGGCGGCGGCGGCGACGCAGCAGCAACAGCCCAGGGTATGGGGGAAAGAGATGGAGGCGAGGCTTAAAGGGATATCGAGCGGCGAGGCGACTCCGAAATCGGCGAGCGGGAGGAACCGGGTCGACCCGATAGTGTTCGTGGAGGAGAAAGAGCCGAAAGAATGGGTGGCTCAGGTGGAGCCAGGGGTTCTCATTACCTTCGTATCTCTTCCCGGCGGTGGCAATGATCTCAAGCGGATACGTTTCAGGTACGCAAACTCTGCAAACCCACTTCAATCTACGGTCGTGATTTTTTTGTTGACTCTGTTATTCTGATCGTACGGTGGGTTTTAGTTTGGCTTCGTCGTCGGCTCGTTTAGAATTTTTCCCACGTTTGTTTGTTTTGGTCGTGATCTGTGAGGAATGTTCGGAAGATTCTCATTCATTTCTTAGGAACACACGGAACTGAGTCTGATTTTCTTTTTTTTTAACTATAAAATTAGTGCAAGAATATAATCTAAATTTGGAATTTTTGTGTAAATAGAGTATGATTTTGTGGATTTCCATGTCTAGGCAAAACATGTCGATAATAACCAAAATACCACAGCATACGAATCTAACAATCATGCCATGTCTTCTGTAGAAATCTACCACACTTATTTCTTTTTTTATACTATAAAGTAATTTAGTATCTCGAGTATGCAGATAGAATATTACAAATTCTTATATAGGAGAGAAAATATCAGAACCCCATTAGATTTTTCGTGTTTTTTGTTGTTGTTGTTTGATGTTTAACTAGTTAAGTAGAAACCAAGCCAAAACTTGATCTGCTTCAAATAAAACCTAAATAGTTAGAACTAAAATTTAATAAAATGTACATATACAGCATAATGTAAACGACAGTAGGTAAAGTGTATTATCTGAGGTAAAATTAAACTATTCATCCAATATTAAACTGTTACTCTGATTAAAGTCGAAGGGGTAATTTAAAATTTGTGGGTGTGAATAGAGGAGGGAAAATGTGAGTAGTAGTAAAAAAAAAAGAGAGGGATGGGACCCACAGTTGTCGACTGTAACGCTTCACGCCTAATGAGAAGCAAAGGCCGTAAAGGTCCAAAAAGCAAAACTTGGTGTTCCCTTTTTAAAGTGCTTCTTGGGGTCATCTCTTCTCATTCTGTCTTCTTTTTTTCTTGCTTTTCTTGTTTTCTTTGCAAAATGCTATTTTGATTGACCATTACTTTATCTCTCCTTTTGTTTTCCGTTTAACATTACAATTTCCAGTCCGCATGAAAACTTCAAAAAGTTTGTTTTTAATTTGACTAAACATATGAATTATCAGTCATATTTGGTATATGAAGTCACTCTAGAATGTGTCAGTAAATTTACTAAAATTTAATTTCATACGTTACAAAATGTTTATTTATTAATTTTGTTCAGGTTAAAGGTTTTGAATAGAGACGGGACATAGTTAGAAACGGTCCAAATAGTATATAAAATCTTATTGCTGTTTGGACCATCCCACCACACTCTATTTCTGCTTCGTCTCAGTTCGGAGTTTTTCAGAATCATTGGTTGGTAGATTGATATCTTATAGTAATAATTTTTCACCAATATTTTGGTTTTGTTTTTCTCTTTCGAAATAGGAGTTTTGTTTTATTTAATTCCATGAGTGCCTTACTATCCGCGTCTCTGTCCTGCAGTCACATTATTGCTGTTGTTGGTCATAGGAAAAAAATGGTTGTTCCAAAAGACAAAAACAAAAGAATTAACAATAATATAAAGCAAATAGCTTTTTAGCCTTTAGCACAGTTTCGTTCACTCCTATGTCGCCTATTGAAAACGACAACTACAATTATATTTTGTCTCTTCCTTCCTTCCATTCCTTGTCTTCTTCCCGTATTAATCACAGTTCCAGTTCTATCACTTACTGTCTTTTTTGTCAAAATCCTTGTCCTTCCTTTTACTTTTAGTCTACAAACATCGTTTTCTTCTTGGTCAGGTTAATCCCTGGGGACATAATCTGATTAGGCTGAGTCCAAACTGTCCTCTGTTACATAATACGTACTATACTTATCTGTTTGGTTTCGGTTTTGGTACACAAATATAAATTAATGACTTTGAGAATAATAAAAAAAAATGAGTTTGCTTTGAGAGAAGTTCTCTCCTACCCACCTCCCCCATTATCTTTCTTTTACTGTTAGGCATAATCATCTTTTTTTCCTAATTATTAGCTTTGACCATTCTTGTCTCTGTTTCTTCATCCATATATTTTTTTCCTTATTTTCTACGAAATTTTGATTGATTATTTACTTTTAGTCGATCATTAAACTAACAATATCTTTCAAAAAATTCAGTATTCAAAATCAAAAGGTTGCATATGTCTCTTTTTGTTTTCAACTCTCTTTCTAGCCCTAGCCTATGTGTTCAGTTTGTCAAAAGGTTTAATTGAATCAGCTGTTGCAATTTTGTCAAATCTCCCCTTAATCCGCTTTCTTGAGTTCACACTTTTGTCTCCTGGTTGGTTCTGATTGCAGTTACTTTTCTTACTAATGAGTATCTCCCCCATTAAAATAAAACTTTAAATCTCATTAATGTCATGTGTCACAAACTTGATGTGACCCCAAGTTGTTTTAGTTGAGAATTTGGATGGAATTACTCTTGAAGTCATTAGTTGCCGATTTTTAACTGATGACAATTAAAGCCTACTCTTATGATAATCACCTCTTTACTTGTTCAGCCGAGACATGTTCAACAAACTACAAGCTCAACGATGGTGGGCAGATAACTATGACAAAGTAATGGAACTTTACAACGTTCAAAAACTAAGCCGACAAGCTTTCCCTCTTCCCACGCCACCTAGATCCGAAGACGAGGTTAGCTTCTCACTCAACCTTGAACCCTAAACAAGACACTTAAACCCTTGATTATCCACTAATTTCTCTGGAAATGTTTTATCAGAATGCAAAAATGGAGTACCATCCAGAGGACACTCCTGCAACACCGCCTCTAAACAAAGAACGGTTGCCTCGTAACGTCCATCGTCCGGCTGGATTAGCGGCTTACTCATCCTCGGATTCACTAGATCACAGTTCAACGCAAAGCCAACAGTTTTACGACTCTGGACTACTCAACTCAACTCCTAAACTCTCAAGCATTAGCGGAGCCAAGACGGAAACTTCCTCCATGGATGCTTCCATAAGAAGCAGCTCGTCTAGAGACGCGGACCGGTCAGAGGAAATGTCGGTAAGCAACGCGAGCGATGTTGATCCTAACGAGTGGGTGGAGCAAGATGAGCCTGGCGTTTATATCACCATTAAAGTATTACCAGGTGGTAAAAGAGAGCTTAGAAGAGTCAGATTCAGGTAACAACAACAAAAAACAAAAACCTACCTTGCATTGTTTTCAAAAATAAAATAAAATAAATCACTGAAAATGTGTTCTTGTTTTGCATTGCAGCCGAGAGAGATTCGGAGAGATGCACGCGAGGCTATGGTGGGAAGAGAACAGAGCAAGGATACATGAACAATACTTGTGAATTCATCGTTTTAAATATCTATTGGTCTCTATGCATCAAAACGGTTTTGTTCTGTTTTTTTGAATTTCTCATTCTCTGTATACCGTTTTTTCCGTTTCTTTTTTTCCAAAGAGAATCCTTCCACAGGGTACTCCTTGTGCCTCCCAGAAATCTCAAATCAATATCAGTAAATCAATTCTGGAATATGCTCAAGGAGTTTACTTATTTTCTTCCTTCAAAAAAAAATGTGAAAGCTTTGGAAAATGTATATATTGTCAACTAAAGAGATTCTCTCTTTACTTATGGGAAAAAGATGGAAGTTCTAACTTCTAACTGGTATAAAGGAAAAACACCAAATTTGTAAACGGGTAAGTTAACATTACGCCACACATAAACATGCAATTTTACAATTTTAGTGATATCATTAATATGGAAACTTTTATCTCAAACATGTGTATATATGCACATACATACATTACCTCTAACAATATGGTTTCATTATGGGCTTTTGTAAAAAAATTACCGCGTTCCTGCTCTTATGCATTGCATTCTTGTTCCGTAAACACAATGACGACTCCAGAAACGGTGTAGCATCAAACGTCGGCTTGAACTACGGCCTCCTCGGAGACAACCTCCCGCCTCCGTCAAACGTTATCAGCCTCTACGAGTCCATAGGCATCACTAGAATCCGAATCTTTGACCCAAACCCCGAGGTCCTCAACGCCTTACGCGGCCACCGCGGAATAGGAGTCACCGTAGGCGTCAAGGACCAAGACTTGGCTGTTCTTTCAGCCAGCGAAGAAGCTGTCAAAGGCTGGTTCGCGACCAACATCGAGCCTTACTTAGCTGACGTGAACATCACGTTTATCACCGTTGGTAACGAAGTCATCTCTGGACCGATCGGTCCACAAGTGCTTCCCGTCATGCAGTCTCTCACAAACCTCGTCAAGTCGAGGAATCTTCCGATCTCGATCAGCACCGTGGTGGCTATGTCGAACCTCGGACAATCGTATCCACCTTCCGCCGGAGAGTTCACGCCCCAAGCTCGTGAACAACTCGTTCCCGTGCTTAGGTTCTTGTCGGAAACGTGCACGCCAATCCACGTCAACATCTACCCTTACTTTGCTTTTGCGTCTAACCCCGTCAACATAACTCTCGACTATGCGATCTTCAACACGGAAGGTGTGGTGGTCGAGGACGGGCCGATGAAGTATTCGAACATATTTGATGCGATCTTCGATGCGTTCGTGTGGGCGATGGAGAAAGAGGGAGTGAAGGATTTGTCCATGGTGGTGTCGGAGACTGGATGGCCTTCCGCTGGTAACGGGGACTTCACGACGCCGGAGATCGCGGCTACGTACAACGGAAACTTTGTCAAACATGTGAGAAGCGGTAAAGGGACGCCAAAGAGGCCACACTGTAGGATCGATGGGTTTCTGTTCGCGACTTTTAACGAGAATCAGAAACCAGCTGGAACAGAACAGCACTTTGGGTTGTATGAACCTACCGATATGAAGCCTATTTACAAGTTGTTTTGATTTTTTAGGTTTTTGATTCTTAGTCTATATCTAATTCATTAGTCTTTGACAAGTGGGACAAAAGTCAAGATTAGCTATAACATCAGTTTTATTTTGATATACTGATGATATATGTATCTTGAAGCCAAACTCAGTTGGGTTTGTAGTTAGCTTTATAATGTCATCTGAAATTATAGTTTTCAGTTACTTGTTAGTGTTACAAGTTTAATGGACCATCTCTTGTGTGTTTTAAACATATGTATACTATGTTTTAGAGACTTGAACATACTGTCTCGCACTCAGCCCAAACAACCACTCTCACGACTGTTTTTCACAAATAGACAAACCTAAAAAAACAGAAGTAACTTTACTCAATGCATGTTTGGTTATTCAAAAGTCTTGATGTTTGTCGTGCAAAGAGGTGCAGGAATGCACTCGGTGCACCTGTGTTCGGTTTGAAAATACCAAATTATAATCTAAGAATTGAACGGAATACTGGTTTAAGTAAATGATACCAGCAGATTTCATTGGTTTCTCAACTTTTATAGGAAATTAACATGACCAACAAATAATTTCTTAATGTTTGGAGTTTGGACCATCTCATGTGTATGAGTATAAAAGAGCAATATCACAGCTTAGCCGTTGCATCAGTTGCTCATTATATATTTCTTCACTCAGAAAGTTCTTACAGTTTTTGTTGAAGAATTTTATCCGTATATTTATAGCTTAGGTAGTTCAGAATTTTTGTTAGTAATTTTAGATTGAAGTTTATGGCTACAATACGTAAAGCTCAAGTAACTATGTACAATACTAACTCAAGGCAATTGACATTTTACTATCAATTTTATCAGTAATGGATTCGTTATATTGGTTCAGTCTAGAAGTGGCTGCAAATATTTTAGTTTTATTTATGAAACGACTAGTTAACACACACACACACACACACACAAAAGAAAAAGAAAATAAAATAAAATGAAAAGTAGCAAATTTGTAAATAGGGTTGATAGAAAACAAAACCACGCCCAAAGAAAAGGAGCTCGTACCTACTATAGAAAGAACCATGACTAATGATGAACTATTAAAGAAAAGTTTTAAGATTAACAGAGACAAAACGTTCTCAGAACTAGCTGCCAATCCAAAACAAACTTTAAGTAATATGAATTAAGAGTTAAGAGATTGGATGAGGGGGTTTAAGAAAACGCAAGCACATATATTCATCCACATCAACAATAGTCAACTCCACTCCCTTCTTCTCCAACTCCTTCTGCTTTGCCTCGAAACGACGTTGGAAAGCTCCTTCATATTCATCACCCTTTGTAAGGTTGGCAAAACGGTCGTATTTCCTCTCCAAATATGCAGTAGCAAGGGCATCGAAATACTTGAACCTAAAATCAGTCGGTCTCATAAACTCCAAGTTAGGGTTTACTTCCCATTCTGCGTCACAGCCTTTGCTGCGAGCTTGATATCTTCAAGCTCCTCGCGAGTGATCCACTCAGGAACTTCAAACAAGAACTTGGGATGTGGAAGCGGATCCCTGATGGGACGTGGAAGCCGGGGCTTGAGACTCTGAGCACGCATAATGTCGGGAATATCAAGCAAGGAAACCTTTGGAGACGCAGCACGCATAAACTTGGGAAGATCAAGCCAGGGAGCGTTTGGAAACTGTCCTACTCCAGGAGGAGGAGGATGAAGCTCAATATATCAGAGATATTCAATTATATCTTCTTAATGGTGACTGAGATATGATTGCCAATATCATCGGCACATATATTTCTCCTTTACTAGTAAATATTCTTTTTCCCTATCTTGTCATACGCTCCTTGTATAAATGTAACACCATTGTGTATAAGGCAAATCATTCAGTCATACAAACTCTATATGGTATTAGAGCAGTAATCGATACCTGCCCTAAAAATTTTCTCTTTTTTTTTCTTCTTCTCCTTTCTATCTCAAACACCATGTCGGTCTCCAACGGAGTCACAAACCCCACAAAAACCCCCACAGAAAACGTAGTCGCCACCAACGGCTCCTTGGTTCATGTCAACATGACCACCATCACAAAATTGAGTGCTACGAACTACATCATGTGGCGTCGTCAAGTTCATGCCCTATTTGATGGGTATGAATTGGCTACGTACCTTGATCTGTCCAAACCCGTCCCAAATCCACTCATCACCCTCCCTGGAGCAACCACAACCACGGAGAATCCTGCTCACACTCTGTACAAGCGACAAGATAAGCTCTTGTACAGTGCCATCCTTGGCGCCATATCCCTCTCCATCCAGCCAATCCTGTCCAAAACAACCACAACATCTGAAATCTGGGAAACACTTGCTGCCACATACGCGAAGCCAAGTCGTGGCCACATCAAACAACTCAAGTATCAGATCAAGCAATGGAAAAAGGGCACCAAGACAATTGATGAGTACCTCCTTGGTCTCACAACTCGCTTTGACCAACTCGTGCTGCTTGGCAAAGTCATAGATCTCGAAGATCAGATCGAGTTTGTTCTCGAAGGTATACCAGAGGAGTACAAAACACTCATCGACCAAGTTGAAGGTCGAGACTCTCCTCCCTCCTTGACAGAGCTTCACGAGAAGCTCATCAACCATGAAGTCAAGATTGTCACGGCGGAACCTGCTTCCCACATGCCTGTTTCTGCCAACGTCGCCACCAATCGCTTCATACCTAACAACAACAAAAGCAATCCTCGCAATCAACCTTGGCAGTCTAACCAGCGCCAAAACACCGACACCAACAACTCGACTTGGCAACCACGACCATACCTCGGAAAGTGTCAAATCTGTGGGGTCCAAGGCCACAGCGGCGTGCCCACAACTCTCGCGTCAACCTACAGGAGTCCTTCCTGGTCCCACACCATGGCAACCAAGAGCCAACTTTGTCGCAAGTGGCTCGCAAATCCAACCAAATTGGCTTCTGGACTCAGGCGCCACACACCACATCACTTCCGACCTAGCCAACCTTGCTCTCCATCAGCCATACACATGAGGCGAAAAAGTCATTGCCGGTGATGGTAACGGACAAGCCATCACTCAAACTGGTTCCACCACTTTACCCTCCTCTACACGTTCATTATCGTTGACTAATGTGTTGTGTGTACCTGCAATCAAAAAGAATCTCATTTCGGTGTACAAGTTATGTAATACTAATCAAGTATCGGTGCATCTTTATCCGTCTTACTTTCAGGTGAGGGATCTCAGCACGGGTGCCCAATTACTCCAAGGACGCACCAAGGATGAGCTATATGAGTGGCCAATCTCCCTTCCAACCACTTTCTTTTCCGCTTCCATCAAAAATAAAACCTCAGCTGCAGATTGGCATTCAAGATTAGGACACCCTTCCCCTTTTATTTTAAAAAATATTATTCAAAACTTTTCTTTGCCTATTTCTGATTCTTTGTCCTCAAATTTCTGTTGCGGCGATTGCCTATCTAATAAAAGTCAGAAACTTTCCTTTTCTGAAACAACGATTTCCTCTACTCGTCCTCTCCAACATCTTTTCACTGATCTTTGGATTTCTCCAGTCACATCCATTGATAACTTCAAATACTACCTAATCATTGTTGATCAATTTTCCAGATACATTTGGTTCTATCCTCTTAAGCTTAAATCTCAAGTCCGTGAAACATTCATTCGTTTCACTAATCTCGTAGAAAATCGTTTTCAAACAAAAATTGGTACCTTATTCTCTGATAATGGAGGAGAATTTCTTGCTCTTCGTGATTTCCTGGCTTCAAAAGGAATCACCCATCTCACTTCTCCTCCTCATACTCCTGAACACAATGGTTTGGCCGAACGTCGTCATCGCCATATCGTTGAAACAGGATTAACTCTTCTTCATCAAGCCTCTATCCCAAACTCTTATTGGACCTATGCCTTTGCAGCTGCAGTATATCTTATTAATCGAATGCCTACTCCAACCCTTTCTTTACAAAATCCTCTCAAACTTCTGTTCCAAATAGATCCGAATTACAACAAACTTCGTATATTCGGTTGCCTTTGTTTTCCATGGCTCAAACCATACACCAAAAACAAGCTTGAACCCAACTCCAAACCGTGTGTACTCTTGGGATACTCTATTACCCAGAGTGTTTATCTCTGTCTTGATCCCACTCAAAATCGCATCTATACCTCTCGCCATGTTAGATTCGATGAAACTCAATTCCCCTTTCAAAAACTGATTCAATCCACACCCACTTCCTCACCTGAACCAAATCTTCCCTGGACTCCTATTCTTACTTCAATTCCTATGCCACTCATTGATGCTCAGTCTCTGGATCCGCCAGCGTCAACAACCACGGCACCTAGCTCGGATTCCTCACCAGGAAACGACGATTCGTCACCATCCACCACAACACCATCGCCGTCGCTTCCGCCGGAGTCCTCGTCGTCACCACCAGCCGCGATAAACTCCGACCACGCGAGATCCGAGTCTACCTCTGAGCGTGAGAGCTCTCCGTCACCGTCACCGATTTCTTCGTCTTCCCCGCCCAACTCTCCGTCTCCGAGTCCAAATAACTCAGCAGCCTCTCAGGCCCAACAAAGCCCAGAAGCGAACAATCCACAACTCCAGCCCAACACACGCCATCAAATGACAACAAGACTCAAAAATAACATCACAAAGCCCAATCGGAGATATGGGTTTGTCACGACAATTCCGCCGTTCACGCAGGTCGAACCCCGAACTCTGAATCAGGCACTCCGAACACAACACTGGCGTAATTCAATGTCGACGAAAATCGATGCTCAGATCGCACATCGGACGTGGGATCTCGTCCCTCGGACACCAGGCCAGAACGTCATTGAAACGAAATGGATCTATCGCATCAAACAGCTGGTTGACGGATCGTTAGATAAATACAAATCCAGGCTCGTTGCTCGGGGCTTCAATCAAAAGCAAGGAATTGATTTTGGTGAAACTTACAGTCCCGTAATTAAAGCCACATCCACACGAGCCATTCTTAAAGTCGCTGTAAGTAAAGATTGGTGTCTCCGACAACTCGATGTCAATAACGCTTTCTTACAGGGAACTCTTGATGAAGATGTTTATGTAACTCAACCGCCTGGGTTCATTGATCCGGATCGGCCAGATCATGTCTGCAAACTTCGCAAAGCTCTTTATGGATTAAAACAAGCTCCTCGAGCTTGGTATATGGAGTTGAAACGCTACTTGCTTCAAGCTGGATTCAAGAATTCTATGGCTGATACATCACTGTTTATTATGAACCAGAAGGGTCTTCTCATCTACGTGCTGGTGTATGTCGATGACATTATTGTCACTGGAAACAACAAGTCCGCAGTTGAAGCAGTTATCACAAATTTGGCAAACCGTTTCTCTTTCAAGGATATGGGTGCTCTCTCGTACTTCCTCGGCATTGAAGTGATTCGCACCTCCAAAGGACTCCACCTAAATCAGCGCAAATACATTCTTGACCTCTTGGCAAAGATGAACATGGCGGATGCAAAACCAGTCCAAACACCAATGGCTACATCGCCTAAGCTCACGCTAACAGGTGATCCTCATTCCAATCCTACTGAGTATCGCACTCTCATTGGTAGTCTGCAGTATCTCTCTTTCACTCGTCTTGATGTTGCATATGTGGTCTATAAACTGTCTCAATATATGCAATTCCCCACCACTGATCACTGGCAAGCGGCAAAAAGGGTATTAAGGTACTTAGCGGGAACTGCAACTCACGGGTTATTCATCAGCAAATCCAACAATTTGAATGTTCACGGGTTCACAGACGCGGATTGGGGAGGTGATAAAGACAATTACGTCTCCACTAACGCTTACATTGTCTATCTTGGAGATCAACCAATATCTTGGCAATCAAGGAAACAAAAAGGCGTTGCAAGGTCATCCACGGAGGCAGAGTACCGAGCAGTTGCCAATACCGCAGCAGAGATACAATGGGTATGTTCACTCCTATCTGAACTTGGCATCGCTCCTACAGCCACACCTGCTATTTACTGTGATAACATCGGTGCAACATATCTATGTGCAAATCCTGTTTTTCACTCAAGAATGAAGCACATAGCGTTGGACTATCACTTCGTCCGAGAACTGGTCTAGAGTCGTGCATTGCGAGTCTCACACATCTCCACTCATGATCAACTCGCAGACAGTCTCACAAAGCCTCTCGATCGATCACGTTTTCAACTACAACGAGGCAAGATTGGAGTTTCGCAAGCCCCTCCATCTTGAGGGGGCATATCAGAGATATTCAATCATATCTTCTTAATGGTGACTGAGATATGATTGCCAATATCATCGGCACATATATTTCCCCTTTACTAGTAAATATTCTCTTTCCATATCTTGTCATACGTTCCTTGTATAAATGTAACACCATTGTGTATAATGCAAATCATTCAGTCATACAAACTCTATACAATATGCTCGAGTTGGATATCTTCTGGATTCTCCGCAGCACTGTACTCAGCAAGCTTGCTCTTGTAGTATTCGTGATAACGGTCTGAGCTCCGGAAAAACCTGTAATCTGGATTCCTCTCGTGATTGCTCATCATGGTCTTCTCAAACTCCGGTCCTTTTTTGGTAACAAGAAGTGCCGCTCTCTCCAGGTAAAATCTGACCTCTGGAGGTGGCCGCTCATCATCCATATCTTGATGATCTCTCTGATGCTGCGCACTGTACTCAGCAAGCTTGAGCTGGTAATATGGGTGATAACGATTTGTGCTCCGGAAAAAGTTGAACTCTGGATTCTCCGCTTGGTTGATCTTCATCCTCTTCTCAAACTCGGACCCTTTGCGGGAAACAAGACTTGCCGTTTTATCCACGTAATATCTGATATTAGGAGGCGGCTCAATAATGGTTGGCACATCCGCCGGAGATAGGCTTGAATTGTTTTCCTCCGGTTGCGAATTGGACATGTTTTCTTGCTGTACAAGCAACCACAAAATTCTCGGACTTCTCTCTCTAGTCTCTACTTGTTTCCGCCTCTTTTTTTTCTCTCTTTCTGTTATGTTCGTATATGATATATATTCCTGTGTAGAATTAGGTTTTCTTTTATATTCCTTTATTTTATCTGACTTTGCCTTTCCTGTCTCCTTTTCTTTTTCTGAACAATTTCCTTTTTTTTTTTTGGTTATAATCGTTTCCGACTTGTAACATATTAGGAAGTGGCCAGATTTTAATTGGGTCCGGCTGCTGAATTATCATGCAAGAAAAAGATAGGCCCATGTGCTGTTCCAATAGAAGCAAAACACCCACATTACAGTGTAACGATTAAAAGGTTATTTTTGTAACGATTTACAAGTTTAATCGACACTCTTGTGTGTTTTACAGAAGTAAAGGACTCGAAGAAGAAGACAGTTGCGTGCTTCTCTGCTTGTTTTCACCAAAACTCTGTTTTAACAACTTGAACCGACTCTCTCTTATAGTTTTACATTTTTTCTAGGAGAAATGATCAGCACAGATTTTTGTTGTTGTTTGGACCATCGCATATATGTGACTCACTCACATAATGTGAGTATATAATAACATCACAATAAAAGAAGGAATGTCTTGTAAACTACACGTTAATTTGTGCAGCTTTGGTATTTTAGTTTATTTGTAGGTTCATTCTATAAAAGCACGTACTTATGCTCTATTTTAACAAAAAAAGAAGAAAGAAATATGGAAAACATGTGTCGCGGTATCACGGCAATATCTTTATTTGCTCATATCATGATTCGTCATTTACGGTATAGTCAATAGTGTATATTTGCTTTCCATGTAAAGAGATCTCACTCTCTGTATATAGACAGAGCCTACACCATCAATAAGAATCATCTAATTCCACTTCTCAATACTCTCGTCTCCGTTTTTCAGACAAGTATGATCCTCTCACTCTGATGTTTTCGCACTTAAGAAAATTGTATACATTTCAAATAAAATTGTACTAATACTTATGTCGAATGCTACTGATTTTGCAGATACACGTATCAATATGGATTGTCCTAAGAAGTCGTTCTTGTTGATGATCTCGTGCATGGCACTCCTGCTCAACAACAACAACAACGAAGGCTTTGTAGACGCAGCGACAAACCTTGGCTTGAACTACGGTCTCCTCGGAGACAACCTCCCACCTCCGAATGAAGTTATCAACCTTTACAAATCCATAGGCATCACAAACATTCGGATCTTCGACACGAACACGGACGTCCTCAACGCCTTGCGCGGAAACCGAGACATTGGAGTCATCGTAGGCGTTCAGAACCAAGACTTGGAGGCTCTTGCGGTCAGCGAAGAAGCTGTTAACACATGGTTCGTGACTAACATCGAACCTTACTTAGCTGACGTCAACATTACGTTCATTTCCGTTGGAAACGAAGTCATCCCCTGGGAAATCGGCTCTCACGTGCTATCCGTCATGCAATCTCTCACCGACCTGGTCAAGACGAGGAGTCTCCCGATCTTGATCAGCACCACGGTGGCTATGTACAACCTCGGCGCGTCATATCCACCATCTGCCGGAGAATTCACGACCCAAGCGCGTGAACAGCTCGTTCCCGTGCTGAAGTACTTGTCTCAAACGAGCACGCCTATTCTCGTCACCATATATCCTTACTTCGCATACGCGTCTGATCCTGCCAACATTCTTCTTGACTATGCCATATTCAACACCGATGCGGTTGTGGTACAAGACGGGCCATTAGGTTACTCAAACATGTTCGATGTGATGTTTGATGCCTTCTTGTGGGCAATGGAGAGAGAGGGAGTGAAAGATTTGCCCATGGTGGTAGCGGAGACCGGATGGCCTTCCGCCGGTAAAGGAAACGGAACAACGCCGGAGATCGCGGCTATGCACAACGGAAATTTTGTGAAACATGTTGTAAGCGGTAAAGGAACGCCAAAGAGACCAAACAGTAGCATTACTGGGTTTCTGTTTGCGACGTTCAATGAGAATCTGAAGTCAGCTGGAACCGAACAGAACTATGGGTTATACGATCCTACCAATATGAAGCCCATCTACAAGTTGTTTTGAATTTTACTCTTGATTCTTAGACTATCCCAAAGCATTAGTGCATAATGCTCTAAGGGTTGTAATATAGTGGGATTAGATCAAGATCCACGATAACACTTTATTTTATATACTTTGTTCTTTCTTAAAGAAACGTTAAAGAAGAACTTATACCAAGAGAAAACAGATAGCCAATTGTAATAGAGTGGGATAAGATCAAGATTCATAATAATACTCACTTTTTATGGTGCATAGTTAAAGTAGTAACTTTGTGAAGAATTTGAGAAGCAGTAATAAAATGTCAACTATTTTACTGTGACATAGCCCTGGTATAATAAACTCTTTAAATCCTCCATATTGTTTGCAAGAGTTAAGTTTATACTATAAAGAATGTGGATTATCAATAATGCTCTAATAGTTGTTACTTGTACAAGACCAAATTTAGTACCATTTTATAATTGCTTTAGTTTTTAACAAATGATAAAAATTTCTTTAGAAATTGAATTCGAAGAAATCACTCAAAGCAAAGCACAAAGGTGATAGGTTTAGTGAGCCGGTAAATCTCTGTTTCCACAACTTGCCAATTACAGTACAAAGAAAGAAAAAAAAATCCAACAGAAAACAAGTTTTTGAGCAGTCTTAGCATCACATGCCTTTGATTGGAGTTGGACACATGTTTGCTGCTACGATTCCACGACTTAGTGACCGTACTTCTGAAACTCCCACTCAGAGTTATCTGTACATAAAAACGCAATAATGTTAACAATCAAGCAAACAAAAATTTGCAAAACTAAGTCATAAATCTTCCTTTTAAACAGAGAAACACATCATACCTAATGGACAAACTTGACGAGTCTTCAACCATCTGCTGATGCAGTGAAAGTGAAAGGCATGATTGCAAACCCCTGCAAATTACCACATCAAACTGTCTTTAGTCAATGCACTAACATTTTTTAGGTATATCTACTTCAGTTTCACGGTTATCTTTACTGAAAACAGACTACTTTCTTCAAAGAAACCAAAAAAGGTTCTTAGCTAAACCAGATTCCACCTCATATTGGTCCCTTTTCAATGAGCAATTGAGATTACAGAGATATGCAATTCAGCGAATTAGCTCAATCCTTTGAGTTTATAATCTATCCGCAATCATAAACCCAATGCCAGACTACGAAAGCATGCTAACACAATAACTAGAACTTGGTCCTCTCTATCTAATCAATTGCACTACTTATCGACTAACTTAGATTGCTGCAAAACAAGATTTGGGTCTCCTTTTCCAGATACACATCAAGTTTCAGAAACAGAAAGCAACGATTGCAGAAGAAAACAATACTTACCCCAAGCAACAGTGCACTCCTCACTCGTGGCGCTGGCCTGATTAGCCTGACACTCAATGCCTAACCACAACAACCAAATCAAAACAACGAAGTTAGAGTCAAGCGATTCAGGAAATCAGTAATATCCGGAATTATCAACACAATCGTGAAAATTTGCAACTTACAGAGATCCATGATGTGGTTTCTGCAGATCGCGCAGTTATCAACAACGATATCTACAAACGAACCAAAAATCAAAAATCAATCAATAAACCTCGATTACCAAAATTTCAAAGATGAAAACAACATCGAAAGACGAATTGAAGAGAGTATTAGGATTTCGCTGCTTACCCCACGCCCAAAGAGCCACTGCGGACCACTTTTTGACCTCGAACCGCTTCGCTTTCTTCGTAGAAGACGAGGCTTCTCCGGCAGGGATCATGTTAACGTCAGTGTCGAGAGAGGCCATTGAATTGATCGGTGATCGGGAGGAAAACGGAAAACCCTGCGAAACCCGAAGGAGAGAATCTGGAAAGTTTGAGCTAGGTTGTTTGCAAAGATTGCAGAGGATGGAAGAAGAAGCGTCGCAGAGAAAGAGAAATAATTATATACGCATTGGGCTTTGCCGCCTTTATATTGGGCTTTTTGGGAATTCAGATTCTCGTAATTTCCTTAATCCGCTGAAATTTTCTTTTTTTGTTTATTTCCATAATCCTACAGTTTAACATAAATCTAAACTTAAAAAAAACATTTAATAATCTAAAATTTTCTCCTTTATTATTCAAAAGAGAAATAATTTTAATTGGTAAATAAAATATTCTAGAATTAAAATTTATGAATAAAAAATCCGAAGCCAATAAATAATGTATAACTTTGAAAAAATAAACAAAATTTGGATACCCACATCGAAGAATCCATTTTATTTGGTATAAGTCAATCAACAGTAGTGTATAGCCAGAATATTAAAGATACTGAATTCATACATCCTCAAAGGTTACTGAAGTTATCTAGAACAAAAACAAAGTTTCATTCTAATCAAATATTTCAAGAAAATGTATCAACATCTTACAAAATAGTGTAAGAATATTTGTGTACAAACCATCCGAGTTATATATAGTTAGATGATGGTATATTATGAACACCCCCAGAACCTTTTTCACTATATCTGCTTCTGCTCTCTGAGAGCCGAAACTTTCTTCCGCAGATCAAGATTTGATATCCTCTCCACCTCCAGAGCTCGTTCAAGCTACACATCCCATTCAGTTTGTTAGCCACAAACTATGGAATGAGAATCGTTTGAAAAAGGTTTGTATACAAAACTACTTTCACAAATCATTTGCATCTCTAAAACATGCCTCTAATAGAGACGATGAGAACTTTAGAAAGAATAGATGAATGTACCTTTGCCGCTCGCATACTCCATTCTCCGAGAATGGCTCTTAGCCTCTCATTTTCTGCCACATACTGTTTCAGGAGTTTTAAAACAGAAGACAGTGAATTTCTCTTTTGAGCATTTTTGTCAAAACAATTAAAAAAATTCCGGAAATGTGTAGTTCTTGCAAATTGTTCAATGCAAGAGATTTCCTGGAGAAGCAGTGTTGATATACAGGATCTGGTAGTATGCTCTGTTCTCATATGTTCTTATGTTTATAGATAGACTCAAACCTGATTATTGGTATTCCGGACGTGTTGTATCTCTCTATCTCTCTCAGAGATCAGAGATCGAGCCAGAGTAAGCTCAGAATGGAGTTGATTCACCTACAAACATACCATTTTCATTTAGTATCCTCCTTCATTCGAAGATGCTGGATAAAGAATGTCGATGAGTCTTATATGTATTCCACCAAATGGCTAAGAAAAATTAACCATGCGACTCTGCAACTCATTTGTTAACTAGGCTTTTACCTCAGCAGAAAGTGTTCGTAATTCCTGATCTCGAGTTGCCACAAGATGTGCAAGATCAACCTGAAATTTTTAACAATCATTACTTGCAAAATTATTCCTCCGAACTGAGGCGTGCAATGGTTGAAAACACTAAAAGCAATGGAGCAGTTCAAACCTGAGGCGTGCTACTACCATTGGACTCTTCATATTTGCTTAAGGACTCCTGCAAACGCAAAATCTGAACACACAGAGAAAAGTGTCAGAAGCTCACTCTAGCTAAAGCACGGGATAATTC